AAACACAGACAACATCAGGGGTGTCCAGACTTTTCTGACTATGGGTTACAGCCTGAAGCAGGGGTTGCACAAAGTATGTGTACAGAGACATGGACTATTAGCATTCATATCCTCTCTCTCTCCACTGATTATATAAAATACTTAGAGTATAAAATGTGGAAGTATACTACAGCCACTTGAGGGAAAACATACCTCTGCTTTTCTGAACTCGTGATATAACCATTTCAGAATAACAAGAAATGTATTTGTGGTAAATTGAAAAACAGCTCTGCCTTTCTGAGTCAGCAAGATACAGCACCTCAGTTACACTCCAATATTTCTTAAGTCCCCCAGTTGCCTTTCTAAATGCATTTTCAGATACATCCTCCCAGTGAACAGTCGATGCACGTTTGCCTCCTTTAGCAGCTTAAATAAAAGTTTCCACAGGAGTTTTTGGACATGGTATCTTAATCATTCAGAAAACTAGATTTCTTTAACTTGAGTAAACTTTTTTAACTTTAACTTTGAAGTAAACTTTATTGTATCGGGACTTGTTTCAAATGCCGAAGGAAGGACATGTGCAAAACTAAAAAATCGGTGACTGGTTGTGGTTAGTTTTACTTTCTGAACGAACTGATGAGCATTAAAGTTAGGTACTTTCCGGGAAGATGTGTGAGAAAAACACTGCACACACTGATTGAGACACAATGAGTAATCAAGTGTCTGTAAAAGCTGCACATTACCTTCTTTATTTATTTGACTGACTTTTAAGTGTGTGTACTTCCTGCATAGGTGGGCAGGGCTGCAAATGATAACCCCTCCCTCATCAGTTACCCCTGCAGGGTTCATTTCTTCTTCTTTCATCTCTTACAGTCTTGGGCCACAAACTGGGTAACAAAACCCTTTCATGGGTTCACCAGAATACCCCCTCACCACCGCAGCGTTCAATCACTGCAACAATGTGGTTGTCAGATGTGAAAGCACACGGCGTACAGGATACAGCTCAGCACAAAGGGTACGTTCATCATAATAGATCATACTCTGTACAAGCCAGGTGTTTCTGGGTGTGTGGTGCGAATCCTCACTTTTGTATGGTGATGAGTGACCAGTGGTATTTTCATCTGGCGGGGCCCAGTGCACAGCCAGTTTGTTATTTTCATGGACTGAGGCGCACCGAGGTCTGTGGGGCTGGGCATGGTGGCACGGTAGGGGGAGGTGTCAACAGAATCAGCTGGCGCAGTGACATTTTCGTGTTCGCCAGCAGCGTGGAAAGTGTGGTGAAAGCATTCAAACCTGTTCAGCTTTCAGCGCAGCTGGTCTAGTGGTATCTTGGTAGACAGGTGGTGTATCGGCATATGTCATCAATGCCTCACATGCAGGTTTCCACAGTTTTAGGTACATTTCAGTGCAATAAATAATCAACAACTACTAATATTCTGAGTCAGCACATACATTTAGATCCACATACATCTGGACACTCAACCTGACCAAAATAACACAGCTGAAACCGCATTAAATTCAATCAAATATCTAGTAAATAGACACACATGATGAAGTTAACTAGATATGTAATTCGTCTCCCTCCTTTTCTTTCTTCTTCTTCCTCCTATTTTTCTCCCGCAGCTCGACCTGAATATGTCTCCATGTCCTCTCCCCGTCCTGCTGCAGCTGCTGCTGCTGAACAGATGATTTGTTTCAGTGATCAGATGAGTTATTTACTTTAAGGCTACATACAAATATTATAATATTCAGTTGCGTGAGTCAGATTTTATTTCATATGCCAACATCAATGAAAGAAAGAGCCAGGCCACGGAGCGCGTTGCGCCGTTACGCACAGATGTTTCTGATTTTAATGCCATTATTGGAATTTATGTTGTGATCTGTGCGCACAGCCCACTTTTGTCACGTGAGACTGAATGACACAAATACTGTCATTCAAAGTTGGCAGGTGTTTGTTTATCTATTTATAAGTTCATTTGACAGGGAAAAATGCAAGAAACATTACTTCATAGTGTACACAAAGTAGATGTCATGTATGTCAGTCAGATGCATTTGTAACAGATATGCATGCTAGATTTTCTCTACAGATATAATAGGAACTTTGCCTTGTCTGATAATGTCTGATCTGAAGCAGGGTTTCATCAGTTTGATATAAAGACACAAATATCCTTTTGGTTTCATTCTGAGTAGGCCTGTATTAAATATGTACATGTGCATCACTTTTAGTTTACAGCAGACAGACCACAGAAGTGTTTCCATTGTTATATATTTACTTTCAAGAGATATAGTCAGCCTTTTCTTCTTTTTCTGGTGTTGGTTATCTTTTTGTTTCAGTTTTATGTTCAGTACGTTTTCATGTTTGCAAGTGACATTACAAACCACACGCTCACTTCAGACAGGTGCACACAAATTCCTGCCCAAGCCTTATGCAACGGAGGCTTTTGTCCTTAATACCATTAACTTCCTCACTTTCTGCTCTTTGCTGGGCTGCACACTCAGTTAGAGTCACATTACGTGCAGCACATACAGAGTGCTGTTTTCCTTTTGTAAAGACTGATTACAATGCAGGAAACAAGCTTTACAGATAATCAACTTGGACAAGAAGCTAGAGAGGGCATAATATAACCACGCTTTAAAGTGGTTTGGCTCAATCATAAAGAAAACATCCATTTCATGCATGCTAGAGCAAATTTTCAATAAGGTCTTAACCTAGCTGCCTATGGATTATCAACTCAAGCCATATATGTTATAAAATCCTTTTTTCAGTTGCAGGATGTGAAGCATTTTAGATTAACAAATAACTACAAAGTGATCTGATGTGTGGCCTTTTTTTTTTGCTTGTTGGTGCAGATTTTCAACATGGCACAGTGTAAAAAGTTAACATAAACAAAAGAAAATCTGCAAAGTGTCAGATCTGCACATCTGCTGGCAGGAGGTCACACTGATGAATCCAGCCATATTAATCCTCAGACACCTCTGTATGGTGTTTCGCACATTGTAAAAATGAGAAAAATGCTGAATTGAGTATTATGGTCACATACATTTTTACGCTTCTTTGTGCTTTTTTGGCAAACAAAACAAAACCAAAAGCATATCTATTTGTTTTAAAATCTCACAATTACACAACAATTACCCATGAGCCAATCATGTCATAGTTTTGATTTGTAAGTCAGGCTGCTGAATCTGTTAGCCTTTCTTCGCTTCTCACTACATAGCTCCACCTCGTGGACAAATGAGAGAATTATCATTTGAAAAGAAATACTGAGCATGGTTGGGTTATATGCACTGCCACAATATGAGCATGGATCGGCCTTTCTTGGTGGTAAAAATGGTACATAAAGCTCCTATGAGGAGTTTTTTTTACATATTTGAACACACTGAAATTCATTTTGATGCCTATTGGTGTTGAAATCAAGCAAGAACATTAGCAAAAAGGTTTGATATTTTTATATCCTTATTTTCATTGTCTGAAATCAGTGCGTGGGGGCAGGTCCAAGCCTTACAGCTGGCTCTTTTTTAACAATTTCCCCCAAAAAAACAAACAATAAACCCTAACATTTGACTGACAAAAGTCAACAGGATGAGATTTGTTGTCATACATAACTACTCAACCATGAAATGGACAAGGTATGTGAGGACTGACCACAGAAGGTGCCACAAACATTATTCTTTGCAGTCTCTAAGATGTCAGAATTACAAGTAAGCCCTTGAATTACACAAGGTCAGCACATAAGGTGTAATCCATCTCCTGTTCACACCTGAGATCCAGATCACCTCAACTAGAAGACCTGAACATAACTGATCCATGTAACAGAAGGTGTCACAAACCTTATTCTTTGCAGTCCCTAAGATATCAGAATTACAAGTAAGTTAGGTTTACTTTTGTAATAGTAAATTATTGTGGTTATGGGGTGGACATTTTTTTTATTCTGTAAAAGGACTCAGAGGGAATGACAAGATCCAAACTACAAGCAGCAAACTTCCAGCTGCTGAGGACCACAAATAACTTTATTATTCTAATAACAAGCTCTCAGCCTCTGTGAGTATCCTAAAGTCTCTGCTTCCCCCTAAAGGTTGTTATATACAGATGCTGCCTATTTAGGAGATGTCAAGGAGATAGTGTGGTTTTCCATGCTGGACAATCCAGTTAACTTCACAAAATTGACAAGCAATGTAAGTTACCAGAAACTATTGCAAAATTAATGGACATTAAGGTTAACACTTTTTACGACTACTATTTACTTTGCTACTGAGCAACCATGGTAAAATCTTGAACTGCAAGGCCTCAAAAAGCAAGGGGTGTGGAAAGGGCTGCAGGTTTTCAGTACAAAAAGTGCTAAGATCACACCTTGAAACTAACATGGAGCGTTTAAGTGATACAAGCACAGCAAGATATACTTGTGGTGTGATGAACAGGTTGTTTACCTCAAAATAACGTGGCCATTGGTTCAAATCCTGGTCAAGGATTTGTTTGTTTGGGGCACAAATAAAAGGCTTTTCTCACTCTATGGTCTGAACTTTGGATTTAAGGAACCGTAATGAAATGATAAATAAAAAGACCTTAGCTTAGTTGAATTGGGCTGCCTCTCCTCAGTGACATGGTTCTGGGTACAAATTTAAAACTGTTACCATCCATGAAATGAATAAAAATGCTTCCCTCCACTTCAGTCTAAACTGCCTCTATCTTGGTTTTATTTGTGTTCTGTAAAGAAGAGGGACAGAAAGCAAAAGAGATGAAAGAGAGTTGGGTTTCTTTTCCTTTCATTGTCAATTTCACCCTAAATAAGTTTCCAAGACCACTTTGGGGTTTTAAGACTAGAGGTAATTGGCATTTTTTACCAATAAGAGTTTGCAACAGCTCTACTTTACTGCCTTTAACTCAACACAGTGAACTGAAAGTGACTGCCATGTTTTGTTCACTGTTTTCAGGGTGGAAAACTTGCATTTTTATCTTTTCTGATTATGAAGACTGTAGTGAACTCCCAGCGTGGCACCACCCAAGTTCAGGCTAAGAATGATCTGAATGATATAGAAAGGCTCCAGTGGCACCATTAGACAAGGCGGGGTACTTAAAAGTCGAGAGGTGGCAAGCTTCAACCAACATTTGCAATCATAGACTTATAATTATAACGCAAGCATGACTGTGCAATTTTGTTAAATATGCTGACTCAGCGCTCACCATACAAATAAGTGAGAGTAGTCAGCCAAAGGCCTGCTGGTACTTAAAACAAACTTAAGGTGAGTGGTTTAAAAGTAAGACACTTTACTAGATGTGTTAAAAATAATGTTTAAATGCTTGGTTTTAAATTGTGAAAAATAAAGAGGTGATATTTTTTGATTTTCTTGTTACTGCTTTAAATTATGTGAAACATACCATAATCATTTTTTAAACCATGGTCATCTGGGCTTTATTAACCAAACAACAACACGCTTTCATGTAAAAACTTCTGCAAGTCAAAGGTGCACCTAAGGTGGGGAGGTCATGTAAGGTCATGATATAATTTCTGCAAAACCTTGATGGGAGGGTCCTGCATGATAACCTCACAGGCATTTGCTGCACTTTCTCACTCCAGGCTTTTACTCTCTGCTGGCACATGCATCTTTTGGCAACCTGATAATTCCTACAAAAGTTTAAATAGCTGACATTCAATCCAAAACACTTGAACATAACAAGCTTGTACATCATCAAAACACATGGTAACTAGAAATATTATGTGTCATATGCTCATCTATGTAGGCCATCATCCAACACTACTACGGTTGAACTAAAACATGATTCTTTTTGGGCTGATACTGATGGGTCACATAACATTGAAAAAGCCTGCTGTTGTTTAGTCTTTCTTTTGTCTCTGTGTCCATCTAATCTCAAAAAATCTTTTAGATACAGTAATAAACAAAGCATTAAAGCATACATGCTAGCACCAGCTGGCTCCTCTGTTTTGATGATGTAGCCTATGTTTAAATGAAAAAAAAAAAATTATTTCTGTGCTACAGCAGAACCTTTTTTGTTCAACTCTTGTGCATTTAAAGTAATTTTTTTCTGTATTTCTAAGGCCCATCCAGGGGGAGGCATTGCAAATGGACTAAATATGTAGTCTAGATGTTTCAAATTGTTTTATATGAGAAAGAAAGAAAAAATACAAATAAAGAAAGCTTAACTCGTCTCTAGCTCAGCAGAAGTTAGGCCTTCTCTATAATTCTATCAGAGGCAGCCTGGCTTTATGCCTGCTGGCTCCTGACCAGCAGCTTATGGACCCGCAGATAGCAGCAGCTGAGAGACTTTATCTGTAAAAGCCTCCTCTACACTGCAAGGAAACTTCTGACACATCATTACTTCTTCCTCTGTAGACGTGCACAAGGGTAATACATTTCTAGAAAATATCAAGAAATCACAAAAGTTTGCAAATGTGTTTTAGATATTAAAGCCTGGCTGTCACAAACTTTCCTCAGTCGAACAAAACAAGAGTACTTATTAGTGGTATGAGGATTCGGAGAGAGAAAATGTACTCAATCTTTATTCATATAGCAATAAATGCTATCTAAAGACGCTTAACAAGAAGAGCCGTACTAGACCATACTCTTCCACTGTATTTACGAGACCTAACTTACAGATGGGATGAGATCAAGTCCGGTCTTGAGAGATCACTTCCACTACAATCACATCTGTACCTACATGAGTGCAGCACTTTGCAGCATCGAGCAAGTTACAGTGGAGAAGATAACTTCCTTTCAACAGGCAGAAACCTTGAGCAGGACCAGACTAATGTAAGACAGTCATCTGCTGAGAGGGGAAGAGATGGTGGAACAAGTCAAGATACTTTACAGGATGAGCGTGATGATAATAGACTGGTCTTGGCCTGATTTAAGGCAAACTAAAGTCAACAGGTCTATAACGATAGCTTAGCATTGATAGCATTCACACTAATGAAGTTTAGGTATGGAGTTTGGAATTAACAGTTGAAGCAGAAAAAATTAATAAGTTCTGTAATTACCTTTGGCTTTAATACAGTGGCAGAAATGGAGACACTGATGCTTCTAAATTAACATTAGCATTATAACAGTAATAATAAAAGGAGAGGCTGACACTAATCAGTTAACATTAGCTTCATAAAAGTGATGAACATGGAAAGACTGATGCTGATAGTTGAAGCAGTTGGACAGCAGGTCCACGGCAACCATCCAGAGGAGCCTATGGCATAAGCGAGCTCACAGACTCTCAATAAACTGCTGTTAGAGACTTTAATGGGACATGATGATTCAAAGTTAATGACTCACAAGCAAACAGAGGACAAAGAAGAAGGGAAGGATTGTTAATGAGCTAGTAGCTTTGGCCTAGACTATTAAAATGATCTAATATCTGGTCAATCAAAGAAAACAACAAACCAGCCGCAATTGTTGAAGCTTGAACTCTAACAAAGGCCAGAAGGAGAGCACACATCAAACCAATTTTAGGACCTTTACATTCGATACCTGATAGTTTTTTTTTGTTGTTGTTGTTTTCATATGGATTGAAGTTCTTTTATAAGTTTATAAGGCACTGCTAGTCTAAGAACCGAAACATACTTTCCGATCCTCCAGCTTTTCTCTTTTGATTTTCTTCAAAGTAGAACTAAAGATGCTTCTTTCAGTCATTACTCTCCAAGACTCTGGAAGTTTGTTTTTGTTTGTCCTCAACTATCATCAGTCTATTATTTAAAGCAACAAAATTACAGAAACCAAAAGTCCAGTACAGGAGTTTTAATAACTCATATCTATTGCTATATTGCTGCTCTCATTTATATCTAACTTTTCTGTAGTTTTCTAGTAATTGACCATATAGGGGAGAGTGAGGAAAGATGAGCCATTTTTCATGTTTCAGATCACTACATCAAGGCAATCATAGTTTTGTCTCTCACTAGTGAATCTGCATATATTTCAAGATGTTGTGCATCCCTGCAAACCAACAGAATGAGTGTAAACATAACTGTCTTGATAATATAGCATGCCAAACCACTGGCTCAACTTACCCCAGTATGGGGTAAGTTGACCATAGGAGTGGGGTAAGTTGCTGTATCCCTACTACCCCCACACTCTTCACCCCAGCCCTCCCTCACCTTCTCTCTCCCTAAATAACAGTCACTTCTTAACATTCATGTGTATATTTATTTATCATTCTTTTATATGCTATTCAACTGGTACAATAATTCTTTTTATTATTATTACATATAACTGTTAGAAGCTGTTTTGTAAAAAGTCATTTTAACATGAGAATGCCTTTAAGTGATTCAGAACATTCACAGCTGTATTTTTGAAAAGAAAAGTAAAATATTTCAACAATCTGAACTGAAACTCTGATCCTCTCAACAGACTTCTTTACTTTCTCAGTTGAACCACTGGCTCGACTTACTGCTGGCCAAATGGCTCAACTTACCCCAGAGCTACAATTATGAATTTATTAGTCGTCTAAGCTAAAATGGTGGACTTTTATGCTAGGTTTTGACCTCAAAGATACCACAATTGGTGTATAAAACAAGTTTAAAATGATCTTTTTTGGTCTGAACACAATTCTAATAAAACTTATGACAAACTAAATTCACTTTCAAGAGTGAAAAATGTTTTTTTGGAAATAAATGTCTAACCCCTTCACCTATGTGCTTCTAACCTTCACAGACTCCATGAATTGATGCCCATCTCCTGAATATTTGGTCACATTATCTTTTTCTTTAGCCATTTCCAAACAACAGGGGGGTGGCTCAACTTACCCCACTCTCCCCTACTGTATATTGATGCCATTTTTGGTGTGTTTAATTATCTTTAATTTTGTTTCCTTTTTCTATTCTAATTGCATATATTTTATTGCTGTTAGTGTTAGTGTGCATTAGTCTCCACTTTTCTGTTTCTTTACGCACATAAACAATAGTAAAGAGATCTCATAAAATAGCATTTTTATTTTCAAGTAAGGCACACACACGTCAACCTAGAACTGAAGCACCCAAAAGGTCCACTTGGTCGGTGGTTTACCCGAGGTGGTCAGCCACACTGGTGATATGGTGATATGGCAGGGATACCCGCTGTGACGCACGTCAGCCGCTCATGCAGATAGCGCAGCAGTGGTCGTGGGGACCCCACCCTTCCCTGCCAGTGGACCGATAACAACGTGGTGTAAATCTTTACCACTAACACCTTGTTTTCGTCATCAAGACATTTTTACCCCTCTTTTCTCCAAACTACCTGCGTTTTTGTGTAAACCGGCGACAAAATGGTCGACTAACAACTTTTTTACGCACTATCCGACGCCTTTTCTTCACCTGAACTCACCAAACAGACGTACCTCCGCAGTCTGAACGAGATAGACTGAGATGCTCTCAAAAAAAGAAAAAAAGCTGATCGCAGAAATATGGGAAAAAGTGACTCCTGTGGCAGAAGATATTGGCTCAGACGCGCTTCTTAGGTATGTTCAAGCTCCAAAATACTCAAAATACTTCTTAACACTTGGAATAAACTATTACTAATCACGTTCAACTGTGTCTATTATTTAAAAAACATGAACAAAAGCTGTATGAGAGTTTGTCATGTTGAAGAGTTGAAACGACTGTGACACAGCCCATGACTAGTGGATGTTATTATTTTTATATTTTGATGATGACTTGGACCTGATTTAAAGCCAAGCTTTGTTGAAAATGAGTTAGCAAATCAACCCTGCATGAGACAGGTGTGCAAAAAAGAGCTGCAAGTTAACTTCTCTTCAAATAATCAAAATGATGATAATAGTGATGATGGTGGTGCTAACTGCAAGATGCTAAAGATGCTGTGTTAATGCTAACTGCTGCAGCGTTTTAAAGTAAACCTTTATCAGGTAGAATAACCTGCTTCAAGAGATCTCAGAAAAACAGCCTTGTTCTCCTCTCACTGTATATGGATTTAGTACATGCATATTAAGAGTGCATGCACATGTCTACCGTTGATAATCACTGCAAAACAAATGAGGCATTACATCATTTCAAAACCCCAAACTCTGAAATCCTTCCAGTGGAGCAAGCATACTCTAAAGAGCGCTGCTGGCTCCAGAAATCTTATATTTTAATAATTTATGTGTTGTTAAGGGCAGGTATCCTTGGAAACAGGACTTAGAAGAACTTTCTGCCATCCAACACCAGCAGACACCAGCAGATCCAGTTTGATCAAGTCCATTCCAGGATTATTCAGATTGCCCAAATTGTACTTGTCTGTCTCCATGTTTGACGGATGCAGAGTGAGGGCATACTGCCCCCTGCTTTCTGGTTCTGTGCCCTACAAATAAGTTTCTGACTGAGAAAATAATTTTGACAGCGCCCCCTAGGCTGTTCACATGCTGATGTGTCCTTGGGCATGACTCTCGACCCCATCTGACCCCGCTAGCTGCACCCAGTGGTGTGAAAAGTGCTGTTTAAGCATAGCTGTTTACCATCTTCATCAGCTCACAGTCAGCTAAAAGTCTCCTCACTTCTGCTCAATGATCACCAATGCTGGAAATAACCATTCATGAATGTATGTTGGAAATTATCGGCCTGCGTGTCCTTTACATTCCCAGTTTGGACAAACTATGCTTCTGCAGGATTGGATCATTTAATGTTTTGTGCTTCAGACTACACTGGCCTCATTCTCAGACAAAAACTTAGTGTTATGAACTGAAAAGCCACTTGTGCACCCACAGCATCACAATGGTTTATACAGCGTGTTAAACGAGCCACTCATTTAAACTTTATTTTCCAATTTTTATCTTATGTTTCTCTGTCTGGTTTAGAATTTTGTTGAAAAATAACTAATGTTTCAAGATGATAACATATTCTTTTTTAAAATATATGAATTATCCTTTTCTTGAGCAGGATGTTTACCACTTTCCCAGGCACCAAGACTTACTTCTCCCATCTGGACATCAGCCCTCGCTCACCTCACATGCTCTCTCATGGGAAGAAGATTGTTCTGGCCATTGCAGAGGGAGCCAAAGACATCAGCCAGCTGACTGTCACCTTAGCTCCTCTGCAGACCCTACACGCCTACCTGCTTCGGATAGACCCCAGCAACTTTAAGGTACCTTACCAAAGCAAACTGATCTACTAAATCACTGATATGTCTTTATTTATAAGGCGATTCTCAATGCTCCCGTCTTATTTGTGTCATCTCACATTGGGAATTGGGATCTGATGGAACTGGTTTCTCTGAATGTTTAGATGAAAGTGTTGGAGGGAGATGCATCAGACTATAGATGCTTTGAATGATGACTCTCTGCTGTATGATTAAAAGACACGCGGACACGTGTTTTGGATGTCTAACTTTTTGGAACGCTGAACTGCAGATCTTGGTCAGGGCAATCTTACAAAAAAAGATTTTGTGACTTTCTTGGTTATATAAAATGAAATAAAATAATAAACTAGTTTGATGACTGAATGCAGCTGTTAATTAATCAATGTAACCAGCGTGGTAGAGTACACAGCTCTGTATTTATGTGTATGTGACAGATATGACAGATTCTTATCTGCATTTCTCCATATGTAAACAGGCTTTTTGTTGAAATCAAGGACCAACAGGTCAAACTTAAGATAAGTGAGAAAAAATTTATGAGCAACCAGCTGCATTACATTTATAGGTCTGCAGACGAGACAGTTACTCTCTGAAGGTCCCCAATATAGACTCAAAGGTCAACAAAACAGACTGTATGATAGAACTGACAAAGCATATCCCAGTGTTTGAATTTTGTTTTCATGAACTCTAACTGAAACCAGTATTCAATCGGTAATGAACCTTTTTTTTTCTCTCTGCAGCTCTTTTCACACTGTATGCTCGTGGCCTTGGCCTGCCACATGGGCGATGACCTCACAGACGTTGCACATGCAGCAATAGACAAGTACCTGTCAGCCTTCTCAGCTGTGCTTGCTGAGAAATACAGATGAAAACCAAACATATATGGAGCAAGAATGACACCTTATCATATGATATATTCATGTTTGTGTGTATGTTTACTGTGCAATGTTTTTTTTTTTTAGTAATAAAACTGTGCAAATAACACATTTCCTTCTCCTTGTTACAGGGTTGTACATAAACTGCTGACTGTTTCTGAGCATGGATTGATAGTGATTTTTTTTTTGTATTAATTCAGGTCTTATAAGGATGAGCCTTTAGGAACTATCAATATGTTACAGCAGGCTCTCAGTAATTGTATGTAAAGGTTTTCTTCTTGTCATTGTGATGTAAGTTGTTATCTTAAATAGACCAATATCATTACCACAAATTAAAAACTCAACAATGTAACTAGGCTAGTATTTTTTTTCCATACATATTGACATGTTGAATTAAGGAAATGCTGTTTTGAGTCTTATGAATTTTTATTTATTATTATTATTTTATTTTATTTTATTTTTTCAATTAAAACACATCAAGGCTTATAATAATGTGAAGTAAGCATTTTCATTTACAAAGTGACCAAACTAAGCAAATGCCAGAATACACATAGTTTATCATATTTTTCTTCAAGCCTCATGAATAAAAATTCCATGTACATACAGTACAGGCCAAAAGTTTGGACACACCTTCTCATTCAATGCATTTTTTTGTTTTCATTACTATTTAAATTGTAGATTCTCAGAACTATGAATGAACACATGTGGAATCATGTGCTTAAGAAAAAAGTGTGAAATAACTGAAAACATGTATTATATTTTAGATTTCTTAAAGTAGCCACCCTTTGCTTTTTTGATAGCGCTGCAAACTTTAGCTGTTCTCTCAATGAGCTTCATGAGGTAGTCACCTGAAATGGTTTTTACTTCACAGGAGTGCCTGAAGTAACCCTGACAAGGTACTTCTGTCATCAAGAGCAAAGAGTGGCTATTTTAAAGAAACTAGAATATAAAACATGTTTTCGGTTATTTCACACTTTTTTTATAAGTACAAAATTCTACATGTGTTCATTCATAGTTTTAATGCCTTCAGTGACAATCTACAATGTAAATAGTCATATAAAAAAAAAAGAAAAGACATTGAATGAGAAAGTGTGTCCAAACTTTTGGCCTGTACTGTATATTTTTTTCCTTTTTTGAGAGAAAGGAATCAAGACTGAAGATAATAATGATAAAAAAAAAAACATTCAATATAACAGGTGATGACGATTTCATTTTTCAAGATGAAGTGAAATTTTTAACGACAAAATGAAGTTGTTTCAATTAATTAATGAAATCAAAAAATGATCACATAGCAATGAAGCACACAAGTATAGTACAGATGCAGTATCACTGATCAGCCATAAGTAAAAGCTGAATAGGGTCAAAACAGCTCTATCTTATGTATTTCTTTGCTCGAGCAGGCGAGGAGGTATGTCTTAGACTACACTGACCTCTCACTGGACCTTTACAGTCAGCTGATTGCAGATACAACCTCTAATTGGTCGACAGGTCAATACAATTCTGGCATCCTCTCAGGGGTGAAAGTAATCCGGTATGCAGTGGTATGCCTTGCTGGGAAGACATAAACAGCAGTTTACAGCAGGTACTTAGCGGTACCCGAACTTCCCCCCTGCAATGTAGGCTACGTTTGCTTACCGTGTCGCCGCAGGTCAGTCTGCACTCTGCATTGTAACGTAATAATCCAATAGGACCATGCTGCTTGCGAGTGAGTCGTATTTGCTTCCGCAAACAAACTCCAAAAGTGGGCGTGCTCAGTGCGCACTTTTTATTGGATGCTGGTTGCTTAGGCAATGGGGACCGCTTCCCGCCTTTTGCGGGAGGAAACTTTTAAAGAGACAGCTGCTTCAATCTTACTGCAGATATAAAACAACATGCATGCAAATTAAAAAACGATTTTATGTTCAAGAGAAAGAAGGATGCAGCAGATGATAATACTGTGGCATCAGAGCCTGACCTCGTTAAACTTGCTTCTCTTGTACAAAGCTTATGGATACAGTATCTGCAAGAACCTTATCCTAATTTCACCTCTGCATCCTCTATTTAGTATGGTTTCTTCTACAAAGAAGCACGAAACCCCCCAAGGATGGCCTAGATATTGTTAGACATAGAGCTGATTAATTGGGCTGATTATTGGCATTTTGACATAATCACCTTCATTTCAGAACCAGCCCTCGCAAGGCTGATATCAACGTTATCTTTCCAAGTAAAAATGCATTGAACAGCATATAAACTCTATCTAGCCGAGCAGTAGCTAATTTTTTCAGCTAAAAAATAAAAAATTAGCAACATTGTCTTTCATTTGTTAGCATCATAGACGGTATATACTATGTACAACTTGGTTCCACCTTCTGCCAGTATACAGATTTGAAGCCAAAAAGCTCTCCGTGCAGTAGTACGCACTCCACTACTTGCTCGGTAGTATTGTACGCATTTGGCGGGAGAGTCGCTGAGAGTCGCTGTGACGACGCTCGGCTCGAACGGCATATCCCCCGGGTGAGCTACGCAATCCTTGAACGCCAATAGGCTGTATCAGATGTCAATCATAGAAAACATGAACCCCCTAATAACTTTTAAAAATGGTGCTGTACAGGAAAAAGAGGACTTGAGCACAAACCAGTCTTACAAAAACTACATGTCAACATCGCAACCAGGGGGAAAAAATGTATATTCTGTGTAATAAATTTCTAAAGTTTGTCCACAGCCCCATAAGCTTTGCTGGTGGAGGCGGGATTTGTGACCTATATTGCTGTTCGTCACTAAAGGGTGCTGTTCTCGGAGTGGCTTCACCCAGCGAGGGGGCAGACGCTGTCCATTCTATATACAGTCTATGGTTAGCATAATTGTAATTAATATATATATATATATATATATATATATATATATATATATATACATATATATATATATTCACAGTATTTATATCAGCTCTTGGCCAACCTGCTCTCTCAAACTGTGTAGGCATTAGCCATCGAAAAACTGATATTGGTCAAAGGCTAATTAGAAACATCTAGAAGACACATTTGTGTTATAGATACTAACATTATTGTTGTCTGTCGACCTGTCTGTCTGCTCTTGTGTGTCTTTTGTTCTTTTTGCCTCATCTTATAACCTTCTTTTCTGTTTTGAGCTGCTATCTAGGCTGTAATTTATGTCATAATATCATTAATGAGCTCAGTAGATCATTGCTAAATATTGCCAAGAGCATTCATTCATGAGGGATTTATGCTGGGTCTCTCAATTTGACACGTTTGGTTTGTGTCTATTTTGGCGCCCCCTGTGGACAAAACAGTCTTTGCTTTTCTTGTCCTCTACAAGCTTGGACAATGTTTTGGACAAAATATCCAAGCCTGTAGGCAATTTATGACGGAATCATTTACTCAGCTGCTCGACAGACACCTACCCCCCATAGGTAGGCTATCATAAAAAGGCACTAATGAGAATGTAAGTCTATTTCATGGTTGTTTAAGAAAAAAAAACTCCTCACAGGAGCTTTAAGTGTCATGCGATATCTTTGACGCTGGTTTGGCATTATGAGCAGAAAAAAAATTAACAGTTTGATTACCAAAACAAAACACAAAAGGCCTGAAGAGAAGTAGGCCTACTCTCCTGAAACTTGCGGACAGTGACCCTAGCTGGATGCAACAAGTAGTTGCAGGGAGTTTTCCAGCACTCCTGCACAAAGTTGTCTGTCTGCAAAATTTCTGGTGGTGGTTGTTGTCGGTGTTAAGATGAATTTGAGGGAGGTACGTGTGATTGATACGCCTGTTTTGGATTAAGGTATTTAAACGATGTCAAACAATTTAACCATAAAACAAAAAGGTAAAACCTGAATTTGAGATGAAAAATATTAATTTCTAAGACGGAAATAATTACTTTGGCGTGTGCATATGAGAGTAGTCATATCCTCTTGTGGTTAAACAAGTAGGTCAAGTTGCTATTTTTGTGAGGTTCCATATGTGGGTTTTGGTTTTACTCTTCAAACAGGCTTTTTCAGGGCTGGAGCTCTTATCTACTGCACGATGAGCTGTGGTCACAGATAGTGGCCGTGCGTCTGAGCAGACCAAGAGGAGCAAGACCTTAAAAACCGATAACCACTATGTCCCCAATTGACCCCACATATCTTTTCATGTTACATATTTGATGATATTCCATCTTTGTCATTGTAATCGCTTCACATGCAAAAATATTCTGTAAATTTCCAAAGGGTTCTAGGCCTACCTCACCCTGACCCTAAAAATCCTCAGGTTAATCAATTATTATATTTAAAATTATTATATTTAAAGACCACGTATTTTAAAAGTTCTCTTTATCAGTCTTGATTTGTGCCAAACCAAGGTGTAACCCACAGTGAGTGCCGTGCGTGAAAAAAATGGACAAGCAGTCTCAGCTTAGCTTTATTTTGGCCTTGTTAAGTTATTTAAAGAAAAAAACAGATAATGGTCTCCTCTTGGTTTCGCGATGATGCAGGTTTAGTGGTACTGCTTTCCCAGGGCAGCCACCACAACCGCCAGAAACTTCTGGAAGGCTCCCTGAACCTCAGGGGTGAAGGCAGATCCCATTTTGGCAGCAACGACAATGCTCAGGCAGTCAGACAGCAGCTAGAAAGGAATCGAAGTTAACATTGATTAATTTGACATGAAAGCACACTGTAAATGTCTTTTTTTTTCTTAAATGAAAAAGGCATTAGATAGCTTTTGTACTTATTTGCATAAAAGATGGGTCAGGTAGCCAACATATCAGTTTGCTTATTTCCAAATACAATTACAACACTGAGGCGCTGAAAGTTGCCAACGTGACTGATTAAATTGTGAGTGCGATGACTTTAGAGAGAAAGAAGAGTGAAAAGTTTACTTTAAAGTTGTCGGGGTCCACATGCAGCTTCTCGGAGTGCAGCACGCTCAGCTCCGCATAGGTGGCCTTGATGTTGTCCATGTTCTTCAGAGCCCGGTCCAGACCGTGCAGCACCGTGATGCCATGGTCTCTGATTCTCTCGTTTTTCTGGATAGCTTCAGCATTGTAAAGGTTGCCGAAGCCGCCGAAATACCTCTGAGTCCATGGGTAGACGATCAGGCACCTGTAGGGGAGGAAAATCAAACTCCTTGTTAATACATAGGCATATATACAATTTCATTCAAATTTGAAAGACTCATAGGGGTTTACCTGAACAAAGCCTTGGGGCCGATATCGTCATAGTCCAGGCTGCCAAAGATTCCTTGGATGATGTTGCGCTCCGCGTCAGTCCACTCAACCATGTTGTCTCTTGTCTCTGTGCTTCGACTTGACAGAAAAAGCTGTCATACTTAGCTCGATTTCCCTTTTTATATTAGTTACTACCCCCACCTCACCCCATGGATGGGGTGGGGACACTGTGAATGACAGGAGTCACAGATAAACATATTATATCAGGCAGTGGCGTACTCTGACAGGCAGGGGCGAAAAAACGAGAAAGACACCATTTGTATGCCATTGGGCACTTTTGCACAGAAAGTTTGATTACTTGAAACTCTACCTTATTTAAAGACCATTTCATGATATCATCAGAAGGCGTTTCCCACAAACCTGTTCTAGCCCTTCAAAAGAAATGGCGAGCTGGTTATATATATTTTTATTTATATATTTTTGGCAAACTCCTGTCTTTTGGTAATAAGACAGGAGTCTGGCGCTGCGCTCTCTAGGGATATCTAATATTATATAATATTATATATATTATTATATTATTATTATTATTATTATTATTATTATTATTATTATTATTATTATTATTATTATTATTATTATTATATTATTATAATATATTATATTATATAATATCTAATATAAGCATCTAATATTTAATTCCCTGCATTCTGGTAATATGCCACATTTAGGGAAAATGAAAATGAAAAATGGAATAAACTGATTAAAGACTGGGATTAAAATGACTGTATGGTGTTTTATGCTGAACTCACAAATCTGCATATTGACCAAACATGAAAAATGGTTAAATTACTGAAATATCATCACGTTTTCTGCACTGAAGGGGCACTATTTTATGATAATTTGGCCAGGTGGACATGATTTCACATTTTACATTTTATCCACAATTATGGAAACCAAGGGACACTTTTTTATATTTTATATACAGGACAGTCATCTAGTGGGCACTGTTTTTTTTTTCTTAAGTAGGAGAATACAGACATCCTTTTTTATGTTAAAGTAAAATGCAAACTAGTAACCCTGGGTGAACTGAAGTGCCCGGGATGCTCAGCAAATTATACTTGAAGAGCTTCTTATAAACACCTAATCAATAGAAAGAACATTAGATGGCATGCTTTTACAGTTTCTTATACTTTAAGGGCACCTAGACGGCATACTTTATTTACTTATAGGCCACAGAGAGGGGTTATTTTTGCATTTAATATGGCAACCAGAAACCTCTGCCTCTTTAGAGTATTTTATTACAAAAGAGGCATCCAAGAGAGCTCTTTAGCGACTCGTTTTTCAGACATGAAGCCCTCAGTGAACTTGTAGCTCAACAAAGTTCTGTGTTTCTTTGATGAGCCTATCAAATCTCTATATTACGCTTCTGGATTATTTTCAACTGTACTGTTATTTTAAAAGACAGTTTCAGCCTACACTCATAAGTACCTGAGGTGCAGTGAAGCCAAGTGCGTAATTACGCACGCATGAAAAGGAAAAAGGACAAGACACAAGCTCTGCTTTAGAGTGTCTTTATTATTTTATTAGACACGTCAAAGACCCAAGACCACTTTCGGGCGTCATGTTGTCGTGAGTTTAATGGTACTGTTTTCCCAGAGCAGACACCACCACAGCCAGAAATTTCTGGAAGCTGGCCTGAACATCAGGTGTGAAGTCACTTTTCATGAGGGAGGCGATTTCAATGGCCAAACAGTCAGACAGCAGCTGTAGAATAAAAAGAGAAAAATTAACTTAATGTATCCATTTATAATATGCAGTCTTAAGACAGCTTGGCTTTGCTTAGCAGTATAAACTGTAATTTATGACATGAAACCATGACTTTTCTAATCTTTTTCTAGATATATGTATACGCCACTATCCGTGTAAAATCGACATTTTGAATGATTTGTCTCAATGAGAGACAAAGGAATGTGACCATTAAGTAGGATAAAATTAAAAAGTTTACTTTGAAGTTGTCGGGGTCCACGTGCAGCTTCTCGGAGTGCAGCACGCTCAGCTTGGCATAGGTGGCCTTGATGCAGTCCATGTTCTTCAGAGCCAGGTCGAGACCGTGCAGCACCACGATGCCATGCTTTGCGATTTTGTCGTTTTTCTGGATGGCTTCAGCGTTGTGAGTGGCACCGAAGTCACCAAAATACTTCAGGCACCAGGGGTAGACGATCAGACACCTGGAGAAGAAAAAGAGTAATAACATTTAGAGAGTCATTCACAGCTATTAGTTTATTGCTCTCAGGTTTCACTACCGATGAGTCACGTACCTTCGCAGTGCCTTGGGGCCGATGTCGTCATAATTCAGGCTGCCAAAGATTTTGTTGATGGTGCTACGCTCCTGCTCAGTCCACTCAACCATGGTGACTTTTTTTATTTCAGGCTTCAAAACAAAAGTCTGGATGCTTGTGTTGCTTGACCCCTCTATTTAAATATCACATATTACACTCTCATCTGAGGGAGCGTGGGCTGTGATAGGCTGGAGATGAGGAGTGTTCGATAAAACGGAAACTCCCTCTCATTTTTATCGATGTATTACAGATCTACAACTAACGCCAAAAATTGGTTCCGAGCCAGTTAAGTTTGGCAGAGTGAGCATTTTTTTTTTTTTTTGCAAAAGTACTCTATCACACGAACTGCACATATTCTCGAGGCAAGATATTAAAACTACTAGAAAATAAATCAAGTAGAGAAAGAAATTGAACACTACGGGTTGCGATCGTTGGTGGAATAAATAATTCATCTTAAGAGACTGCCCTTGTTAAAGGTTACCAACAGCAGCACCGAGCCATGTTAGCTTTGAATAGTTTTCTTTAATCCTATGATGAGGTATGAAAAAGTTACGCTACATTGAACAATCAAGATGTTGATTACAATTTTTCTTTTAAACTTTATTTATTTATTATGCTTGCGTCTTCCCAAATTAAGACTAACCCCCAGTGTAACAACGTGCGGTGCGTAATTACGCACGTATTTGCCAAAAAGAGAGACAGACAGAAAGAAAATCGCGGACAAGAAGAAACTTTGCTTCAGCGTTCCTTTATTTTTTGTTGAGGAGAGAAAGAAAAAAGCCCCCGGCCTCCTTTTGCTGTCATGATGTAGCAGGCTTAGTGGTACTGCCTTCCCAGAGCAGCCACCACAACGGCCAGAAACTTCTGGAAGGTGGCCTGAATCTCAGGGGTGAAGGCAGATCCCATTTTGGCAGCAACGACAATGCTCAGGCAGTCAGACAGCAGCTAGAGAGGAAAAAACAGAGAATAATATTATTTTCTACCATGTGTCGTATTTCAATGTCCTTTTTACGTTTCTTTGAGTCAATATAGTGACATGGAAGTCTGCATAATACGTCCTGCTGCAGGCCAATATACAAACGTACTTATTACATAAATTGATGTGATGTTTGTGTATATTTTGGGACTTCGTGTGCGGAGGTGTGTGCACGTTATTTCTTCTGGGTGCGCTGAAAGAAAAGTAAAAAGTGTACTTTGAAGTTGTCGGGGTCCACGTGCAGCTTCTCGGAGTGCAGCGTGCTCAGCTCCGCATAGGTGGCCTTGATGTCGTCCATGTTCTTCAGAGCCCGGTCCAGACCGTGCAGCACCTTGATGCCATGGGCTGCGATGTTCGGGTTGCTTTTGATAGCTTCAGCATTGTAAAGGTTGCCGAAGGCGCCGAAATACCTCTGAGTCCATGGGTAGACGATCAGGCACCTGCAGGGGGAGGAAAATAAAACTCCTTGTTAATACATAGGCCTATTATTAACAGTTAATTCTATGTCTTCCGGCAACGTGCCCTTTACCTGCACAAAGCCTTGGGACCGATGTCGTCATAGTCCAGGTTGCCGAAGATTCCGCTGATGATGCTGCGCTCTTGCTCAGTCCACTCAACCATGTTGTCTCTTGTTTACTGTGTTCAGGCTTTGGAGAAGAACTGAATACTTTCAAAACGCTGCCCCGGAGTTTTTATGTGTTTTAGAGAGACCCCCGCCCTTGATAAGGGTCTGAGTGGGGGTCTCTAAAAATCGATATCCCCACTCAAAAAGTTGTCACATTTCTTAGATGTTTCTTGATTTAATTCGCAAAAATGACAAAGTTTGAAGGGGCCTTTCATGTCCATTTGAAATTGGCAAATAGTCAAACTGTTTCAAGCCTCTCTTATTTCTTGATCTTTTTCTTAATTTATCAATAATTCTGACATTCATCATATTGTTATCAGCCTAAATTTGAAAAGGCTTTGGTTTCAGCATCCGGAATCAAAACTCAACATTTTTTTTCAGTGACGTCTATTTTTGCATTCATCCATTTTTAATGTGAAATTAATGCATTTTATATCATATCTCTATGTCGTTCCAGTCAAAATGAACCTTAATTGTTAAAAGGTTAATGGAAAGAATGTTTTAGCAAATAGAAAAAAGCAGGAAACAATTTTTTAGGCCTCCGTGTGACCCGTACATAAATATGTATTTTGATATTTCACTATTCGCTATCATTGATCTTGCTTGGGAGCAGCCATGACTGTGTCATGCCATAGTATTATCTGTACAAGCACACTGGTGTTATCGTGAGCAGCGCCCCCTCCACCCATGCACGAGCTGCCAAAGTGTCATATTTTGATCGAGTGGAAGCTTAGTGCTGTTGATAAAGGGGGTGTGTGAAGTCCCCCTTTTGATAGGCAACAAATCAAGCCAAATTGTGCAACTATCAAAATGTAAATGCTAAATGTACATGAATTAAGAAATATTTTTCTTTTACCTGACCTGACCTTATCCAACAAAATGAGGTGCACCCCAGCGTTTATGTGTGCGTCATTGTGTGTGTGTGTGTGTGTGTGTGTGTGTGTGTGTATATATATATATATATATATATATATATATATATATATATATATATATATAGATTATTTTGATAAGTTTAATTATTTTGACAAGTTTAATATGCATTCTTTTTGCACAGCACCTCATTGGTCTTGTATTTAAAAACTATCACATTTTTCTCAAATATTCTGTTTTTTCTGCTTTTCATTTTTTCTTTACTTTCTTTTTTACTTAGGTTGCCTTTGTCTTGATGTTTTGATGTCTTGTATGAAGCACACTGAAGTTCAATATGCTGTTAAATTGCCTTGGTTAATATCTCATTTGACTTTCATGCTGCCAAAATAGTTGAATATTAATCAAATAAACTGTTTCCAAAACTGAGTTTATGTCTTTTACTTATGTTAGCGCGGCAGGTGGATGTAGGTAAACTAATTAGCATTGGCATGGGCTTGCTACAAATCGATATGGTATTTCAGAACCTGAAGCCGTGGCTTGGGCGTAAATTTCCACAGGACAGTGGCGCCCAACTTGTGCCCCTGCCTGAGGCGTGACCCTCGATGACCTCTGCTTTTTTAGAAAATTTCCGTGTCACCCCTTCGGAATCCTGACAATGCAAAATTTTTTGGGACTCATCCATCAAAAATATTTCTGCCAGCAGCCGCCCACACTGCGCGCAGCAGATAGTTTTTTATCAGACGCCGATCTGCGTCAGTCAGTACGCCTTGGCATCTCCTCTGGTGGGTGTGACTCTCCAGCCACTGAATTTAAGTGGAGGCCCGCACTAGCCTGAGATCACTATCCGACTCAGGTAGACACTCAATCAGCCGACATGAGTTTGACCGACAAAGACAAGGCCGCAGTCAAGGCACTGTGGGCCAAAATTTCCAAATCCGCAGATGCCATTGGCGCTGACGCCCTGGGACGGTAAGTGTGGCATTTATTATTCACTATTTTTGTGACAGTTCTTCTGTAGAGTTGGTCTCGGGCATGCATTCACTCTTTTTAAAGAGTTTGTGGTATTTGGAGAAAGTGCAGGATGAGGAGTGATCAGTGACTGCAGCATAATCTCAGCTCCAACCCGAGATGGTGTCTCGCTCAGGCGCAACTCATTTTAATCCAATTGGTTTCTAAGGAGCAGGAGAGAACAGTCAAAAAAGTTTTGGTATCACTATTGCAAAGCGCTCAAACACTGCTCAGCATAGATATGCTTTTTATAAACTTCGATTTGACGTGGAATTTGTTTGGGAGGCACTTCTCCCCCAGATAAAAGTTGTCATATCTTGGCTAAATACAGTTTAAATTGTACCCTGCTAAGAGGGTATACAATGGAGCCCACCAAGTGTCGCTAAGCAACGAAAATAAAGACCAACCACTTAGATTAATTCTAAGACAACTGAGCCTTGTTTTATTTAATAAGATTCACGTTGTCTCCACCTCCGCAGACTGCTGTGCGTCTATCCCCAAACCAAGATCTACTTCTCCCACTGGGGCGACTTGAGCTACAACTCCGGCCCCGTGAAGACCCATGGGAAGAAGGTGATGGGTGGAATTGCTCTTGCCATTTCCAGGATCGATGACATGACCAATGGATTGCTGGAACTGAGCGAGCAGCATGCCTTCAAGCTGAGAGTGGACCCGGCCAACTTCAAGGTGAGACTCTGACATCTCGCAGGAGCCCACGCACCTTAGTCATAACAACAGAAATGTGTATAACAACAACAACAAGATCTATCGGTCACTGTCAAACTATGCGTATTTGTTCGCCGGGTTTACGCACAAACGCTGTCAAGCCACTACAATGCAAATGATGAAATAACTTGATAAGACTCTTTCAATGTATGGCGTGTATTTCGATAGTAATGGTTTTCTCTGTTCTCCGCAGCTCCTGGCCCACTGCATCCAGGTGGTGATTGCCTCCATGTTCCCAAATGACTTCCCCCCCGAGGTCCACGTTTGTATGGACAAGTTCTTGGCCAACCTGGCTCTTGCTCTCGCTGAGAGATACCGCTAAGAGGCCAGCAGCGTGGGATGCGGTCTGATGCGGGAATTTTTCAATGTACTTGAGAAAAAGAAATAAAGATATATTTGCATGCCGCTCAGAAGTCATACTACAACTGTCTCCTGTTTTTGTGTTTTATGCATAGTATGGAATCTAACGTCAGACATTTTAAACGATCAGAAAACAAACGAGTGACCCTTGTATGTTACATCTTTATTCCATGAAAAAGTCTCCACCAATATCCTTAATCATTTGATAGCCTTGATCCTATGCTAAGGCATGAATCAAAAGCATTTGCCTGCATTGATACAAGGTTTCAGTTCATTAACGCACTTTGCAATAAAACACACAAATCTCATGTTTTCATGACGATCCGTAACCTTTCATCACCGAGAATGAGCCTGAAACAAAAAGGAAACATTGTCAACTTCGTTCGTTTTTTTGTTTTTTTTAAAACTTATTTTAATTCAATATATAAATATTTATTTCATTCAAGGGTCTTACCTTAGGAGGGCAGCAGCTACCACACCTCCTCCCACAGGTCCCACCCAGTAAACCCAGTGATAGGTCCAGTAGTTCGTCATCACTGCCGGACCAAAGGCCCTGGCAGGATTCAGACATGTTCCTGATATGTCTCCTCTAAACAAAAGTATTAAAATTCAGCATCAGACTTCATCAAATATTGAAATTAAAGAATTGTTATATGTAAACAAACCACCATTTTAACTTTGATACCAGCAACATATCACCAAAAAGGTAAGGCAGGTGCATTTGTTCTATTTTGTTGCATTACTTTTTAACACATATAGTGAAAGTTTGGAAATGAAGGAGACCATGTGCAGGTTTAATGTATTTTTCATTCCACTGGGTGAAAAATTGGGACTTCAGGCAGGCCAGTTGGCACCTAGACTCTTCTACTACTCTTCTATTGCTATGTTGCACTGCAGAATATGGTGAGGCATCATCCTGCTGAAATATAGGAGGCCTTCCCCCAGAAAAAGCATTATCTGTTGCTTCAAAGTCTGTATGAATTGTTCGGCATAAGTAGCTAATTCCACCCCAAATGTGTAAGCCCATCACCTGCTGCTGGCTTTTGAACTAAGCACTATTGATAAGGTGGCACCTCTCCTCTTTGTGTCCAGGACTTCCAAAAAGTGTCGTCTGCAAACTCTAAACCTTTACTTTTTTACACCCGGTCATGTTGCTAACCTGCAATAAACCTGAGGGAAGATGTTCCTCAGGAATTTTCTGTGTTTTGTTATCACTGCACTTTTTGAAACATGACATTAGATTTAGATTACGCATGTATTTTTTTATACAACAATAAAATTTTCCAGTTTCCAATTTACTTGAAATTTTGTCTCTACACTTTTTTCAATCATAGGATCTTTTTAAAATCATTTTATTTTCGGGCATTCAATACAGTCTGAGAGAAATTAAGAAGCCCCCCGAATTAATGTATAACCTTAAAGCTCCTGTCAGGAACTGAGTTGAATTTGATACCCCTATGGAAAAAGCAGGAGGATTTGTCCCTCAACCAGCTTCCAGTATTTTTCAAAAGTGGAGTGAACTATTTTTGTATTTTTTTTTAACATTACATTAAGATAAATAATTGTTAAAATTTTCTTTTTAATTAATGCAAAAAAATGTATTAAAGATAACGTCATGGTCAAATTTAAATGTAAAATATAGATATAGATATTAGATATCACTCTGTTTGTTTAATAATCACTCTGTGTTAAATATTGAATACAAATGTTGAATAACCATCTATAATATATGCTGAGTGTTGAATATTAATATTAAATATAAATGTTGGAGTTTTAATTAAAAGTCTGTTCTTTTGTAGTTCTGTGTAGTGGGCTCTTGTAGCTTATGTATAGCCAATATGAAGATATTAAGTAGAAGAGAAAGTATCTGTTTTTAATTTTGGAAACTGCTGTTATGGCGTAGATGTCTGAAAGAGATGATTGAGACCTTTATTGTCCTTTCTATGGCAAAGATTCCAAGCAAGTAACGCATCTGTTAGCTAAAAGACTTCAAAAAGTCAAAAAAACACAACAACACAATAAATCCACTAAGAGATGAGATAGAACACTTTGTCCACAGAGTGGCGCCAGACAAAGAAAAAGTAATTTTTAAGGGCATTTAACATTTCTAGGGCAAGTGAGCTGCCTTCAAATAGCAGCCTGTTCAAGCATTATAAGATACATGGTTACCCCTTCTTTATCTTACCCCGCCAGGATATTAATGATGACAGTGCAGCCCACGAGGAAAGGGGCCAACGGGGTTTTGGTCTTGTGGTTTACTGCCACCAGCAGCACCACCATGGTGACTAAGCAGGTCATAGCCACCTCCCCAAAGACAGCGCCTGCCAGCTGACTGTCTGACTTGAGTATATCAAACGCTGCTCCTGTGGCGTTGATGTAACGTTCTGCAGGGGTCATCATCTGTGAGGTAGAAGTTGTGATGAGCTTGATTTTAATATCAGAGATTAGATTAACATGGTTTATTTCATTGTAAGAAAGCCCTAATTTTCTTCACAGGAATAAGACAGGGATTATTTAACATCACCTGCATGAGTTTAACCTAACTAAACCCAACCTAAATTATTAAAACTGAACTTACATGGCCCAGAGTACCGTATCCCATGATATCCTTACATGTCATAACGTGATGCAACATGAAACAATGCAAAGCAACATAGTTGTAAAATTACATTTTAAATGGCCTGACTGAACAGATGTAATCAAATCAGATGTGACACAATGTAACATATCCCATTAAATAACATAATGCAAAGGTAAGTATGTGACAAAGTGTAATGTAACAAAATGTACCAAAGCATAGCATATGATGTATCATAACCTTATGTAACATAATGTACCATAACGTAATGTAACGTGACAAACATATTAAACATTTAAAAACATAACATAGAAAAAAAGTAACAAAAAACGACTAAACAAAAAGTAATATGTTGTGATGTGACCAAGGTAAATGCAGCCTTATATTATTTCCACCTTACCGAACATAATGAAACCAAAGTCATACAAATCTATGTAAACTGATATAACATTGACCTGTTACAAAACATATAACAATAAACTGTACATAACACATCACATGTAATATATAGAAATGTAGCATAGCGTCAAGTCACCAGATGTGCAATCTATGAAATCATAGTGTATAGTTGAAATGACATGACTTTTTTTGCCCCTACAGGACACAATGAGATGTGGCTTTGACGTAATGTAACGTAACGTAACATAACGTAACATACCTGGCTAAAGTTCTTTTTAATAACTTTAACTTAGCCACATGACCCCTTTAGAATAAACTCTGATAATGTAACTAAACCTTCGTTTAACTGTAAATAACATCATGAAACCATCTCGGTGTGAACTAACAGGATGTCAAACATTCATCACTACAGAATTTTTGCAGTTTACTTTTTACTGACTTTGGCCATTCCAGCCCCCAGCACTCCTCCAGTCAACTGGCTGACAAGGTAGGGTACCACCAGTGATGGCTCCATGCCACCACACAGGTAGATGGCAATAGTAAATGGTGGGTTAAAATGGGAGCCGCTTGAGGAAGAGAAACAGTGTAAAAAATCTTAGATCAAATGGAAAAGTACACATTTTTTCATAAGTAAATTGATAAATAGTATGACAAAAAAGAACAAAACAAGTAGGAAAAAAAGCCTTTTCACTGAGCATCTGTATCTAGGTCATTAATCTCTCACATGAATTACCTTATCTTATCCATGGCGGCCACCATCACTGCAACAGCCAGTCCATGTACCAAAGCTGGCTGCAAGCGTCCAGCTGCAGGCACATTCTCGATGACTGACACGCAGCCAATGAAAACAAAAAACATGGTCCCCACGATCTCAGCTAAGCAGGGCTGGAACACCCTCTCATATTTGTTTGGTGGTTTGGGTGCAGGTGGCTTTCTTCCTGTCTCCATCAGTTTAGAGTCTAAGTTTTCCATTTCTATTTTCTCAACTCCCATGTCACCTGTGTGAATGTCTTACTAGACGAGCTTTCTGTTCCAAGGTAATTCCCACAGAGCATCCACTCCACTGCACCTGCACGACTGATTCTCCGTTCCTGCAAGTTGTTTTGGCCATTCGTATTTATCACTCTCACCTGTAACGATGAACTAGAATTGCTTCACAGCGTCATAAAAACATCAAAGGTGAAGGATTTCCCGTGATTCCTTGTGGCCACATAATCTCCGCCCCAACATCCTCACAGCTCATGTTTGGATCAATTAGACCAGGCAATCTAGTTCTTGAAGGCCACACCAAGATGTATGATCAGTGCTGTTAACCTTGGTCAGTGAGGTTGGATAGGTTCGAGGGGTTCAAGAAGTGCACAATCTGGTTCACATGCATTCCTGTAGTGAGCAACATTAGCTTTCAAACATATAGATAAGACCTAGGTTGAAGGACAATAATCTTTATGGTTTAGTGCCTTCATGTTAAACTACACTGTCAACAATTATTCCCATCACATTTTACTGAATAGGCTCAGAGTCAGGGTTATCAAACTCAATACTGTTAGTTTTGACATTCAAATAATGAAGTACATTTGAATTTGACAGTGTGACGACTACTTCTCTAAGGGAAATATTGTACTTTGAGCTCTGGTTTATCTAAGTGGTTAGGACATGAACCCCACAATAACTTTGTTTTGTCTCCACACTGGATCCCTTGCTGCTTATCAACCTTTATTCTTTCTTCCATGCACTTTATATCTCTCCTCAGTTCAGCCACTAAAGCAGAAAAAGACCCCTAAAATTCTTCTTACATACCATCTGTTCTTAAATATTTTTTTTTCTCAGTGAAATAGAAAACGGTTAGAGCTGTCCACCACTTTGGCATCCTGTTATGTTTATTTCATAGTCAAAGTTTCAATGTCAGATTAATAGTAATTGAAAGCACCATTAACTCCCTTTGTTTTGCTTGCTTGTATGTGGCCTGAGATACAAGTGTTTATATCTGTTCATTTATAGTTTCCATGTTGCGGTGGATATAAGGCCGCCGTAAATGATTTGTACCCAGTTTTATTGTATAGTGTGGTGTCTTGTGTGTTATTTTCAAGTAATAAAGCTATCAACGGTCCCTGTAAAGGACTTTGACCAAAACAATGAAAGTGAACAGACTACAGAAAGTGTCATAATTTTTTAAATGGAATTTTATGTATGTAAACCATGACAAAATCTTATATAATCTTTATATTTCTTTATCAAAAACACATGACTATATGACAATCTTTTTAAAAAAATACTTCTAAAAATCATTTTACAGATATGACAGTGAGTAGGAACTATCATAAGATCTAGCTGATCTCATGGAAAATATATTGTTGGTAAATTAATTAAAATCCAGGTCAAAAAAAAAAAGGTAGTAATGTGTCAACTGAAGGTTGTTTGTTTGTCTTCTTCAAATAAATAAGGCATTCACTTCAACACAAGTCTCGTCTTCTGGTCACCAAACAACAACCTGCAAAAAAAATTAAAACACCTTTAATTATGATTTAATGGCATATTGACAATGTACATTGATCATTAAACAAGCCTATGAGCTGCAGGCATACCGTGCCTTTAAATTCCTTTCATAATTTGACACCACTGGCAAAAAGCTACATGACACAAGTGACCAATGAAGACCTAAAATCTGTGATAAAAAAAACTCCCAAATAACCCACTTAAAGCTCCTGTGATTATTTTTTTTTTTACTTTAAGGAAGACAGGATTGATGTTTCTTATATCACAATTTCTCATTTCCAAAATTGGTGTGAGCTATGTAGCTGAAGAAACAACCCTGATTCACAAATATTCAAAACTAATATGAATTAAAAGTCAGCAAAATTAATTTTTTTTTAAGGATGTAGAAGAGACTGTTTTCTCCACAGGGGGCGCCAACACTGAAACAAACTGAAAGTTCCTCACAGGAGCTTTAACAATGGCGCATGAGTCACAACGCTCTATGGAGAGATTTAAAACAAACAAACAAAAAAACTCACTATGCTGTCTTTTAATGATCAAATATATCATTTAGTGTAAATATTTAATGTTAAAAGTAAAAAGGGGGCTTCTCCTTCAACTGTTTAGCTGACACCTACCCCCTCACACCAATGTCAGACATAAGAAATTACAGCAAATAAATTGTTAATCTCATCCTTTACAGTCTTTTTTTGCTTTTAAATCTTATAAAAAGGCATCAATTTGAATTTCAGTCTATTTAATAAACATAAAAAACTCCTAACTGGACCTTTAAGTTTCAAAATAAAAACAAAGAGATGTTGAAAAAATATAGAAAATTTAAAAACTACAGACACAAATAGCTTCAAAGGGACACCGACTGACTACAAAGAGTTACAAAACAACCACAAAAACAGTTGAGTTGACTTTTTCGAGTGTAGTCAGGTCAAGGGGTATGATTTTATGTAATGCACTTCACACGGCCCCGCTGAGGATTACACTTAATAAGTCATCCATGGTTAAGAATCATTTTGAGTCCAACTGACTTATTGAACAGGCCAAAAAAGTTCACCACTTCTAAACATCACTGCTCCACGGGGCCCCCTGTGGTCAAAAACTTCAATTTATTCCCCTAACATTTAACAATCATCCTTTTACATATAACCAATAGGGATTTTATTGGTTTAGACACGCTAAAAGGTTTCAGTGAGAGTGGAAATGTGTGGCAAAGCTAAAGCTGATCTGGACTGTACACACCTGATGAAGCTGGCGGTGACCAGTGCTCCACAAAAAGGTCCAACCCAGTAGATCCAGTGATGGCTCCAGTGATTAGCAACCACTGCAGGGCCAAAGGCTCGGGCAGGGTTCATACAAGCTCCGGATATCATTGCCCTAAAACAACAAAGAGCAGATAGTTCAGTCCAGTGATGCTACACTTCAAAACTTGTTTTTGATAATCATGCAGGACCAGACAGCCTAAATATTCAGGGATGAGTGGGTTTAGTTAACCAGATCATTGCTCATCAGCACCAGAATCAATAGTTGTTTCAAAAAATGACTTCCAGTTTGAGTTAACTTTAGCATCTTTAGTGGATAGTCATTCCATTTTTTTTTCTCCCTGTTGAATCTCTTACCCAGCAAATATGTTGGCTGTCACAGTGAGGCCGATGCAGAAAGGAGCCCAGGGCGAGCTGGTTTTTGTGTTGATGGCCCCCATGCACACCACAGTGGTGAGAAAAGTCGTCATTATCACCTCTGCCAGAGTTGTTTCAGCAAGAGCATTGGGGGTCACACCGAAGGCACCGCCGAGGGAAGCAGTGTACACACCAGAGGGGTAAATTGCCTGGAAGTATAACCCACTGTCTTTCAGTACACAAGTTTTTATTCACTGTCACCTAGTGTTTTTTTTTCAATCCAGCAAAGTAGGCCAGATTTTTTTAACCAGATATTGATGCTATTCCTTTTTTTTTTTTTCAAATAACTGACCTAACCAGGAAAAAAAATTATGGTACAACAATGTCATTATTTTGAGTAACTGGGTCAAAACTTAGAGATTACTTTGACTTCTTAGACTACTTAAAGACTATAATATTGATTATTTTCTCATATTTCACCAATTACTTTTTAATTTTGTGGTAATTTGACTAAATTTATATACTTTCCAGAATATATTATTTGGCAGGACTTGGCTTCCATACTTCTTCTCACCTTAGTCAAACCAGCACCAGCCATTCCCCCAACCATCTGAGCCAGGATGTAAGGCAACAGCAGAAGAAACTCCATCCCTCCGCACAGGTACGCCATCAGAGACACGGCGGGGTTAAAGTGCCCCCCACTGCAATAAACATGATGAACTTTACTCTTTATCTTCTGAAGGATGTTTTGAACTGATAATGATAACACCTATCTGTTGTGGGATTAACAGAAATAGCAGGTAGTTCTTGGTATTTCTGTACCTTTGTAGAGAAAAAATCATGAGAAGATGATAAAATGTGCCCTAAAGCAGCTTCTGCTTAACTATCATTGATGTCTATATTACAGTAAACTTGCTTAAATTTTACTGAAAGTTTTCTTCAATTAAAACTTGAAAAAAAGTCAGTTTTTTTCTGAGTTTTGGAGGAAATTGTAAGGTCTCATAACTCCTAGAAATGCATATTCCTCCACCTCAGCAGCAGAAAAAGAAAAAAAAAATCATTTCAAACACACCAAAAAATTTGATTCTTTTACCTTATTTGTCCAAACACCATGATGAGCACTCCCAGCGCCAGCCCATGTGCCACAGCAGGCTGGATGACACCCACAGTCCCCACATTCCCGATCACAGATGCGCACCCCACAAACACGAACAGGCCGGTCCCAAAGAGCTCTGCCAAACAGGGCTGCACATACTTCTCAAAGATACATCTTCTCCTGCTTGTCTTTCTCACTTCTGTCTCCTCAGTTATGGTAAAGACCTCAGTCTTGGTTTCCTCTCCTGACATAGTAAGTATGAATGATAACACTATCTAACCCGAGTGAAATTCACCTGTGCTTCTGGTGGCAGTCTGATCCTTGCTGGTCTGATGAATGTACAGTTTGGTATATAAGCCATTTTTATGATGATGCACGAAGGACATACGCACATCCCCATTTTTTTTTTCTGCTGATGCCCCACCTTCCTGTGATTGTTTGTACTCCCAAGACACTCCATCATGTAAGGATCATAAAATTATGAGGGCTGTGATACTGAGTGTCAAAGAACACAGAGATAAAGATGAGGACAATGGATGTGCTATCACTGAAGAGGACAACGACGGGTTTAACTGATACTACATCTTTAAGTCTTCTATCTATAGAATCCAGGATAGACCTGCTGTAAACTTTACTGTTAGAATTATAACTCCAAATCACAGATCTGCACTACAGCCTCTATATATGGGGCGCTTTGACTGCTCAGCCATTGGTACCCCAAACCACAGTGACTGTTATGTAGCAGTGATTAGGGGGCTAATTTTGGGTTAATTATTGGGATATCAGCAAAAACTTGAGTCCACCCATTCATCGATAAATACAGTATCTGTCTGTGTCATTAACTTAGAATCATCATGTCCCATTAGAGTCACTAATACGCAATCTTTTCTGGGGATCCCTGTGCTCCATCATGCCGTGGCCTCCTCTGGATCACTGCTGCTGTGGACCTGCCTGCTGTCCAGCTGCTTCAATTACATGCATCAGTCTCACCTCTGTCCATCTCTCTCTTTCTGCATCTCCCTCTATCCCTTCTCTAAACCCAATGTAGTAGCAGCAGATGACTGTCTCACATAGGTCTGGTTCTGCTGAAGGTTTCTGCCTGTTAAAGGTAGTTTCTCCTCTCCACTGCAAATTGCTAAATGCTGCAAAGTGCCATACTCATGTGGTTGATGATGGAATGGACGTGGGTCTGGTCCTAAAAGATCATCTTTACATTGACTCTTCGGAAAAAAAAACATGGCCTAAACCATCTTATTTTTGTTAAGTGATTTTGGTTAACACTTGTTGTAAATTGGCGCTATATAAATAAAGACTAATTTATTATTGATTGATTGACATAAATACATGCTAGGGATAAAAGCCAATATTACCCTCCATCTCTGGCATATCAAATCTAAAACAGTCACTGACTGGTGTTTAAATGTTGTATCGTATTGTTATATTAAGTATTGACAGTAATGTCAGCCATATTCAGCAATCTATAAAACAACCCAATATTTATGTCTTTCCATTGACTCATGACAAATCCCTCCTAAACATATTACTGGCTTAGACAACCATGTATATTAAATTTGAATGTATACAGATTAAAGAATCTGTCCATGACTTCCTTTTTATATTTTAATCCAAAATTTTCCCTCATATTCCTTTTATTTTGGAACTATTTCAGACAGCTCTACAGAAATCCAGAAGTCCCTTGTGGCAGTATTCAAATGAGTTCTCATCTTTCTGATCATGTCAGCAAAAACTGAATATTCAGGAGCCTCCTGAAAAGAGAATTTGAAGTAGAGGTGCTGTATTGGGTTGAATTAGTTTGTCTAGATGTTCATAATGTTATGGCTGGTCAGTGTATTTTGAAAGTTAAAACTTAAAGCTGCTGTGAGGAACTTTGGTTTGTGTTAATATTGGCGCCCCTTCTGGATAATGTGATACCTCACATCTCTTTCTGACCAAAAACTCATCCTGTGTCTTTTTAATAGTGAGTGATATCGGTCACTGCAAATATTTGCTGTGGAAAAGGCCTACAAAGGCTGAATTTAGACCTGCTGCTGATTGTCTGGTCTGACATCTATCCCCTCACAGCAGTTTAAGGCATTAAAAATTACCATAGTGAAATTATCAGCATTGCTGCTGATAGTGTCTTTTGCTTTGGAGGTCACAAAGAAGCAACAGCATCAGTTTCAGTTTGTTTTACAGCTAAAGACTCCCCACAGTCCCTTTAAAAGTTAAAAGAAATCAACCATCTCCAACTTTAAGCTTTCAGAATTCCTACCTTTTGAAGCTACAACCTGTTTATAGTGTTTACCATTAAGACTGCATTTGAAACAGCCATCCTCTGTCATCCTTATCTCAACTGTGAAGAGGACTCTAACAATGACAGTGAACCTGGGACCCTGAAAACACTCACTCTACACTTATCAGTTATGACAAGAATGCCAAAGTCCATTACCTGAAATGAAGTTTCTGTGAACAGTCAAAAAAAATTTTTTAAGCAAAATATAGGGCTCGAGTGAAGGTAGTTTCAACTGTTTACCCATCTTACAATTTGAAGCAACACTTAATGTAAAACTGAATCACCTCAAGACTTTCAGATTTGTCAAACAATTATTTAAATTATGTCTTGAATTATTATTTAGCATTACTGCCTCTTCTGAAAGCAAAGCAAACCAAAACTCAGCAATACTTGTGGAAATTTCAGAACCAGATAATGATTCAGGATCTCCTTTGTGGGCACTAGAATTAAACAAAAAGATAAAAATAATCATATAAATAATTCCACTGATTTAAAAAAAGGATTTTAACTCTTAAAATCTGGAAAAAAAAACTTATAGATGCTCTCAGGAGGCTTATCATAAAATTAAGTGTCACAGTTCAGCACATAAATGACTAGAGGACCCCCGTCTTACACAAAGGACTTTTTAATTCAACTGCACATGACCTGCCCTCTTCATTCAGTTCATCACAAATGTATCCTGTTAGAAAACATTTATGGATGAATCCTCATAAACTAAAAGATTGTAAGTTAGTCTCATTTCTAAACATTTACTGTCAGTTCTGTCACATGCATGTACATTTTGTTAGAAACTGAGTCTGAGGAGCACAGTTGGTTACAAAATAACATCCAGATGGCACATTAAAACCCAGACAAGCACAAACATTTATTTGCATTCTTCAAACTTACATTCTTTAAAGACTCAAACAACACTGATTTCATTTACAGTTGATAATTCAGTGCCAGCGTAGCCTCAGACCTCACTGCAGCTTCTAACACAACCTTTTTTTTTCCACTACCAGCTCTGGGTGGCAGAGGTATGCTCATTAAAACACATTCTGCTGATGGAGGGGGTTTTCACACCGGAACAACTCCCAGTCCAGGACAAGATGGAAGGTTGAGGGTTTCCTCTTTTCCAATTACTCCCCTCTACACATCTTCTCCAGTTGTTGATCTTGGCATTTGCACATGTGAAGCAGAAGCCCAACAGTGGAGCAGTCTCACTCTTAAAATCCCAGCTGTGACAAACCTGAGGAAACAGAACATGACCTGTTCTTGTAAACCACCTCAGCAGGCATTTGAGCTGGACGGATGGGTGGAAATATGAAAAATTTAACACAAATGAGTAACACTAAGTAAACAAAGTAAAGGACAGCATGGCGCCACAGTGGACATCTAGACGTTAGCGTTTTATGATCTACATTACCCAGATTGAGCCTGTCCTTGGTGGCCCAGCAGATGCTGTAGTGCTGGAGAAGCTGCTGTAAGAGCTCCCTCTCATCCAGAAACTCCAGACTTTCGATTCTGAAAACAGTGGGGAAAATGTGATCTTATTTATTGGGCTCAAAAGGGATATTCCGGTGTAAAATAAAGTTAGGGTCAAACACATCGTGACACCGAGAGATGAATGTTGCCAACTGCTTGTTTCTCTAGTTATACCAATTTTAGTAATGACCGCAGGATAGCAATACACACCTCAACCAAAAAGCCGCTCTATAACCACAAATAACAAATAATGCTCAGAACAGCACCTAACTTCATCAACAGTACATACAGGGTCCCAGCCATAGTACTAGCCTTCAAACACCTTTTTAGCTTTGCCTGATTTCTTTAGAAAAGGGACTAAACACAACTCACCCACTCTCTTCCAGCAGCTGCTTGTTTGTGGGGGAGCCCTGACGAGTCGATCACCGAGTGCAGCAGAGTTTCGCAGCTCAAGGAAGAACATTTAAGATTATTACTTCATGGAAATGCAATCAGACTGTGACGCTAAGGCAGAAGATCTACCGCGTGGAAATGATCCCACTGCACTCGGTGATCGACTCGTCAGGGCTCCTCAACAGACAATCGGCTGCTGGAAGAGAGTAGGTGAGTTGTGTTTAGTCCCTTTCCTGAAGAAATCAGGCAAAGCTAAAAAGGTGTTTGGTGGCTAGTGCTATAGCTGGGACCCTATATGTACTGTTGATTAAGTTAGCTGCTTTTCTGAGCATTATTTGTGGCTATAGAGTGGCTTTTTGGTTGAGGTTTGTGCGTGGATCCTTAGACCGCTGTGTAGAGAAGCATGTAGTTAGCAACATTCATCTCTCGAGGGGGGTCTTGGTCGGTGTTACGGAGTCTAACTTAATTTTACGCTGAAATATCCCTTTAATACAGATAATGAAGAAAAACTCAATTTTCTAAATCCTTCACACCTGAGTGTACAAAGAAATATTGGCACCCATTATTACACTTATCTCTGGCTGTTTAATCCTGCATTACCTCGCTACATCATCCTGCGGCAGCATACTGTAAACCGTCATCATGTCCAGAGCATCAGCATGCTCCCAGCCTGTCTTCAGAAACCGCTCCTTCTGGAAATGTCAAATGTACCGATTCAAGTTATCAGAATATAATTTGAAATAGACAAAGTGGAAAAAAAAGATACAAGTGACAGATGTTCACCTGAGACTCCAAAGACTGGCAGGCCTCCACTCCTGCTAAGGTGCACTGGCGACGCTGCAGGTTCTCGATCATCACCTGACCAAAGCGGTCGCTCATGTTCACCTGAATGTTCACACAATGCTCAGTTACTATAAGGAACTTTAAATTGTATTTTGTATATATAAACAACTGAATTTGTATGTATGAGTCAAGAATTTATGTTTTGGATAGTTCAATATTTTTTTCAATATTTTCTTTTTATAATAGTAAATAAATATTAAAGCTCCTGTGAAGACTTGTTTACCTGCTCGTAGTTGATAAACATTGCTGTATGGAAGGTTTCTGCAGCCCAGTGAACCAGATTGGAGGACTGTGAGGGCGTCATGTAGACCAGCACACACTCTGAGAGGAGCAATGTGGGTAATCTGGGAGGAAAAGACAGAACATCAAACCACCCAGCTGGTGCTTTACCACCAATCTCCATTCAAGTTTAAAGGAGTTTAATGAATTCTGCCAACTGAGGGAGAAAAAGTTTAACTATTAAAGTGTTCGTTTACTTCTCTCTGGACACTTACCCTTCATACTCAGTAAGCTTTGAACTCATTGCTCCATAAAAATGTTTTAATTCTCATGGTCGTATTACACATGAAACAGAGGGTGGGTAAATGTAATGACCTTTGACTTTGATGCAACCAAGACTAATAAAAAAGAAGATAAATCAAAATTCACATTTCCCCAATGAGCAGCTTCCTGTAAAAGACAGCCTCACTCTTTGTCAACTTTTCCTGGATAAGTACAGGTAATGAATGTGCCAGTGCCAAGCTGAGGTGACAGGCTGTGCCAGCTTGAGGTGCACACACCAAAGAAAACATCCCATTGCACAAAAAAGGATGTATGTCCTCTCAAACTTCCTTTTTTGAGGATGAGTCTTTGTCTTACCAATAGAATGACAATCCATCCATAACCTTTCAGGTTATTCAACAATGTAGAGTGAACTTTTCTGTCCTTTACAGTATGTTCATGCAAACACCATCTCCAATGAAGTAGGGATGTTGGTTAAAATGTGAATAAAAATGGGATACAAAGATCTGCACCACCTTAATTCAATTGAATACACTACAAAGTCAATGCTTAATAATGGATATACAAACTGAACGTTAAATATCATGTAAAAGCATCATCGTATCATGTTTCAAGAAAAGCTTAGACAGGGTCAACAAAAGAAAATTGGGGACTGCTCCAAAAACTCCTGTTTCGATTGTTCCACAGGTGACCATGTTCATTGGAAACAGGTGAGTGTCATGATTGGGTATAAAAGCAGCATCCTCAAAGGCTCAGTCATTTACAAGCAAGGCAAGGTTCTCCACTTTGTCAACAACTGTGCGAGCAAATAGTTCAAACAGTTTGACACTGCCAGAAATGCAGGGATTTCATCATCTACAGTCCACAATACCATAAAAATATCCAGAGAATCTGGAGACCTTTGTGACCTTTGACCCCTCAGGCGGCTCTGCATTACCTGGGCTCAGAAAAACTTCAGTGTTTAGTTTGTCTCTACATCTACAAGTGCAAGTTTAAACTCTACCAGGCAAAGCCAAAGCCAGATATCAACAACACTAGACTACTTAACAAGGACTTGACTGGCCTGCCTGCAGTCCAGACCGGTCTCCCATTTAAAGGCATCAAATTCAAAATGAGTGAATATTTGCAAAACATCAATAAAGTTGGTCAGCTTGAGCATTCAATGCCTTTTCTTTGTTGTGCATTCAATTGAACATAGGTGGAAAGGGATGAGCCAATTGTTTTATTCTGTTTTTATTCACATTTTCACAACATCCTAACTTCAGTAGAATTTGGGTTTGTCTTTGATGAAACCCTCTCAGACCCTTTAGTTTTTGGACATGCTAGCATATTAGCAACAAAGGGGTTAAGTGTTCAAAAGATGCATTTTTGGGTGGGGGTTCCCTTTAAATTGGGTGACGGGCGTCAGACGTGTCTTTGTCATTACAGCTGGAAACAACCTCTCTTATCAGGAGTTCATTTCAATAAGAAGACACAGAGATAAGCTGCAAAGCTGCAATTCCTAAAAACAGTGATAACAGATGGTACAAATGAATGTTCCTCTAAATTTGACTTACTCAGCCCCTCCCTGTCTCTTTATCTGTATGTTTTTCACATTTACGTCTCTGAATGACTGTATTTCTCTTTTTTTAATGTCTTCCCAGGAGCTTTGATCCCCCTTTTCTATAAGTTTCTTGAGGATTGTTGCTACAGACAGCCTGCTGCCATGAATAAGCCTTCAACTGCAACAATTACTGCGCCCCCGGAGACTGTGCCTCACAGACACACTCAACAGCTTTGCTTCAGCTGCTTGGATTTCAGGGCAGGATCCAGTATTAAAATGTCCATCATACTATTAAACTAACCAATCCATGAGGCTAACACAAACTAACTTTTTTGCTTCTTCCCCAAGATTAAGTTGATATGAAGAAGTGATCTAGCCTCACTCTGGTGATCCAGAATTTTATAGCTTTGCTATGAGGGTATGACCAATCAGAATCAAGTACTGAAAACAGCTGGGTTATTGGTAAGAAAGTTGGGTAATAATGAAACATAACACCAGAGCTAAAAACAGGATAACGTATTCACATACTCTGGGTTGAGCTGGAACTTCTTCAGTTTTTCATCCAAACTGGAAACATCTCTGAGGTCTGCCCCGATGATACAGTAACGATCTGAGTCGAGGCTGTGGGCATCTACTCAAAACAAACAAAACCATCAGGAAACAGAAAAAGAGATCCAGAAGAAGGATTTTCTCACAAGGAGTGATGTAATAAACCCAAACTTGTCATGTTTTGACTGTGACGTGTGAGCTTTACCTAGCAGTAAGGAGTCTGTGGAGTGGGTTTCAATGAGGGGTCTGGATAAAGGTGGTTTGGTCCTGGTGAAAAGAGAAAGTCGTTTTAGTCTATTACCAACACTGGCATCAACAATAAAGCAGAACCTGTAATCAAAGAAATTTACCGTTCTCTGTTTTATGATTTCAGTTTTCTGTTTAACAGTCTGTCAACCTTATATACTGATTTATCTCATAAAAGTAAAACAAATATAATAATGTAAAAATCATCCACACACATATAAAAAAAGTAGACATGTAATATAAATACCCTCTCACTATTTATCAAACCCATTGTGATAGAAAATTCCAGATGCTATTTCTGTTCAAACGGGCCTCTGTCTTCCTCTACAGATCAGTCTCCACACTGCAGCTCTAAACCAAAAAAGAAGAAAACTAAAAGCCTAATCATTTAAAAAATATTCTGATGAATAAGATTACATTTTTCTACTTAACATTCGTGTTGGTAACAAGTGTGATGGAGATTTCTACACTGGAGATCTGTGGGAAAACATCAACGTCTGTTTACTGTTTACAGGTCAAAAGTGCTTGACATTATCAGGTTCTGCTGAGAGCTCCCTCTTCTGGATCAAATGGCAAACTACTTCAGATGTCCCGATGAATTCCAAAAGCTCATTGCAGTTGGAGATGAACTTTTCCTGTGCTGCTTACACATTCATCTGGCTGCTCTGGCGTATGTTAGGCACACAGAAAAAACAAAAAAACAAAAAAAAAAACCAATAAAGTTTAGGGAAAAAAAGATTCAAAACAAGGGTGTCTTACTTAATATTGTGTATTTTCCTGGCCACAACTGTTGGAAAGTCCACTTCAAAGAACTTCCTTGGCATGAGATTTTCATCCTGTAAAACACATGTTTACATATATGTACACACAGACAAACAGACTAAAGATCGGTGTACTGCGTTGTACATTTGTATCACATATGTTTTTTGTATATTTTGTTCTGTGTGATAAAAAAGTCACATCAGTACAAACGTGATGCACATTTAGATCTGTGTGCAAACAATTAGCCAAAGCACTAACCTTTAGTCTCCAAAATGTGGTGTCCAATCCAGCACCTAGGTTGATTACTTGACAACTGCACTCTGTCTTCCTTAAAAATGCGTCAAGCAGACGGTTCACTCCTTTAACACGGGCATAGTAACCTGTCAGATGAGATATGTAGGCAGTTAAAAAAAATGTACTTAGCATGTGTCACAAGCACCATAAAGGACGTATATCAGAGGATTTTTGCAGTTTGGCTTAGCAGTACAACATTTGAAATACCAGCACGTGTACAAAAAGAGTCTTGAGGAACATATCTGCCATTTTTCCCGGGACTCTCCTGTATTTCAGACCTATCCCCCGCCCATGTCCCGTATTGTCATTTCTCACGGGACTCTACCGTAGTTTGCATGGTCCACGTTCATTCATGAATCGGATCACTACATTTGTCAAAACTTGCCAGGTTTCCAGACAACCAAAGATTGTTGTGTGTTTCTGCTGAGCCTCACAGATGCTGGATTGATACTTTTACTTTTTACAATTTGGATGATTCAGGTCAGTTTAAGCTGTAAACTATCCTCATACGACATGTAAATTGCCTGTTGCCTATATTGCCTGTATAGCCTGTAAATTGTGTATATTGTATATAATTTTATTTGATTTTATCTTCTCCCCTTTTTCGTTTTTCTAAATTTTTTCTTAATTACAACATTTATTTAAGTTATTAATATTACGATCTTTATTTTTATAACTGCATTTTGCACTACCTTTGTCTGTGATGCTGCTGTGCCAAAAAAATTTCTCCCATGGGGGATCAATAAAGGAATATTCTACTCTATTCTATTATATTCTATACAGAAGAGCAAATATATGAGGACTTTAACACCAATATCAGTGGACTAAATAAGTTCAAGGCATATCGTAGCTATTATTTTTTTATTACCATTTGTTATTGTTAAAACAAAACAAAAAAGTGTGCAGCTTCACTTATACTACATGGATGAGCAATCTAATTACAAATACTCTTATAGTTAGCTCATATCCACCATACAAGGTAGCCCCAAAACTGCCCGGCGTGCACCGCAAAATCTCCTTAAATGTTGGCAGGTATGCTGTGGAAGTATCTGTAAACATCATGACTTTGTAAACATGTAAATTTACTGCTGAGGCCTCCCTCACCACATTGTAGAGTGAGGAGTCGTTAGCTTGTGATAAACAGTCTGACTACTGGGTACATTCTTTCAAATCTACAATATGGAGCTTGTGAATCTCAAGCTGCAGTTAACACCTGGTCAGTATCTGCAGCTGACCAATGTTACTTCTACCCTCATTCTCTAATGTAGGCTATACTTATAATAAATGATAATATATTTGTGTGCTGAGGAACATTTCTTACCTCTGTTGATTTCAGGTGCCTTTCGTTCTCCTACAGATCTTGCAAAATACTGGATATAGGAGTCTTTCCAATAGCTTTTACTGGTAGCAAACCTAAAATAAGAATGATAAATTTCATTAATGATGTTTAGGATGAAAAAAAACAACAACATAAGCTCATGTACACTCTGTGCATTGCCTGTAAGGACTTGTGGCCATTTTTTTGGCATTTGCGTTGGTCCTTCTTGTCCAGATTTTAGCATGTGTTGTGCTTACTCTGCTGTACTTACTGTACAGTGAAATATTATTCACAGCTACCACGGTGGCTCTGTAGGCTAGAATCTAGCTAAACAATGTTGACAAAAACTGCCAAAATAACACCAACTATAATGGAAAAAATAGCTTTGTTCTCTTGAATAATCATAAAAGCCGGACTTTGCCAAGAAACACTCACTAGCACAATACAGAGCACTCACTAGCACAATACAGAGAAAGAATCATTATGTCGCTGCTTGTCTTCAGCATTTGGATAACAATTTTAGCACTTTTGATTTTGTGTTGTTAGTCGTTATTACTCAGGGCATGTTTGGCTTTTTGTCTCACCACACAACAGAGACATAGTTTACAAAATCACAGTAAAACTAAGACCGAAACTAAACTAAAAGCATTTAAAAAAAAAAAAAAAAGTAAAGCTACATTACAACTGAAATAAAGCATTGAACGGATTGAGAATGAACTGAAATTGTAAACAAACAGTCAAAACAAAATTAAAGGAGCCTGGTGAACTTATTTTATGCGCCACAACCTTTCCACTGCAGTGGCAGCATCTCTAAATGACTGCTATTTACTCACTAATAAGCTAAAATGAGCAACAATAACTAAAGCTGTTCATTTAGATACCTTAATTATAAAATGTACCAAATATAACTACAAAGCCTTCCGTTTCGTCTGGTTTTACGTGGATTTTTCGCCTGTAATAATGACGCAGTAATAAACAGTGGCTCAACAGAGGCAGTAAAATACCAAATCATATGAGTCTAACTGAGTACCACTGTCAAAGTCCTGGTTTCACCTTTTGCATGTGGTTGCATCGTCGCAGGTCGCCCTCACTGCCTCGTCGGCAGTATCTGTATCTGTGAAAGGTTGTCGAGCTGCCATGAACTGTCCTTGTTGTCGTTATGTTGTCAACATTAAAGCTGGAAACCCTGCAAAATATAGTCCACCTGCTTTACACTGGCTTAGCAACAACAACAAGCTAACCCCAGATAGCTCACTTTGACAGGAGGGGTTGTTTATCAAGGTTGAAAGGAAGGAAAATAAAACTGAAAGCATAGTCGGGTTGCATTAGTATTTATGCAACTATCATCGTACTCCATGGGATTCAATTCAACATCGACGGGTTGCATTGAAAGAGGTGATCATATTCTGCTTGCTAAGCGCAACATGCACGGAGTGACATATTAGGCGGACACTTCCGACCAGCTGACACTTCCGGGTAGTGCTTTTCAAATTAAAAGTATCACCAGAAAACTACACACTGTAAGCAGCTGTTTTAGTGAGATAAATGACCGAATTTAAACCCCGTTGTCCATCCTACATTTATATCTGAGCTGCGCATCGCTATATTGAATATAACAGTGACTTATGGCAGAAAAAAATGTCTTATTACTGACTGACCTTTAATCTGAAATTCACTTGTGTTGTAAATAAACCAGCACTTTCACTGAGATTGTGTAGGTGGATCATTCTATTCAAACTTTTTTATTTGTTTTATTTTTTTAATTAAAAAATATATATATATTGAAGAGTATCCTTCAGTTAAACTTCATATCGACTCAGGCGCTACATGGCCTAACCAAATGACACATTGTAAAGAACGTGAAGCGAAATTTAACAATAACCTTTCCACTAACTTCCTTTGCTCGTCTTCTCGCCGTAGTCTTCTGTGGCTAGATCTTAGACACTGGTACATCATCATTATTGGTCCCCAGCAGCTCACTCCAGTTGTGGCTTTTTTATTTGCATCCTTTTATTTTCGCAGTAAGTAGAAAGTACGTTTTTTTTTTTTTTTTTTTTTTTTTGCATCACCACTTTTTTTCGCGTCCTTAACTACCATTGTGGCTTTTTCTATTATTTGAACCATTTCTTTTTTTATTTGCTGTGAGCTTTGGTTTCTTTTTTGTTGCATCGGTAACTTTCATTGTGGCTTTTTTTGTTTGCATTCTTTTATATTTGCAGCGGTGGCCGTTCTCGGCCACCATACATAATAACACTCCTCATCGTTCATTTGAATGATAACTGACCTCATTAATATGTTGAAATGTCAGAGATGAAATATGAACCTGAAGATCATCTGACCATGCCTTATGCATAGTAAGTAAAAAAAAAAAGGATAAACATCAGAATGAGACAGAACAGTGACAGAGTATGTTTCAAGTCTCGTGGGAAACACAGAATTCAAAAGCCCATTTGACACATTTTTGGGGAACATTCTTGAATTGCCACTTCAATCTTTCACATCTTTGAGGGGGCCTCATTTTGCTCAGATAATCAATTATTCTTTGGCAGCTCCCAAATAATGTGTCTGAACTCCTCTGATGATCAGAGCAGCTCATACAAAGTTACATAAAAGACTTGTCCTACTTGGAAAGGAACATAAGCAGATGTATTAAAAATCCATTAGATACCCACACAGAAGGGGGACCACAAAGCTGCACAGACAGAGAATATTTGAAGACGTCAGCTTTTAATGACCACATGCAGAATTATACAGGGAAAAAAGCTTTGTAATATGTTTTTCTCTGCAGAATGGCTCACTGACTAGTGACCGGATTAGTCTGCAGTATATTGAATCTGAATCAAAGCTCACACAAGTAACATAAACAGTTGTGACATTAGATTTCAACTTAGTTTAAGTGTTTTGATACACAGTAGAAAGTCCACTTACTGGATTTTTGAGTTATATTGTTGCAAGTGTTTCTCAAAGCTGAATGGGTCCTATATTATCACAAAGTTCATACAGTGATTCAAGAAATCTTCAAGCAGCTAAAAAACAGTACAGAGCTGTGATCTTACAGACAGCTAATGCATTTGGCTTCAAGCTGATGCAGTCTGTGTCAAAGTGTAAGATACTTGAGTTGCAATGGGGTAAGGAGAGCCTTATTGACTCACAGCTTAATGGATATGGGCTTAAACTAAAAGCTGATTCTCGTAAAGACAGGCTCAGCATTTTGTCTTTGGCATTATTGGTTTATGAAAAAGTGTATTTCTACATTTAAACAATAAATGATCATTGTAAAGTTTCTAGCTTGTTAAGTTTATCGGTGTACTATTCCTGTGTTAACTCTTTCCAATTTTAGAAGATAACACAACAGAGGGGTAACATGTGATTCTTCCAAACTGCATTCTTTAAGGTCCCTGAAAGAACATAAAGATCCAAAGTCACAATTTAGGATAATTTTTGATATATTTTATACACATCTACTTATGGCATTCATGAAGCGCATTTAGTCCTCTCGTAAACACTTGCCTTATGAAATTGATACACACATTTTTGCACAAAGACAAGAAAGTGTGTGATGCTTGAATTCAAAGCAAATTACCAGCAGTCTGTTATAACACAGACCAAATATTTAATTTTGACAAACCAAATAAAGTCATACTTTTGGATTATGGGGTGGCCCCTGGTGTGGCCAATCAGGTTTCGAGGGGGCCCCAGTAACTCATCAAGACCCGCCCATGCATAAGAGGTAATCAGGGAGTGGCCAGGGTTGCAACACTGATTTAGTTCAGTGGTTCTCAAACTTTTTCTACCGGGCCCCCCTTTGGCAGATTAAAACTGTTTCAAGCCCCCTTACGCCTGACTGTACACATCAACGTGTAAATGAAAATATGTGAATGTATAAAAAAACACACTGTCTGTCACAAGCTGCTATTGTTTTTCCAATTACTTAATGAAACTTTAAACTTTTGTAGAAATAACAACAGCAATACCTTTTAATCATTTTTTTAACATCTTTAAAACATATTCTTTCAGCCCTAAAATAAGTCTGTGGCTACAGTGCGTTTGATAGTGCCACAGATCTTCCCCAGTCTTGGGTGCAGCTGTGAGACTGCCACTCTCAGTTCATTTTCAGTGTCCAGTTTTGATCGGTACTTGGTCTTAATGTAGTGTCGTTGTCGCCCTTGCGTTTTTACGGAGGTCCGCTGACGTTTGTCATGGTTAGCAGTGCAACACAATGTAAACACAATGGAACCACTGATTTAATTAAATATTAAGTTGTAGGGGGTATTTTTGCATTTCATAATTTTTTGTATTTTACAGTTGGGAGAGATTGTATTAGGTGAAACATTTTGGTCTAAATGAGGCCCCAAAATTGACACAAAGGAAAAGTCCCTCATAGTAGCTTTAAACTCTGACAGTAGAAAGACACAACTACAGTGGATTTTCTTTGTGCTGCACATGCACAGCTGGTTTATTTGGATTTAAAGTTCATCAGAGTGGTTGACTGAGCAAAGAAAGGAAACTGTTATGGCATCATGACTTTAGTAGTGTTGTAAAAAGTTGTTTGCCTTCATTCCAGAGCTCCATATGTGAACAGGGTTTACTCCTGTCAGTGTCCAGGGGGAGGTGTTGCTGTGCAGGCAGATGCTGCTGCGGTGCTCTCAGTCTCTCTCCATCTCTCTCTCTCTCTCCCTCTCTGAGCTGGTTGGCAGAGGTGCTGGTGGACCCTCTGTTGCTGCTGCTGCTGTTGCTGCTCACTCAGCTCACAGCTCCCAGTCCTGGGAAAAAAGCGGCCGCAGATTATCCAGCTCGGTAACGTTAGCTCACCGGCTAACGGTCAAGACAGCGACCGAGAGGAGCCATGCAAAGCCGCAGGAGCGAGTGAAAGTTGGTCGCGGCTCACTTTGGGACTTTTGCGCGTGGAAATACAACAATAAAAGAGGTTCGCGGATCATGCTGCCGCCCCCGACGGGAACTTTTCTCTAGGATTTCCACTTGGGAAAGGCTAGCTCAGAGGCTAGCGAGGCTACTATTTTTAATTGGCTTTGGGCTCAATGGCTTTCGCCTGTTTTGCCCTGTCATAGCGACAGCTTGGGAAATTAAAACGGGGAGAGGCCCCAGTGAACTTCATGACAAACCAAAGCTCGGTTTTGAAGCTTAACTTCGGAAGGTTAGACTGGCAAAGGACCGAAAATGAAGAAGCAGTTCAACCGGATGAAACAGCTCGCCAATCAAACAGTTGGCAGGCAAGTATTGGAGTTAGCCATTTTTACTCATTTACAGCAAACTTTAAGTATTTAGCTCTCTCTGACTTAACTTTGAAGGTTTGTAGACACGTTTTTTTCGACTTTAACAGCTCCTAATACTTCATTAACTTTTGTCCCCAGCAGCTTTGACAATGAAATGTGAAAAAAGACAACATAACCTAATTATAACAACAAATCTAATCAGTTGCCTTTGTTGACAAGATTAGTCTCAAATGGGTGATTCATTTGCTCTCAATGTCTGACAACCAGGATTAAGGGCATACTACTCTTAGCAATAACTGGTTGGATGGGATTCAGTGCTCTCATTTAGTCTCTGTGTTTTCACACTGCTGTCTGAACCCAACAGATACCCCCCCTAAAGCCTGAATCAGCCATCCACAGTGTTAGCACTATTTATCTGGGATATAAACAGTGAGGAGCACAATGATGATGCACTTTTCTCTTTCACTTTTTGAAAGTTTCTTTAATGGGAGTGGGGCAAAATATTGTTAGAGCAATACACAGTTGTCTTGATCCGGGCAGTACAGTAGACCAGTATTGATATATTATTTTAATCATGATTATTCCAAACATCTTTTACTCTTTGTGTCACAATTTAATGACCCATCATAGAGCTAATGACACCTATCTGCATCTTACCTTTTATTGTAGCCTATATTGGTTTTGGTTGTAAGGTATCATATCACGTCGTATCACTTCGTAGAGATATCATACCATATGATGTCTTAGATTGTAAGTAGGGATGCTTTTAGGATATTCGGAGATACCCAATGTGCTGGTATTTTCAAACTCATTTTGTGCACACAAATCTTTTATCAAACTAAACAACGTAAAGTCTCTTGTGCGTTGAATTTTTCTTGGTACTCGTATTGTAGACATAAACAGAGCAGGATCATAAGTGGATAAAAGTACAGAAATGTCTAGCAAAAGTAGAGGCATTTGGCAAGCAATGGAGCGCACCTTACATATTTTTGAAGGCAGTATGGATATAAGAGATTTTCCCACACTTTCAACACATGCCTGAAAGCCTTTTGCAGGAGCCCTCTTATATATGCAGCTGCAGAAGGGTACAAAAGATTCAGGAGCATCTGCTGTAGGGCAGTTCAGTTTGATGAAAGATGTGCAAACATGTCAGGGTTTATGGCATTCTCATGATCTACAGCAAATACTAATTTTCCAAATGGGGACATGAAGATGTCAGAAATATTATCAGGCTTAAGATCTTAATGCTTATATAAACTCATAACAAAAAAAAGAAAGAAACACCATTACATCAATTTTTATAGCCCTTAATCACAACAGCACTTATAATGGTGTACATAATGTACAGAGGAGTGAGACAGTTCTCTAGATAATAATCTTGATTTTTAAATGACATAATGAGAACATTTACAGGTGTGTATCCAACGGGGGATTAGGCCATCACTGGGGAGTATGTGTCTGGTCTTTCTTGCCCTCTGCAGCTGAATACAGACATCAAGATAGAAAAAGACAACACAATAGGACGTCCCTGCAATGAATGACCTGTTACTTTTCATCTAACATCATGGTTCACTCTTTTGCTAATAATTTGACAGTGAAAACCTTCCAAATCTTTAGAACAATATTCCTAGCTTCAACCAGGGTATTACACATTTAACATATAAAATAGATGAATGTGAGTAGTGATGGATAAATACCCTTTCTCTCCTTGCTAATTTTTTATATTTAAAACAGGCTGAAAGGTTTGCCCCTTGAAGTAAGTGATTCTCCCTCAGGAAAAGTGTCTGGACAATGAAAACGTATTAATTAGTGCCACTCTGCTGCAGTGGGATGACACACAGGTCCTTGAGTAACCAAATATCTCAAGTAACCATGGCTGAAGCCGCCTTTGTGTGCACAGGAGGGTGAGATGTTGAGATGTGTCAAAGAATATTTTCATGGTGGGAAGCTAGCTCTTATGATGTGTGGCAGTTGGTTTGTTTACTTTGTAATTGTAAGCTTTGTGTCGATGGTAGTCGACAATGTTTGACACTTCAGGCTGTGTGCGGTTGTACCCAGTTCAGGGTGGTGCCAGATAAGGTTTCTGACAGGCTGAAAACAATGGTATATCATCTTTTAATGGGTAAAGGCAGCATTTCCCAAAAAAACAAAATATTGACAACGTGCAAAAGATAAGCATATTGTAATACTGTGATTTCACATTAGTGGCCCTTTATGCTGGTTGCCACGCGTTATTAAACAGAGGATAGACAAAGAAGATGAAGCAGGCTGCTAGCGAGCTAGCTGGAGCAGCCTCTTGAGAGATGATCTGGCACTTTTAAAGCAGAGGTATAAGATTTTATGTAAATCCAATAACAATATCAGAACTTGTGCCTTCCGGGTCACAAATCAACTGAACATTTATCTTTTCTGATGGTTCTTATGACTGTTTTTATTCAGTCCTGTCACGTTTGATCTTCCAAAGCTAGAATACAGGGAATGAAGCAACTGAAACCATAGAAATAGGATCAGACTAAAAGCATGATGAGCATCCTGTAATGAGGCAGTGTTGTCTACAAAGAGGTTTTGGTAATAGATTTAGAAACAGATGATGTAATGATGCATGTAAAATAACTTTATTTATTAGTTAGGTGAAATGCCCAGATCTATTTTTACCCCATGGCAACCAATATCTTGACAGCCCTTGTCAAAATCAAATTTCTTGAATTGTTATATCCAAAATATTTGTTTCTTTTAAATTTGATGCCAGTGACACAAAAACTCGGACACGGTCTACAAAACTGTGAAAATGTTGTGCAGTTCTTTAAAATGGAATAACTCATGAGGTCATTTGAAAAAGACGAGATCTGAAAATGGGGGAATCCAGAGAAGATGAATCTTTCACGAGTTAAGGTAGGGAGAGATTCACCACTCTGTGAGAGACTGCGAGAGCAGAACATTTTCAGAGAGATGTTCAACAGCGTAAAACTTAAAAAATTTGGGGTTTCATCACCCACAGTATCATAGTTTTGTGAAGTGGGAGAAATGTGTGCACAAAAGAGATGAGACCAACAACCAATACTGGGTTGCTTTGATCTTTGGGCCCTCAGGCAGCACTGTACTAAAAATGGACATGACTTAGTAGTGAAAGTCACTGCATGAGCTCAAAATCGCTCCCAAAAACCATCACTTGTGATCACAGTTTGTCACTGCTTCTGCTGATTAAAAATTTTAGTATTGTTCTCCATCAGAGAAAAACTCAGACTTTAATATCTTCAATAAGTCCTTTATATCTGGTATGATGAACTCCAGTACAGCACAGACACTCACTACCACTGTCATAACAAATATAAAGCACAAATATGACCATTCTTTATATATTTAATGAGTACATGTTCATTTGACTAAAATAGTTTTAGAATAACTGAAAATGAAACTTAAATATTCAGGCAAAGAGACAAAAATCAGGATATTTGAATAGACAGACAGGAAAACAATGTTTGATAGAGAGGTGGTAAATACAGTCACTTCTAACCGAACAGTCTATCTAGTGTTTATTTGATGGTAACACTATCAGCCCAGTCTGAGGGGAGAATCTGCCGAACAGTGTTCCTGCAAAACTCAGGGCCAGCAGAAACAGGCCAGCTGGGATACTCATACTTTCCTCAGCAGCAGTAAATTAGAAGTGGAGCGAGTATAATGTAGAAAACAGACATTTGCATGTGCTCCCAGAGTGGTCACTTACTCTTTTGTGTACACATGTACTGTTAAACTCAAATGCATTGATTCATACGCATGCCCCTCTGAATGAGTGATCGGTCAGCATCAGGATAACCGCTCTCAGTTCTTGCAGCTAACGCCTGCTCGTGCGCCTGCGTCTGCAAAAATTTGCGCGTGCAAAAGGCCCTCTCCGCTGCCCCCTGGGTTCCTGTGATTGTGCAAGGGCAGAACACTGTGTCCAGCAAGCAGCCGCTCTGAGGAAATCTCTCCTTCTTCTCCTACAAACAGGAAACTGCCTCCCAGAGACACACTGGTGCTTTCTAGAAAGCAGGAGAAAGAAAACTAGGAAGATTGATGTAGTGAGAGAGAGAGAGAGTAAAAAACATGATGTGATTCATGCCAGGGAGACATAGGTTGTAGCTGTTTATAGAGGATATTTTCAGTGTCTTATCTTTGAACTCTGTGACCCTAAGCATGAGTGTTTGCCTCAGGTTGATGTGGTCACTTACATCTTTGAAGAAGATAACATTTGAACAGAGAGTCATTACCTCCAATCTGCAAAAAGATAAACCAGACACAAGATGACATCAACATTTTGCACTCTGCTGAAAGTGTTGATAAATTTGTGTTTTCTCTGCTGTGCTTGAGATAATGACATCAACTCTGACTGTGCAAAAATCAGTCTAAGATAAAGCTGTCAGTGGCTGGGGGAGGAGAAGCATAAGTTTTGGGTCCAATGGAGTGCTTCAGTTAAAGGAATATTCTGGCGTAAATTTAAGTTAGGGTCAAACACACTGTAACACAGAGTTAGACACCCCCTCGAGTGATGAATGTTGCCGATTGCTTGCTTCTTTTGTTATACCAACTTTAGCAACGACTGCACGATAGCAATACACAGCAGTCTACGCCTCCACGTACAAACCTCAACCAAAACGCCACTCTATAGCCACAAATAATGCCCAGAACAGAACCTAACTTCATCAATGGTACATATAGGGTCCCAGCCATAGTACTAGCCATCAAACACCTTTTTAGCTTTGCCTGATTTCTTCAGCAAAGAGACCAAACACAACTCAACTGCTCTCTTCCAGCAGCCACTTGTTTGTGGGGGAGCCCTGACGAGTTGATCACCAACTGCAACATCATTTCCACGTGGTAGTTCTTCTGCCCTAGCGTCTCAGTCTGATTGCATTTCCATGAAGTAATGATCATAAACGTTCTTCCTTGAGCTGTGAAACTCCGCTGCACTCGGTGATTGACTCGTCAGGGCTCCCCCACAAACAAGCTGTGTATCCCTATTGTGCGGTTGTTGCTGAAGTTTGTATAAGAAGCAAGCAGCTGGCAACATTCATCTCTCGAGGGGGTGTCTAGCTGGAATATGCCTTTAAGAACAAGGGGAGCAGGGGTTGCGGGGGGGTCTTTCAAAGTTTAGCGGTACAGGGAAACAATGGAGAATACCTTACTGTAAAGATTAAACTTGATGCCCTTGATTTCTGCAGAAGTCACTTTACTGGTAATGGAACTCCCCTCTGCAGAAACAAGCTCACATGTGCAATCTTTGACTTAATATAGTATTGCATCACTTACATGAGCAAGTCAATACCAGATCAGTACAGTTACAGCCTGTTAGCTTAGTTTAGCAGCAGAACTGGAAACCAGGGCAAGATAGCCTTGGGCTGCCCAGCTGTAGCAGAACTGGCAAAGAACAGATGAGTCTAAGGGGGAGCAATTACTCCAAGAGTTGCATGCTGAAGTATATTTTTATAGTTATAATGTCAAACAGATCAGAGACTAGCTGAAACACAATAAATAAAATGATGCAACTTAATGTATTACTACTCAGCTTTCAAAATATTCCCTTATCAGATTGGCCCTGGATGGATGGGTCATGCATGCATAAACATTTGCACACTTATCAGATAAAGCAACAGCTATTTGTGAGCTTGGGTTGTATGATTATGACCCAAATGATAATCAAGTTTATCTTAAGCAGGGTTGAGATAATGAATCAGAATTTGTTTATGTTTTACATTCAGTACAGTGTGCAAATTTTGCTCCAAACTACAACTTAAAATGAGGTCCTTGATCTGAGTTTGGTGCATCTTTTTAGGAGAGAAATATAAATAAAACAGTGCTGAAAACATTGTACCCAAAACAGAATCGACAGCGCTCTGTTTCACTTTAATTCAGTGAGAGTATTTCAGTCTGTCTTTGAGAGCTGGGAGAAGGGACATTTTTTGTCTAAAGCGACATACACCTTGCACGCCATCATCTTATGCTTGACATCATTTACCCTAAATGCCAAGTGCCTCCAAACAATTAAACAATGAGCCGCTATGAGTTCCTTATCTTTCTTGTCAGACTTGACTTTGTTTTTCCCATGACTGGTCACTATTGTTTACACTTTCACTCCAAACTGGTCCTGCAAGGTAGGACATGCAAGCTCCCCCAAAAAGTGAACCCAAAACTTCTCTTTCACCACTGTGGGAGTAGCTTTGACTTTGGTTTCATTTGATATGCAACAGAATTTGTTCCAAGATTGTCATTTGATTGTTATTTTAAATTTGAGCCATTCTGTGTTAAGGTTGTATTTTTGCTATTTGGTTTGTTATTTCGAGTTCAGGCGAAGCATTGTTGGAAGAGAGTCATACTGTAAAACAAGCTGGGCATCAGAAAGTAGGGCTGGGTGATAAAACGAAAATGATATCTTAAAAATTAATTTCCCTCGATATCAATAAGAATCATGGTCAATATCCTTTTCGATAGTCGGCATTCTGCCGTGTTTTGGTAGACTATACAACAAGCCCATGAAAGGGAGACTTGCTCCTGGGTGATGCAGTGCTGAACCAATCGTGCTGAATCAGAACCAAGCAGCAAACAACTGCGTAGTAGCAGGCTGCAGCTACGTGTAACCATAGCACTGAAACACGCAAAGAAAATGAGTGCTACCCCCAGCAGAAATGCAGATGAAGGCTCAACAGATGATATTATTGACAACACCGGCATGAACACGTTGGTGGTGTGGAGGTATTTTGTTTTTTTGAAGTTGGACATGAAGCAGAGTAGTGTGCACTGCAAACTATGCTGAGTACATGTTAAATCTCATACAAGAGTAACAGGGAACATTTAAGATTGACAAGCGAGTTTTTTATATCGTGATACAAATCGATATCGACTGATATTAAAAAAAAATTGTGATACTTTTTCCCATATTGCCCAGCCCTATCAGAAAGACAATGTTAAAATGTGCTATAATAATCACTTTAGTTTTCTCTGGGTTGGTATTGTAGTTGTTTTGTCACAGCAGTGTAACACAAATCAATGAATCAATTTCATGCATTAGATCTGAACTCATCCCTGACCACAATGTTTTCAAAAAACAAGGCGAGTCCGTAAGAGATCAACTCCCAGCAGTGTCTGAATGTTTCCACTTTTCATCAGAGCTGCTCTACCCCACCCTGTTAATCATTGACTGTAAATATAAACATTACATAATCCTAGTGGAGGCCTTTCCTATCAACAGCTATCATCTTACTGACCAGCATCCTCCTGTTATACCTATTGTATGTGACAGTCCTCGTTTCACTGGAGAAGGTGTCGTGTTGAAAAGACACTTCCCCCAAAGGGATCAGCTGAATGTCACAGTAGAATTAAAAGGAGAGGTGACTGGGCGTCTCCCTATGTCTCAGCAGGCCACTGCCTTGAGGACGAAGAGGTGTGTCACCTGGGATCTTTTGTGATGCTGCTAGTGGTGTACAACCCCTGAGGAAATGTTGCTGTACCTTTTTATTCTTTAAAATCACAGTTTGCTTTGAGACAAAAACTGTGGCATGACTTTGCATGCCGATTCTGAGATCTGTAGTGTTTCATGTATTTTCAGCAGCATTGCTGATTGGATAACACATTTAAACATCACTTAATTCCACATTTATTTACAGTTTGACATGAGGATGTGAGTATAGTTGGAAACAGAGCACACTCCTTTTTCAAAGTGTATAGACTAATCATTTTAGCAGTGTAAAGGAAACTTATAAAAGTCTGTGTGTGTGTTTTTGACGTGTCCTCTGCTCACTCCTGCTCAGGTCTAATGTTAACACTCCAGCACATAATCAGCCTCATAAGCAGCGTTGTCTGGGCTGAGTCACTCAATTATTCTGGAGCTCCTTTCATCTGAGTCCAGTATCCATTACCTTCTGCCTTAAGCTGCCAACTGTTGCAGACCCTCCCCGCTCCTCAGCCCCGCTGATTGTGTTGAGTGGCCACTAACAGCCGCTCTATTGTGCTTACCCATGCAGTATTCACTTACTCCCCTTCCACTTTGATTGTAAATCGCCATGGTTACCATTCTGACCTAGCAGCCACTGCTGCGCGGCCAGGACCTCTTGTTGTTAAGGAGTCACATGCGGCGCACAGTGACACACTTTCTCCAAAGAGCTGCAGCTTCAGTGAGGCGCGATGGGGTCAGCTCTTTTTTGCACTGCAGGGTCAGCTGATGCCGGCAAAACAATTGTTGTTTTGTTTTGTTGTTGTTTGTCCTCCAACCGGGCCGCACACAGCCTATTTTTACCCCAGTGACAGGGCTTTTTTAGATTAGTTCACACAATTGTTGCTATAACAAGAGCTGAAGTGAAGCTCATATATCTAAGTGTTCTTATTGTGTGATTACAGGATCATGTTTGGGAATGTCTTGCAACTAATGACACAAGGTTTTCTTGCTTATATTTCACATCACTATGCAGCACTTGGTTAACAAAAAAAACTTGAAAAGTTTGCTAAATCTTATCGTTAGGTTTTGCATTTGTCCCTTCTGTATTTTGCCACAATCTTCTTTAGAAACTAATACTCTGAATAGTTCAGCTTGTTTTCTAACGTTATGTGGAAACTTAATTCACTTCCACAAACATACAAACCCAAATTCTACTGAAGAAGAGACCTTGTGCCTCAAATCTTCAATAGTCTCAGTGTCTTTAAATTGTCTGGGGGTGTGTTTGTGCCCATGGCTAACTGTCACATCTGAGAAGGCTCCATTATTGCTGGAAGGTACAAACAGGTTTAGGAGCAACATCTGCTGCCATCCAAGCCACGTCTTTTTCAGGGACGTCTCTTCTTATTTCAGCGAAATAAGTTATCTTACCACAGTGTGGCTTTATAGTCAAAGAGCATGGGCATGAGATTGGCCTGCCTGCAGTCCAGACCGGACTCCCACTGAAAATGTGTGCACATTTACATTATGAGGTGCAAAATATCACAACAGAGACCCTGGACTGTTGAGCAACTGAAGTGGTTCACATTTTTACACAACGTCCAGACTTCATCGGAACTGGGGTTTGTCGTAACTGACTCACAAAGGGAACATTTTTTTCTTCATAAACGGCAGTTTGATGCTCTGACTTTATCTTCGGCCTTTGACAGGACTACATAAAGAGCTCTTCATTTAGACTACATTATAACACAAATGCTATACTGTGGCTTTATAATCGAGCTCTGTATGTGTGTATTCAGCCAGCTGAAAATCCTGTCTGTTGGTTTTTGTAGATCCTCCTCACTTTCCATGTGGGACCCCAACAACTTGACATCAGCTCCCCTCCACATAAAAAGTCTTTCCATTCATCTCCAGCCCCTAGATTATTCTGGTTTGGCACCTTCAAAACTCTCCATCCCCACCCCCAAAAATCTCTGTATTTGTATTTCTTTCCTTCAAACCCCCCAAACAGTCGTCCCTCCTCTGTCAGACTCTTTCTCTGTCTCTGCCTCTGTGTTGTAATTGAAAGCAGCTGTGCAGAGGTTACTAAAGTTCATACTGAGCAGTTTCTGGAGGAAGGCCTGAGCTTCATTTAGAGCTCCAGTTTCCCAAAATGAAGGCAGGCTGCTGTCTACCGGTCGTTCCAGTTGGAGGGCTCCACTTGGAAAAGTTTACACACTACTTGGACACAACAGTACCTGCACAGTCCTCTCTCTGCATTACAGTAGAGAGACAGAAAGTCTGACTGTAATGTCACGTGAGTGTAGAGGATGTGAGACAGAAGGGGGATGAAGGCTTATTACTGGACGTCTGCCCATAAGCTTGGTTTCCTTTCTAGTAAAATGAAATTCACATTAGGTGGGTCAGATATCACACTTCCCACTCGACTGGGGATCATAATTATGGAAAGTTGCAGGAAAAAGTGATGCTGGGGAGCACTAGAAAAAAGTTCTTCATGTGTATTACCGATGTTAAACATTAACCAGACATCTAAAACACTAATAAAAAGCTGGTGAAAATTTGACTAAGGTTGTCTGATGGCAAATAACTGCAGATGAAGTTCTTATTAGAGAAAACTAAATTCACCAAGTTTTCAAAATGATACAGAACAATAGATTGGTGACACTTGGCCCACAATAACAATAGGAATTTCAACATCATGACATATTATAGTGCTCGATTGTTTTTACCAAAATACATTCCCAAGCTATACTTAGTCTGAAACATAAGTTTGCTTTTCTGTCGACCTGTATGACTGAGCCTGTAACTATTGTATTCACCCTGAAGTCAATAACTACAGCTGACTGTTATCTGTCATTCTGGTATAATCAATATTTGAACCCTCCCTTGCTCCCACCTCTATCCATCTAATTGCTGCACATTTTAGCTCAAGTTTTATTTTTTTTAAACATATCTTTATTGGTTTTTGTATTCATACAACAACATCCAACAATTTAAACATATGGTAGTAATGAAAATAATAATGAAAAGATAAATAATACAGAAAAGGTAAAAAATAAATGTCCTAATAAAACAAATAATTAAAAAGATAAATTGAACCAACAAATTAGTCAACAAATTGCTGAGCAATAAATAAAAAAATCATCTAAAAAAATAGCACGAATAATCAATCACTATTGATAATAATATTATCCTAACAAATTAAATATTTTTAAGTATCTTATTCTCACACTGTCTCCTCCATATCGCCACCTTTCAACAGTTCCAGAAGTATCCTCCAAATGTCATAAAATTCAGAGGGTTTCTTCCTAACAATGTAGGTCAGCTTCTTAAGAGCCGAACTTATTCAACCAGTGGTTAAAAGAGAGTCAACCAACATTCTTCCAACATAATGCAATAGATCGTTTGGCCTGCAGTAAACAAAGATCAACCATTTTTCTTTCTGTGCAAGAGAAAGAACAGTCCTCTGGATAAATGCCTAAAATACAGAACTTAGGGCATAGAGGTAAATGGGAAGTTGTGATTTGAGAGGTATACTTTAATTTTAGCTCAAGTTTGTCTAAAAGTGTCATAAAAACCTGAGTATTTAACTCCTCCAACCTCTGACTGCCATCACTTCCCCCCAGAGGTTTCCAGCCTGCGTGAAGGTGTAAATAAACAGCATGAGCTGACACTGTGTTTCCCAGGCTTCTCCCTTTAAGTGAATCTAATCTGTCTGACCTCACTGAGCCCAACTTTTAGTTTACTATTAATAGGCTCAGGCACAGCAGGGCCATGTAGCAGCACGACACTCAGAGTCCAGCTAGCTGTAGCTGTAGCCGAGGAAAATCAAAGCTTGTTGCAGAGCAGGAGAAACAGGCCTATTGCTGTACATGCACCCTGTCATTCAGCCAAACATTTTCAGATGTAAATGGCGCTCATCTTAATAAAATGCAGCAAGATATCCATCCAAGATTTTTTTTGCCTCCAGCTTGGATACCAGCTCTGTTTATGGCTTGTTGTGCCGTGGAAACCTATTAAAGAGACCCACCCTCACTCAAAAAAATTCCACCTCATGCACAAGATTCAATACCTGACACTTACTTCTTTTTGTACCTGGGAGAGGAATCCAGTCTTTCAGGAGCAATGTCCTTTGTCAAGAGGATATTTTCACAGTGACTGCGCGATGTCAAATCCAGCCACTGATCTGCTAATGCTGCCTGTCAATGCTAATCTATACTCTCTGTTTTGTCTCTTGTCACCAACAGAGCGGAGAAGACAGAAGTCCTCAGCGATGACCTCCTACAGGTAAATCAGTAATCCCACCATAGAGCTCTGAGTCTGAACACCTCCTAATGCTGGAATGGCTGCATCTTTGATCACCAATCCTGTGAACCACACTTTTACTTTTACACCGCTTCAACTGTTAGCAAAAAGGATGTCTTTCATCTAGCTCCTAATCTTGATCATGATGATGAGTGCAGATTTGTCTGATATAAAATCTAGAAACTGGTCAAATAATTAACCTGAAGCTATGTAGTGCATAAATATAAATAAAATGAGTTTTTTAAATCATTGTACAACCCTAGTTCCCAAACACTCAAAGAAAGCACAACTTTTCACACACCAGATGACTGAATAGAGCTCCTGTGACCCGTAAAACTACTGACTAACGTGACAATTCAAGGCTGTAGCAGGTAATTAAACATTTTCAGTCAGTCCACTTTGCTTGTAGATGTGTTAATCATTAATAAAGCCCGGTTTACATTTTAGTCGGATTGAAACCTTCTCTGCTGCATATGAATGCATTGTTTTCCTGAGCAATAATCTGCAGCTTCTGCCACAGAAAACATTGATTTCCTGCTGCGGTACTGAGTCATGCAAAAGTAATACAGCCCACATCTGTCACATGAAGGCTGTTGTACTGTTTGTTCTCAGCAGGGCTGCAACCAACAATTATTTTCTCACTTTGTAGAACATTTGTTGGTTGAGTTGTTTTGATCAGTCCTGTATCAGCAGTTTTGAATTCTGGGAAAATAATCAGGTGAGAAAAGCGAGCAGGATATAATGTAATTGTATGATATCCTGGGTATTAATCTAAAGAGGATCTACTTATCTCTACATGCAGGTGTAGCTGAAGATGTTGTCTACATCGAGAATTCCAGCTTAAGCAACAAGTTTTGTTGACAGAGTGTCACTAAGACCAAGTGGAGTCGAACTTTTAGAATTCTTAAAATGCTTCAGATTGTCCAACCTCCAAACAACAAACAAGCTTAAAAAAGTTGTTTTCTTCCAATTCTAACCCTAAAAAACTTTTTAATTTTTGAAAAATCTTTTACAAATCACAACTCAGAGATTAAATCACCAAAAATATACTGTCTGTTCTGTGTATTTCCTGATACACAATGAAGTGGGAATCACCAGCAACAGCTGAATGGGAAAGTATGAAAAACAAGAGTTGACTGTGTTACACTGAAATAGGGCAGGGCGATATGGCGTCAAATCAATATCATGATATATTGAGCAGTTCACCTTGATAACAATAAATGGAGGATAACCACTCCACAAGCTGCTCACCCCCTCCCACATGAACTTAATCGACCTCAGCTGCCACTGCAGCCACAATAACTTTTGAACCGTCCTCCATCTCCTCACCTGTCTTTCCCTCTTTGCTACGGACTGGATGGGGTGGAGTCACATCTCTGACATAGGACAGCGTCTTAAAGAGACATGAGACCATAGCCTACCTACACACATCCAAAACCAACTTTTACTTAGTTATTTTTTTGAACACCAAATATATTGACGTGGGCAGAATGATGTAGGTTATTGTTGTAAATTTCTGTGTCAGTAAATTTTCGGTTTATCGCCCAGCCCTAACTGAAAATAATGTTTTAGTTTGATGTGTCAACACTCACTAAATCAGGAGGCCTTGTCTGTAACAGCTGATAGGCTAGCTCCTTTGCCAATTCTCAGGCTTCTTTCTCAACAAGGAGGCAAGAGAACAAGGATCCTTGTGACTAATGCACATGCCATTGACAGCAACCTCCTTGAAGCAAACTGAACAATCCCTTTAACACTTGCTCCATCTCTACATTGACTTTTATTAGTAAAACACTTTGACAGACTAGTTCCAAAGGCAGAACAAACTCCAAAGAGCTGCATGGTGTGTTTTGTTTTGATTTCTTCACAGACTTAGGAAAGACTGATTGAAGTTTTAAAGACCAGCTGGAGTGTTTGCTGAGCCAAAAGTATGCACATCTTCCTGCCAACCAAACAGCAGCTGATATCACTTAATGGATCCTCCTCCCCTTGGTTGAATGTTGCTTATCAGCGAGTTCAGCTGGTGTGGAGCTTTAAGACCTGCATAGTCATGGGGCTTTTGCTGACACACTGATTATAAGCCATTCCATTAAGAGCTCAAAAAGCTGCACAGAGATTACCATGGGTGTAAACGCGTCTATATTAAAATGGTTTGTCTGTATTGCTTTGTGTGTGCGTGTGAAAGCTGCTGGTGCAAGGATTTCCCGGGAGAAAACTCTCCTCATCCTCTGAGTCCGTCTGAGGCAGACAGCAGGTGGGGCGGCAAGATTCTGGCTGCTCAGCAAAGACATTCCAGCGAGGAGGATTGCCTTTGTGTTTCAGAGGGAGGTGTCATAGATGTGAAAACAAACTCAGCTGGCTCTGCGTCCTGAGAGCAGCCAGGACTACAAAGTCTTACACCCTTTCATTCCTATTATTCCTTTCTCCCCACCCTCTTTTGTACGAGGTGCATAAACAAACAACACCTTCCTGTCTCTCAGGAATTATGGAAATTTTATTGCTCTTTATGAGCAGAAATATATGAGCGTCAGCTCCAACCTTAGAGTTAGATATAGAGTTGATATGAGCAAACAGAAGCAACTGGTAGTGTGCTACAGGTACTTTTGATGAGGTGAGGATGTTTCATTATTTCAGACAAATTTGACCTTCACTGCTGATCAAAGACTCAATTGTTCTGCCCTCCCCTAGAGATCAGCTGTTAAGACTGTGAGCAGAGGTTGTTTATAGGGACATTTCTGTCCGATAAAGGAGGGAAATGAAACATTTGACCAACCCTTTCATTGTTTCGATGGCCTAAAAACAATAATTCACATTTTATCCATTGTGGAGCATTTCTGTGGTCTTCATGCAGCAGCTTCTATTTACTTTTAGTTAAAATATAGAGGACTTACTTGAGCTTAGCATTACACCCCTTAAAATGCACGATATTTAATGTTGTCTGGAATGCAATTGCAGTGATTTTTGACTTCTTTGAACTGATTTGAGATGTTGGTAGCAGTACAATATAAGTATAGCGTGATACGATACGAAAAAAACCAATACACTTTATTGTGTATTGTTTTCAAAGTGCTGCACATGCTTAACTGCACCCACAATGTACAGTATATGTTTTGTTGATGTGAAGTTGACCTACCAGGGTAAAAAGCACCAACTAATTTCTCCAGTTAATATTGTAAAGTAACAAAACATAAACCAGTTTCTTTCTCATACCCACAATGTATTCCCAAAAGAGAAGGAAGATATTCAATACAACACAATACAAATACTTTATATATCCCCAAAGGGAAATTTATTTGTCGGAATCTCCTGATTTTTTTACTCTGGAAAGACGGGTAACAAACTGTGTGAATCCAGTCAAGTGAGAGGAGAGGGTGACATGGTTGAAGTCTCCTGGTATTATTACCTCAGTGCCTCAGGATGTTGAGTCTTTATCCTAGCAACAGTATCATGGAGAGTACATATATACAAGTGTTGTTATATGACATGACTGTTCTCTCTTGGAACATAATATGACTTTAGAGCGACTGCCAACAGTTCAATATTTGGACAACACAACTTCTCCTTGACAGTTATGTGTGAAGGGTTACACCATCTCTGGTTGACAAATAAAGCCAGACCCCCTCCTTTCTTCATGCCACTAACTTGAGCATCTCTGTCTGACCTTTATGAGAGTGAAGCCAGGTAGATCCACACTGGAGTCCGAGTTGTTTTGATTCAACCAGGTTTCAGTAAAAACTCAGAGACTGCACTCATGATATGCTTTCTCAGTCTTCACTAATATCTCCAGTTGACATTTCCTATGATGACTGATGTAAGAAAGGGCTTATATCTCCATTTCCTGCCCTTCAAGTTTGGCTTCACCTTTACACCAGCACAGCAACCATGAAAAACACCTCCAGATGTTTGCTGCAATTGGATGTTGCTGTCCAGATTTGCTCTGTCTCAATGAAAGAAACTCTCCTCTTGAATAAACTCTTCTTAGAGCAAAGATATCAATCAGCAGCAGATAAAAACATGACAAAAATTTGAAAAAATGAGCAAAAATTTCAGAGAGACCAGACTTTGCTGCTCCTTGGTTGAGCACAGGTTCTGGATTGAGGATTACTCATCCAAGCCAAAAATACAAGAAATAAACATAAATGCATATTTAACACATCTGTATGGAATGAAAAACCTGCCAGATCAAAGGTTTACAAGAGTCCTTAAGAGTCCTTAGGGCCTGTACCACTTCTTCACTTTTAAGCGCAATATTCAGATCTAGATCTTTGAACCTCTCATATCAATGTTTTTAAAAGTGAGTGTCACATGTTGCTGACGAAATCTATTCTGCACTTTTGGTTTTGGATCATTAACAAGTCTCGTCGGCACACAGGACACCTGTTGTGATAATGTAATGTTGTGTGCAAGATTTTAAACATTGATTGTGTTGTGTGAAATGTGCTGTCGAAAGAGCAGAAAAGAGGAACATTTAGTGGGTGGGTACCACTGCAGGTATAAAGAGATGAAAGCTGTCAGTGTGGTATGGGTGTAAATCTTAATAAAGTTATGCAAAGTTAAGACAATGCAATCTAATATAAGAAACACATGCTATACAAAGTAAGGATGCAGATATTAAGTAGCCTAATAATTGAACTGATTACATAACAGGTACAGCCCCATGTTGTGGGAACCACCGAGGCCATGGTCATTCCTTTCATCGAAATGATTTAACTTAACCTCTACTCTAGTCTGCCAAAGTAATCTGTGAACTAAACACCTCTGTGTTTGTCCCCCCACAACTCCCTATGATTGATCTCATTCAAAGTATGAGCTGGTATTCTCGACCCCCTCCTTATCTCGTGAGCTTTTTTTAACATAGACCTTAAGGATGCCTCAGAGCCACCCAGCATTCTTGTGCCAGCTGTCCATTCCTTGCTGCTCCTCATCATAGCTGACAATCCTTTGCATAGCTCCTGGAAAGTAATCCTGAAATACCAGGATGCCTACTTGCACACACTCATTTAGTTGTGTTTACAGCCGAGGGAATTTTATTAGGTAGCAACCAGCTGTCTTAAACACCTATGTCATGTTTCCCTAATACTAACAAAGACTAGCTTGTTTGCCATTGACTTTGACGCCCCTGCTTTAATGCGTCATGTAAGTTATTTTTGTCCAATTTCGACATGTCCAGACATGTTCACATCCTTTCTCTAAGGAACCGATAAACAAACACCTAGACAGACATCCTCTCTGTCTGTATGTCCTGCTCAGTCTTGGGATTCCCTGCTCGATGACGAGTCATTATGGGATTGAGCATATGTTGACCTCATCACACAGCAGGAAAACCTTCCCAGATTCTTCCTCTAAATGTCAACTTTGCTCTATTTTGTCAAGGTCCTCCCGTTCCTTCACATAATTCATTCGCTGACCATATTTCATCGTGCGTGCAAACCCATCCTGTTACAATTAGAGGAAAAGAAGTACTCCCTGTGCCATGTAACCCAAACATTTCCAATACACCCACGCAAAAACAGGGAGGGGAATCCCTGACTTGTTTAGCATGAGGCACTGACTGAGTCTGAGAAACGTTCCCAAGCAAAGCGTTTATATGTCTGAGTGTGCTTTTGATAAGTTTGTATTTGAGCCAGCTGTTCGGGGAATGCCGGGGGCCACCACGGGTCGGGAATGACGTAAGAGCGAGAGAACAGAGGCAGAGAGCACGAGGGCGGATATCTGCTGTGGAATTCCTGAGTTCCGACTCCGTTCTGTTTTTGGAACACAATTGTCTGGTATTTAGTTGATCCTCCCTCTTCATTTGTCTGCCTCTATTTCCACTCACTTCACCCCCTAGACCTCAGAGATCCCATTTATTTTTGGCATATTGTTTGTGCCAGGACCAAGACACCCGCTTTTCCTCAGAACCTTAAAAAAAAAAAAAAAAAATGATGAAGACACACCTTGTCTGTTTGGAATTTGTTCAATCCGCTGTTGACTTTCTCATGAGTGGTGCCAACATAAACCAGTTTTTTTTTGCATCATGGTCCCTTACAGCACACTTGAACTGTAACTCGCAATGATCAGCTCTTTTCATGCGGTGATGACAGCCAACCTAATGTTGACACTGTTAGTCCCAGTCAGGCACCTGGCATGACAAGGACAGTGAATAGTCATCCTGCAGAGCTTGAGCTGCTCTCTGTCCCCGACTCCCATCAATGACAGTATTATATGTTGTCAGGCTTTCAGCACAGAGTGGATCTGTGTCGTCGGTCCAGCAGACAGGAGAAAGACTGTGTGATCAAAAAGACCCTCTTTTTTTGAAAGCTGAAAAACCCTTCCTTTTTGGTCACAGCCCACTTCCCGTTGCTATAGTGACACTTCCGATGAGTCATGTGTTTAAAAGATAACATTCCAGCGTTGTTCCGCAAGGACTGGGCTTATCAATCATGCATGACCTCTGACCCCTGACTCCTTCAAGGCAGCTACAAATCAAATAAGGAACACAACTGGAACACATCAGCTATCAACTCTGCAGGCACTATGTTGTGTTGCTTGAATGGAGGCTAGATATGGCTTTAATGAGATTAAGTCCACACAGTGTTTGATCTGATCCAAGTCTGTGGAAAAAAGATGGACAATATGACAGCACCCGAGAAGTGAAACCAAAACATTTAGAGTCCTGATACTGACTTACTGCAGCACTTTTATACACTGGAGTAAAATAACTGGAGTAAAAAAGATGAATATTTGTTTAAATTAAGGACAGTTTGGGCCGACTGTCTTTGTATCTGCCTTAAACTAACAGGATACTAAGATCAGGCTAATTCTTATTATGAGTCAGATAGTAGGAGTGGGAGAAAAAATTGTTACAGCATAGTGCAATGATAAAAATCGCAATGATATTATATCCTGGCCCAAGTATCGTAATAATAATGTATCCTGGCCCAAGTATCGTGATAATATTGTATCCTGGCCCAGGTATCGTGATAATATTGTATCCTGGCCCAAATATTGTGATAATATTGTATCCTGGCCCAAGTATCGTGATAATATCGTATTATGGCCCAAATATCGTGATAATATTGTATTATGGCCCAAGTATTGTGATAATATTGTATCCTGGCCCAAGTATCGTGATAATATCGTATTATGGCCCAAATATCGTGATAATATTGTATCCTGGCCCAAGTGTTGTGATAATATTGTATCCTGGCCCAAGTTTCGTGATAATATTGTATCGTGCCTCAAGTATCGTGATAATATTGTATCGTGGGGCCACTGGTGATTCCCACCCCTATCTGATAGTATTCAGGTCTTATTTGAGGCAGAGTCTTTGCATTTATTACTGTAACTAAATGGCTGTATTCAGTATTCAGCTGTATTTCATGACGTTTTTGCAGAGGATTTCAACTGATCTGAGTGAACATCATCGTGTTATAATTGCAGTGGACTGTGTTGCCTATTGTTTTTGCTGTTTTTATGGGAAGGCTGCAAAAATGAATCGCCCTCCGGGGACGGATAAAGCTGTTTTGAACACTACTCAGTGCTTTCAGTGCTACTTGCTATGTTCTTTCTGTCACTCAATAGAAGAGACTGCTGATAAATCAGGGCGTCACTTGCATACCCTCTATATATCACAAACTCTATCTCCTCCTCCTCCATTCTCACAAATGTAACATGGTTCAAATGCCTTGTCTGTAATTTTAATTTCAGAAAGCCACATTTCACTGAAACAAATGCTTGAAACAAATTTTCTTTGCGCCTTGCTCCAGCATAATTGGTTCTGACATATTGTACGTAAACAGAGGATATTTGCATAAAACTTGTTCTTTCTCGTCTTGTGTGTTCACAGATTGAACGGCGCATGGAGTTGGTGCGTGTGGTTTCCCACAACACCCACAAGCGGATGGTGTCATGTCTACAGGGACACATCGGAGCAGAAGCAGAGAAGAGACATGTGAGACATTAATCTTGTTACAGTAAAGCAGGAGAAAAAATCCAGGCACTGTTAAATTGTTCCAGGATTTATGTTACTAGATGTTTTATCTCACTAGTCTCTACACATAGCTTTTATTGTTTCCATTGAAAGTATCACAGTAGGCCTACAGTCTATGATTTCTCTTTTGTGTTTTTTACCCCACACCAACCCAACACTGCACCACAGTCTGTACCACGCCTCTATACAGGAAACGGTCAGGTAAAAACGCTGAATATTCACTCTGATTCTCTGGTTCTAAGCACCATCTACTCCATTTCCCATTCAGACATCTGTCATCTTTAGTCACTCTGCATGACACTTTCACCTTTGGGATCTGGTGGCAAAAACAGGAAGCTGAACTCTCACGAGTGTTTTGCTCAAACAGAATCTCCGCAATAGTGAAAATAGACTCCAGGGGTGTCATTTGATAGATGTCTCACTTCCTTAGTTTGCATCTTCAGTACCATTCAACATCTGCATTTTCCTCCTTTGCTCAGAAAGCTTTGGTCCTCTTCCTGAATTTACCACTTCATGGAAAGTCCTTGATGAGTTTTCCATTTACTGACAAACACTGAAGCCTCTCCATAGAAATTAGTCATTTTTCTTCATCTGCACGGTTTGAATGTGTCAGGATACACGTGATTGTGCCTCTGTCTTCTTCCCGCAGAAAAAGCTTCCGCTGACTTTGCTCTCCCAGGCGATGGTGGAGGGCGGAAACCAGTTGGGAGAGGAATCCTTGATAGGGTGAGTTTTAGATTTTGATTGACAGGCTGGAAAACCAACAATCTGTAACGGAGCAGATTCCTCAAGAGAGTTTGAAATATGAGGCCATGCATCCAGGACAAGCAGTTTGCCTAGTTTCATTTTCTGGATGGGACTTTCAGATGTTCCCTTTATGAGGGCGTCACATCATGTGTCCGAGAGTGACCAAAAAACACCGCACAGCTCATAGTTGAGGACCTAGAAAGTAAAAGTGTGCTTTCACATGTCTGTCTGGGAAGCAATGAGGAAGAGAAACAGTCGTCAGATGGTCTGCTAGTAACTCAAGTGACGCATTTACCTTTCAGCTCCAACTGTATTGTTCCTTTGCAAAAGTAAGAAGGTTTGTTGGAAGGACATCTTTTAAGTTTCATTTTGATTGGAAACTTTGATATCACAAGACTGGCGACTCCATTGTCTCTACATGAAACCCTTTCCCAGCCTTGAAATGTGTCGCACATCCCCTTAGGTTAACAAATCTGCACTTGTATCCCATTGTTTCCAGCGTATAGAATGTGCAATTCTGTGTTAATCCCCGACCACATTAGCTATTTAACTTACTCACACAGACTTTATAAATGTAGATGCTAAATTATCTGTGTTCTCCTACCTGTTCTTCCTTTTTTGGTTTGTGTAGCAGTTGTTCACACCAATTATTTTACGAGGGGTGGGAGAAAAAATCGATACATCATGGTATCGTGATATTTTGTCCAGTGATGTATTGTATCGTCATATTTACCAAGTTAGACTTTTTAAAATTAATTGCTAATATAAAGTCAGATCTATGATAAGTGAATCTATAAGTGATCTATGAAAGTTAGTACAACAAATAAAAGGTTTGCAAGATGTGCTACATGAAAAAAAAAATGCAGCGTAAATAAGACAAACATAAACTAAGGACAAATGCTTAATTAGCAAAACAGTTGAATGAATTGTATAAATCGCAATATATTGTATCGCAATACTCACTGTATTGCAAAATGTTAAAAATCGCAATAATATTGTGTCATGGCCGAAGTATCGTGATATTATCGTATTGTGGGGCCACTGGTGATTCCCAGCCCTATATTTTAGTACACATTATTATTGTCTGTCTATATTTTATTGTGTTTTCTGACCTGCTTACCCTGTCCTTGTGGTGCTGCACCAACCTAATTTACTTATATACCTAGTTTACTAATTAAGGATTATTCTATTTTATCTGTATTTAAGTTCTAATAATGAGAATCATTTTGACAAAAAAAATGACCAAAGCCTGTAAATCAGATTTGTGAGACACTGACAGTAATCCTGCTTTCTTTCTACAATTTAACAACAGTCAGGCGGCGTGTTTCTACAGACATGTTAATAAGCGTCTTTCCTGAACGCCCTCAGCAACATAGTGGCACGTCAAAATACAGTCCAGCAAGTCAATGCAGCATTTACGTGTATTATGTCTGAGCTTACTCACATATGCCCATCACACACTGTAACAATACACATTTAAACCGTGGAAGCTTATATTTCCAATATTTACAGGAAGAGGGGGAAGGAAGGAAGAATGTAAGCAGAGTAATGCAAAGCTTGGCAGCTCTGGGTTTATTGATTCAAACCATTTATTTTCAGTTTTTGTTCTAGGACCAGCAAGACACAATCTCAGTCAACTTTACCTTCAAGATACTTTCTCAGCTCTTTTGTAGGAAAGCTCCACTGTAAGTGGTGATGGATTTTCCACATTTGTTTCTCCACTCCTTTGTTTCTAAACCAGAACATTCCCCAGATGAGGTGCTCCAAGTTCAGGGCTATTACAGTCTTAAATACCTTGCTTGATAAAACCCTTTTACTGGTCAGAGTTGTACTGTAGTTCAGCCAGTGTTGCAGCTTGAAAAAATAACATTAAAAAAACTTGATTTTGTTCTCAGTTACTGTAGGACGAGCTGGAGCGTCTGAGAGGTTGATGTTTTATCTGGAAGATTTATGATGTAGCCTAAGCCAGCAGTGCTTCTGATGCAACGCAAAGGCAAAGATGTGATTTTTACACCCCTCTGTCTTTGTGCTGACTAACAGGAAGATGATGGAAGTGTGTGGGGATGCGGAGAACCGTCTGGCTTTAGAGCTGATGCAACACGAGCTGCAGTTAGAGAAAGACGTTCTGGATCCCCTCAGTCAGCTAGCAGAGGTAAGAAAGCTCACTCTGTGAACACTAACAGCAGTGAAACAGTCATTAAACATTTATGAACCTTACAAGCTCTTTGCTTGTTTTGAGGAGAAGTTGCTGTTTACTTATATTGTCTGATCATAGTGGTCATTTTTTCATATTAATGTCTTTTGGATTTACACTGCCCAGCTGCAAAGATTACATAAACCTACAAGTTTGTCCTCATTTGACCTGCTCTCGTCATGTGATCCTGGTAACAAGGTTAAACAAAAGGATGTTTTCTGTCATAAAATACTAGTTTGACATTTTAAACCAGCCACAGACGTTTAACTTTGTACTCTTTGCTGTGTTGATTTCAACTTGTCAGACTGTACCTAAACTGAGAATTTTGGTTTTTAAACAATCATGAGTGCTTCAAATAATATTTGTTTTTCTTAATATCACCATGAAAACGGCAAACCAGAGGAAACGTCTTTGTCGTCCAGAGAAAATCCATCTCAGTTTGTCGGCTCTTTGTCATTCTTGGATGTAACTTTTGTAGGTGGACATTCCCAACATCCTGAAGCAGAGGAAACAGCTGGCCAAATTGGTGCTGGACTATGACTCTGCCAGAGCAAGGTTTGTCTGCTTACAGCTCACTCCCTTTCTCAAAGTGTTGAATTTGAGGCTGTTATAGGTGATGCATCCAAATAATACCTAAACGGTACAAAGCAAAAATTTTCAGCTAAAGCGAACGTACTCTTGACGAGAGACATCTGTTCATTATCCTGTCTTTGTTGACCTTTCTCACATGGTTTTCACTCCATTTCACTTTCACTATTACAAATGTTTTCATCTCCCCTCTTTCTGTCCAAACCCAGATGGTTGCAGGCAACCAAGTCAATAATCTCAGGAACAAACACACAAGCACTGACAGCGAAGGCGGACCTACTCAAGGAGGAAATGGATGAGGCCATGAACAAAGTTGAGCTTTGCAAGGTAACTGGCCTTACTGTTCATGAACCACCATGCTGCATAACTGCTACATTACTACATCCATGTTTAGAAGAAAACTTTTAAAGCTCCTCTGTCGTGTTTTAAGTTGGTTAAAAAAATGACTCCAATTCATACTGATACTAGTTATATAGGAACCAGTGGTAGTTATTGACCGCAGGCTACTGAAATTGGCCTTTTTTCACATTTTCCATGGCAAAGATTCCTACTTAAGCACCATTTGCACAGGATTACTATAACCTGGGGAGCTCTGGTAGTTTGTGAGTTGGACTCTGATGAAAGTGTTTAATGTGGCACATTTTCAAAGTTTGTAAATTACTCAAATTTACTGACAGTTCTGATTGAAATCAACAAGGTGCCAGAAAACTTTCACAATGTTAAGTTTATAAGCTCACCACTCTATAAAGCCATTTGTATTAAGCCAGATACCCCCCTCCAATTTTAAGTTTGGCTTGTGTCCTGTCTAGTAACATGGAATAGACGGGCATTGTTTTGGCTTCACTTTTGGTGAGCTGTCATGTTGTCCAGCTTTCATACAGTCTCTGTTTCATACAACAGTAAAAGATCTACTGTTTTGATGGTGAGTGATTGGTTAGCTGAAGGTAATTTGAAATGTGTTAAAGTAAAAATAAACCTCATCAGGAGTTAAAACTGGGAAAAAAGGAAACAACTGGACTTCTGGAGACCCCCCAGGCCCTCTGACCCACTTTGCTGATGCACATATGACGAACGAAAATGCCCTGTCAGCATGGAGTGTGTGTGTGTGTGTGTGTGTGTGTGTGTGTGTGTGTGTGTGTGTGTGTGTGTACGCATCTGCTAATCTGAATCACTGCTGGTGGGTTTTAGTGCGCAGCGGCTGCATGATGTGTCCGATTTTTCAGTCCAGGAAGTGCGGAGCCCTTGTGTTTCCCCTTCACAGATTCGACCCCCCCCACCCACCCAATCCCACCGAGTCTGCCAACAGCAGGAGGATTTATGACTCACGTAGCACACAGGCCAGCGGCTTAGCTGACCACTGACGTCTGTACTTGTGCCACTTGGAGCGCACAGTAGATCATTAATGGATGACAGTGTGAAGTGGAGATGGAAGATTTTGATTCGATTGATCCAAGCTCTCCGCCTGCTGCTGTTGTTGTAAATCACATGGTAACTATGGCCTATATCTTTCAATACTTTTGACAGTGTGAATTTTTGTCACTCAGGATCAGCTGGCTGCAGACATGTACAGTTTTTTCTCCAAAGAAGGGGACTATGCCCTCTACTTCGTAACAGTGAGTACAGCCAAACAAGCCCCACATGTGTTTGCACGAGTCTTTTGTGGGAATGTTCACAGCTGCAGAGGAACCGGGGGAGCACAGACTTGGCCAGCCGTTTTGTTTACTTTGCTGTCATGTCTTTTTGCTGTTTGCCTTATTCATCCCACCTCACCTCGACTCATTTCCATCTGTGTTGTATCTTTTTTTGTTTTGTATTTTTGTCTCTGTAGCTCTTAGAAGCTCAAGCTGATTACCACAGAAAGTCTCTCACTGTTCTGGAGAGCGTGATGCCCACCATCCAGGCTCAGCAAGGTAGAATACACACAAACAAACAAACAAACATGCCCTTATGCTCTCACAGACTTTATTTTTAGCCCAAAACACTACAGCCTTGTTTGAAAGAATGCATAAAAAGAAGCCTCTGTGTGGTGCATGATTAAGAACGTCTTTACAAATGTCCCGAGGGATGCATGTGTGGCACCCTCTGTTTTTCTTCAGTTCCTGTGTTGTTTAGCGTCCCTTTAAACAAATCTTTTCCTATGAGGCGCTGGAGGGGTTTGAAAAGCTTGCCTAGAGGTGTTGCTAGGAGGGTGGAACAGTTTCTCATTCACTTTTTTTCTGACCGGTTCGGAAATGAAAACAGCTGTTTTTTTTTTTTTCTTAACTTCAAGACTTCCAAAAGTTGCCCCAGTTGCGGTCACCACTTCTAAGGCCAAGATGTAAAAGAATCGTCAATTGTTTTTGCTTCTTTGCTCTCCAAAAGAATCCACCTCTCCTCCTCAGGCTTCGTCACTACTTTTTTTTTATTTTTTTTATTATGAGTGTGTCTTATTGTAGGAGTATTTTTCCTTGTACCGAACACATGTGGTCTAAACCAGACAAGCCTGGTCTCCCAGCATGTGGTGATGACTCACAAACTCCACACACACACTCCCCCCTCCAGCCCCCCTCTCGCATCACACCCACCTGGGTTTTGCAAGCTCTCCCCCTCTCCTGCTGCCCCGTTCACATGCACATTAGCTCACACAAACACAGAAAGAAGAAGACGCAGACACAGTCACTCCTGCCGGCAAGAAGCATGTGGTTGTTATTTTACAGCACCCTGTGAGGGGGAGTGAGGACGGACTAGGAACTGACCCAAAGGAGAGTTTTTGACCCAGAAATCTGCCACCCAGACAAACACAATCCCTTGCCAGTGCTGACTCTTACTTTGTGACATACCAGTGCAACACATGGGTCAACAAATCATCTGCAACATCTTTATTGCCGTGCTTGTTTTTGTGTCTTCGCAAATCTGAAACAGTGTTATTGTGTTTAGACTCGTGGTCGGAGAAGCCTGCGTTCGGCACCGGGCTTGATGAGCACCTGAAAAGGAGCGGGAGGGAGATCGCCCTGCCGCTAGAGGCCTGTGTCATGATGCTTCTAGAGACCGGCATGAAGGAAGAGGTGAGGATGTGAAAAAGAGAGAGAGGCACAGTGGGGACGAGAAATTTGACCTGTTATTCTTCAGTGTAGATAAACATTGACACATTTGGGTTGTATCATGCATTGAACAAAAAGATATATGTAAAGACATCGCCTCACAAGAAGGTTGCTGGTTCTACTCCCAACTGTGGAGTTTGCATGCTAGATACTTCAGCTTCCTCCCACGGTCCAAAGGCTTGTTTTTTTTTTTTTGTTAATTAACCAGTTTCTCCAAATCGCTCATCCGTGTTAGTATGAGTGTGTCTGTTTTTCTGTCTATCTATTAGCCTTGTGATAAGCTGGTGACCCTGCCTAATGCCCAGTGAGAGCAAGACTTGGCTTCAGCCATCCTGTAACCCCTGAGCAGGATAAGCAGTAGAGTTGATGAATGAATGTGATGCACCAGAAGTTTGAATTTTGAGAATCATAAAACCTCTCCCAAACTTTCGTGCATCTCTTTGTTTTGTTTTGGGGTTTTTTATGGACCATAATTCTTACTTGAGTCTCAGTCAGCAGTTCTTAGCAGGAAAGCTTTGAATAAGCCTCCATACAGGGTCCAGAATTAACACCCATCAAGCGCCAGGTGTGGGTAGATTTTCTGTTTGGTGAGAAATGCGCCATGTAGCGAGTAAAAGTCTGTATCACAGGAGTAGTGTCTTAAAAATGAAGTATGCTGAGTTTTTATAAGGGTTTGGTGTACCTACACCTCGGGCTGGGCGATAATACAAAAATGTACCAAAATATACGACAATAACTGATGCCATTTTGCCCATGTTGGTATATTGGGTGTCAAAAGAACAGTTGGTTTTGGATGTGTGTAGGTAGGCTATGGTCTCATGTCCCTATAAGACTCTTCCTACGTCAGAGACATGACTCCACCCCATCCAGTCTGTCACAACAGTCCTTAAAAGTGGCAAAATAATTGCAATAATGGGTTCAGGGGAGTACTACTATCAACTGCCACAGCAACATCTATTGGCTAAACCCGCTTCTCTGCTGTCTGCAAGTCTGAACTTGGCAGTGTTGAGCTGACAAACACGACCATAATATGAATGTCACTGTGCACTGATGTACTCACACAAATGAAGGTCGGATTCAAACTGATCTAGAGGCATGACAGCTGTTTGCCATTAACTTGTGTAAAAAAAAAAAAAAAAAAAATGTAAACTGATGATGTAGCTTTTATCATACACTATATACAGTGTGCTTAAAGTGTATTACCGGTCAGGTCAGGGGTTTGAAGCTGGGGTTCAACATTAAATCAGGAGACAATGAAGCTTAAGAGATAACACCTTTCCTCTTATCTAACACCGGTTGTCCTTGTCTCACTGTACACAGAAAAAGAGCTGGCGTGGCTCATTAAAAGTCACATGGCTCTTTGACTGTGTTCAGTGGCTCCAGTGATCATTGGCGTAATTGAAACCAAGCTGGCGATTGTTGGTTCGCATGAATATCTTAATAGTCCGGGCGGATTTACTGTAGACAAACTGTAAACAAGGGAAACTCTTGAATCACTGCAGCGCTGTTCCAGAAAAACTGTCTCCCGTTCTGCTCCGGTGATGATTTATAAAATGTGCCCCCCTCCCCAAAACAAATTTAGAAAACAATAGAAGCCACTTGTCTCCTGTCCATAAATCAGAGTCCTGTCTGTGTTTATATGTCTGTGCGAAAAAAAAAAAAAAAAAACACTCAGAGACAGCAAGCTCTGACTACAAAGTGCTGTACTTGTTGCTCTATCCATTCTCCTGCAAGTGTAGTCTGTGTCATGATGGAGTGAAGACAGTCTTTGTTTGTGTCAGAGTAAAGGCTCGCTGTGCTGTGAATGCTGGGTGTGTTTGTTTGCCTGTTTTTAAGGTTTCATTATGTGCAGCTGGCAGGGGAAGTGTGAGAGTCTATGTGTAATAGAGTGCAAGAGAAGAGTGTGTGTGTGTAACTGTGTGTGTTCAATGAAAGCAGCACTGAGTCTAGTGTACACATTGGCGGCCTTGCATGTAGTGTTACTTTGTTTGCTGGCAGTGTTACTGTGGTTTATTTGTCCCTGCGTGTGGTTTTCTGTGTGACAGGGTCTATTCAGAATTGCAGCAGGAGCATCCAAGCTAAAGAAGCTAAAAGCAGCGCTGGACTGTTCCACGTCACAACTGGAGGAGTTTTACTCCGACCCCCACGCTGTCGCTGGTACGTCCCCAACAACACACATGCTTTCTGTTTCTCTTATGTTTGTTGCTCCAGTTACCATTAAAATGACAGAGTAATGTAATGCCTGTTGGTGTGTCTGGTAATTAATTGGAGTTTAAGCAATGTGCGTCATGTTTAAATGCCCCCCGTGCCTCTCTTAAGGGAGAAACAAACTGTTGTTTCTCTGTTGCAGGAGGATCACGGCAGGTGTCTTAATAAACTCAAACATAATTACAACCCACCCGCTGTTAATCAGATTATAAAGGACTAAACATCTTGGACTGTTGCTGTTAGCTAGCTGTTTGCCAACAGTAATGTTTGAGTAATTAAAGCATCTTGCTTTCTTTACTTTTCTGGTTGCATCCTAAACCAGATGATGTCTGTTTAAGACTACGTTTACACGTGCCTGGCTATTTTCATAAACGGACATTTTACCCTCTCCGTTTGCACCACTACATTCTCAGAAAAGTTTTCATTTACACTAACTTGTGTATACGTCCCTTCAAGAGCATGCCAAACCTGTAGCGAGAAGCTCAAACCCACGTTAGCCAATCAGAATCCTGCATAGCAGCAACAACAACAACGTCCACTTCCTTCTACCCAGCGCACAATCTGCCATCGGCTCACCAAATCTCCGTTTTTCTCTGTTTACATGCAAACTTGCAAACAGAGATTTCCAAAATCTCCACTTCGGCTGGAGTTTTTTTAAAAAGCATCGTTTTCACGGGCGAATTCTCTGTGTCTAAATGAAGGGTTCAAATGATGGTTAATGTCTCTGTTTTTAAAAATAACCTGGTATGTATAAATGGTGCCTGAGTCTCAGCTAGTCCCTGTAGTCTGTTAATCTTTGACAACAAAGAGCGTGATTGATCGGCACCCTGATGGGCAATAATGTTGGTTTAGATGGCATGTGAGCGTACACACTAGCCCACGCTTAAAACTGAATTAGCTGAGCCTTATATAAAAAATATGTCAACAGTTTTATCAATAGATTAGTCCCAGTCCTCTGTCTCTACCTTACTAGTTAGCGCTTGACTTCAAGTCCAAGTCATAAGCACTTAAATACAAGTTGAGTTACATGTCCTTAAAAAATCAGGAAGGAGTTGGACTCCAGAAACTCAGGAGGGGGGTTGAGCTGAGCTGCAGTTAAAGACTTCAGCTCAGTTTGTGGGTTCGGTGTCCTTCAGAGTTTTTTTGTGCACTAGGTGCTACAGATGGTCTGCGTGAAGTCAGGTGTCTTTTTAATCATATTTGTTGATTGATCTGATGGCATCAAAATATCATGATAACTTATTTCGGCAGATGAATTTGTCTTAAATGTTGCAAAAAAATCAAACATCCCAAACGTGTTCTTGTTTCAGGAGCGTTAAAGTCCTACCTGAGAGAACTACCTGAACCTCTGATGACCTACCAGCTTTATGATGAATGGATCCAGGCGTCAAGGCAAGGCTCACAGAATTATCACAGGGAGCAGCATCTAGTGATATTGAACAGATCTATCATTCTGCTGCAGCAAGAAGTGACAGGAGAAGTAATTTGGGACACTTAGCTCAAGGGACTCTAGACTAATAATATCCTCAGCTTTCAATCATGTCCATGTTTTCTTTTCCGTGTTATTTTCTCTCCAGTGTGACGGACCCGGACAAGCGACTGCAGGCACTCTGGGTTGTTTGCGATAAGCTACCAAAGAGCAACAAAACCAACCTGAGGTCGGTCATCTGATGATTAAGCCTGCATCTCCTCAGATATATGAGATTGTGTTTTCACCATTCTTACCATGTTTCAATGCAGGTATCTGGTGAAGTTTTTAGCCAAACTGGCCCAGGACAGCGAGGTGAACAAAATGACTCCTAGCAACATCGCTATCGTTTTGGGACCCAACCTGCTGTGGGCAAAGACCGAAGGGTGAGATGGAGACAGAGATGATATTGCAAATTAAATATTTCACATCAGATATTAGAAAAATAATCTGCAGGAGGGATGCATCTACATGTCTTAGTTGGACAGGATTTAATTGTTGCTTGTCTGTTTGCATCCACCTCAGGAGTCTGGCTGAGATGGCTGCAGCTACCTCAGTGCATGTGGTGGCCATCGTGGAGCCCATCATCCAGCACGCTGACTGGTTCTTTCCCGAGGGTATGTTTTGCATCACTATTTTTAGTGCAACTGTAAAGATATGTCCTAATACACACCAGGGATACACAATAATTGCAATCAATAGTAACTGCCAGCTATAAAAAAAGGGGGCAAAGTCTCTGCTGTTTCTGTCCTGACTGAAACTGCAGGTTCAGTCATCAGTGGAGCTATACAGATGATGTAAAAAACATGCTTTTGACTCTTACACATCATTTTTTGGTAAATCAAAGAAGAAAAAGAAAAAAAAAAGCGAATAAATGTGGGCAGATCACTTGTATTCTTAATGCCACATTAGACAGATCATCATTCGTGAAAGAACAGGAAAAAAGAAACACAAGCATCCTCACAGAGCTCAACCTTAATCAGAGCGACTCAATTTAACTGCTTGGCAGCTCTAGTAAATGTCATAAATCCTCTTAAATGAGTCTCTGCTTTGTAAAAAAAAAAAAGCACAAATGAAGAGGAGGATAGGAAAAGATAACCCACTACAATTCATAATAAGACTTGACTTCTTTTCAAGATATCATCCTTTTTGTAATCACTGCTAAAGAAGGGTGTCCGTTAAAAAAATGTCCAAATCCTGCTAGTTTTTGTACCCCTTTTTTCTCTATTATCCTCTTAGTTATTTGAGTTAGTTAAGAGTGGAGACAAGATGATGGTGATCTGACTGTCCTGTAGTCAGCATATGTGTCTCTGGAGCTCTCAGAGGGACAGAGATGACGGGTCAGCACTTTCTGATATCATGTTACAACAATAAGGACCCTAGATGGTAACTTAAGCCCAGATTTCCTTCACAAACTCTATTTAATCAGATACATCTATGATTTTTTTTTATCTATGACATCTACAACTGGTTAAACAGGATGTTTGGTGTGTTAAAGGAAAGTGACGGTAAATCACAATATGTCAGTTAAGGATGAAGATAAGGTAAAGTGAGCGACCAGAAAGATAATCGACTTCTTTCTGCATCCTTGTTGCATCACGCTGGTTTTGCCAGACCTGCTTAGCCAGCTTCAGGTCCTTGTCCTGAACTCACAGATCAAGCCTCTGCAGTGATCTTACTAGTGGTGTAAAATACTATACGTGTCAAGCTAAATCACTTCCATCCCTTTTCTCTGATATAAATCGAAGCAGAGTAAAATAAAAAGCAAACTTTAAAAAATGACTCATATTAGCTGTTTTTTCCCTTTTTCTGCAGATGTGGATTTCAATGTGTCAGGCATGTTTTCGATGCCCACACCTGCATCCAACCACAACAACCACCTCGATTATGACTGCAGCACCATAGAGAGGAAGAGGCCCGGCAGTATGGTGGGACCAGAGAACGACACAACACGCAAAGACAAGTAATGAAGCCGGAGTTCACGAGAACGCTTCCTCAAAGCAGCCCTGTGTCCAGAGTTAACCTTTCTCAATCAGAGCTCTGGAATTAACTTAATCCAGTTGCTTTTTCTCACCCTCTTCTTTTGCGTTTCATAAAGGTTGGGTGTGTTTAATCGAAATCTCTATATATGTTCTTTAACGTTGTTTTTAATCACTTCTCTGTAATCTGGGTGATTTTGGTGATTCTCTGTCCTGCTCTAACCGGTGACTCTCTGATCAAAGCTTTGGTGTTTCTTTCTTTCTTTGTTTTGTTTTTCTCCCTCACTCTTCCTCCTGCTCCTCCTGTGTAGCACCCCTAACAAGCACTCGGACCACACCCTCCGTAGAGGCAGTAACACCATAGGTAGAAAGCAGCACACCTCACCCGCCTTCCAGCCTCCTTTACCCCCTGTGGAGGCACCAGGGCAGGGGCATGGGGTCGGGGCCGGGCCAGGGCAGGTCCCCCAGCCCTCCTCAGAGCCTCAGCTCCAGCCCCAGCCCCAGCCGCAAGCTCCATCAGGGGGTTTGGGGCCTGACGCCTCCCAGCAAAGCTTGGCGCAGGGCCTCGCTGCTCTCGCCGCAGCCCAGCAGCTTCTCGCTCAGCACACAGAGGAGCTCAGGTAAGAGCTGCGTCTCTGCTGCTGGCGGAGAACGACTTGTCTGCATGCCCCAAAGACACAGACAACTAGATTCAGTCCGTTTCCTAATGCATGTTTCACTGGTATCTCGCAGACATCACCTCCTACTCTGGTCTCTGATTCAACTTCTTGTTTCTTTAGTAAAACCACAAGTTTTCTTACTCAAACACCACCGGTCTCAACTATGCAGACGGGTCTAAATACGACCCACAGACACAGCACAACAATGGCTGCTGTCATTCTTCTAGCAGTCACTCGCGGGGGCCTCCGCTTTCCTCTCCAAATCACTGGAATCAGCAGGAACCTCACACAAACTGGCCAAAACTGCCTCGAGAAGCCGGGACTCTGCTGCGGCTGTTATGCAACGTCTGAAGGGTGTCTTTGATTTAGCTGCTGAAAGGCCAACATTCATTTCCACACAGATTACTCCATTCAGATCAGCATTCTTGAGGTCCTACACACTCTGCTGTGAAGGTGTAGTCAGATGAGACACCCTGATTAGATTAGGACATGTATTTCTTCAATAAGTCTACTTTATAGAAAGGAAGCAGTGTCTAATTTGAAGCTCTAACTTCCTCTTAAAACCTCCATCGGCGGCTGATGTTATGTAAGCAGTTCTTAGAGTTTCAGAGAGCTACCTTACCGAGACTTTCCTCTTTTCTCTCCCCAAAGTAATCCAAAACTGCGTGACCCCACATCCACCCCCACCCCGCTGCTGCAGAGGAACGGTTCCGCAGCAGGAGGCCAGGCTGCAGGTCAGCTGGGCACTGGGAACCCCGGGGCTGGATCCATGGGGCCCAGTCCGCACCTGATGCGTAGAGGTAAGAGTCCTCACTCTCATAATCTGCTACAAAAAAGCACATATCTATACGGATTATACAAGATGAGGCGGATTAAGTTTAAGAGGACTGGACATAAAGGTTTAACAACTTTTTTTGGACCATTTTGGGTTATATCCCCAAACTTTTAACACAAGAAGGCTGATCCCTCCTGTGAGTTCAATCCATACTGAATCGCAAATATTTCTCCTTATCCATGAATTCCCCTAAACTCACAGCAAGTCTGTTATGAACGACTAAGATTTTTAGCTCGCTGACTTCTAACATTTTGTGACCACCCAAAAATTGGCCAGCTGTGTAGCTCCATTTATGAGCTCCTGATATTTCACAGTATATAATATGTAATAGGGCTGGGCAGGGAACACATTGAAGTATTTTTGTATTTTGGGTTTGTGTCTTTTAAGGAAGATTGGTTTTCAATTTCCCTTTCATAGGACTATTTTTTTCCACATATGATAACCTGTTTCTTTGTGAGGTTAAAAAATAGCTGAAAATAGGGCTGGGTGATATGGCCTCAAATCAATATCACAATGTATTAAACAGTTCACCTTGGTAGCAATAAATAGGAGATAACTTCTCCACAAGCTGCTCACCCCCTCCCACATTAACTTCGTCTACTTCAGCCGCCGCTCCAGCCGCTCCAACTCCAAACTGTCCTCCATCTCCTCACCTGTCTTTCCCTCTTTGTTACAGACTTGATAGGGTGGAGTCATGTCTCTGACGTAGGACAGCGTCTTATAGGGACATAAGACCATAGCCTACCAACACACATCCAAAAACAACTTGATCTTATTTATCTATTTTTTGACACTGAATATATTGACATGGACAAAATGACGTTGGTTTTTGTCGTAAATTTCAGTATTGGTAAATTTTCAGTTTATCGCCCAGCCCTAGTTAAAAACACAAAATCAGCCAAACCTTTAAATTCAGATCAGAATATGGACTTCAGTGTCTTTTTTACTAGCCTACCTTCAAAACTAACTTTTATTTATTGATTTTCTGACACCAAAAAATACCGATATGGGCAAAATGATGTTGGCTGTTGTCGTAAATTTCGATATCGGTACATTTTCGGTTTATTGCCCAGCCCTAATATGTCATATAATATGTTATTCTGGCACTCTGGAGAAGTAACCAGAGGATCACTTTGTTAACTATCATATTTCAGGTACCAAGAAGCAAGCTCCTGCCCCGCCCAAACCAACAAACCCTCCACCCAGCCAGCCCTGTAACTCAGTGAACCACACCCCCTCTTCTTCACAGTCCCTCAGCCCCACCCCTAGACCCCTCTCTGGCCATCCACCCGCCTCACCCACCTCCCCAAACTCACAGCCGTGTGCCACACCAAGACGCCACTCCAGTAACCAGCCCCCCATCCAGGCGCCCAATCACCCGCCTCCTGAACCTCCAACGCAGGCCAGCTCTCCAACCCAGCCCTCATCCCCAGGGAAGCCTGAAGGAGACCACCATAACGCTGACGCCTCACCTCCAGGGACCCCAACTCCTCCGGATACCCCTCCACCCTCCACTGCCATCCATGATGCAATGGCTTCTCCGTCCCCGTCTCCTTATCAGACCGGTTCACTTCCTCGACCGAGGCCTGTCCCCAAACCGAGGAACAGACCCAGCGTGCCGCCTCCACCTCAGCCCACGGCGCTGCCTAGTGACAGCAACGGGATCTGTGCCACCGCCTACAAGATGATGGGTGAGCGTCATTATCTCTCCGGTGCAGCATCCCTCTTACAGCTGAAAACTAACTTGCTTGAACTCTAATTCTTCTCTCGCCTTGTAACACCTCTGCAGGTTAAAGAGGCACATGTCAGAGGTTTGTTGGTGCCAGCAGCACCTGTACTTTTGATTCACTCATGGGAATTGGTCCTTCACTACAGCTGTTTTTTTTTTTTTCTCCACCTGCTGCATCCTCCAAACACAACCTCCCCCACCCTAAATCATGACTGCCAGACTGTTTACCTCAGTCCTGTCTCTGATGTTGATTACTCCAGATTATTATAAAACAAAGGATGGATTAAGAACTGTGACAAATGTGAGCTTTCTTTGTAAAAGGCTGCGTGAAATGATTGGATGGACTCAGGCTCTTTTCACACATTAATTCCTGACATTTTCTAGATCCGATCAGGACATTCAGGCTCTGATATTTTCAGTTTATCTTACAAACATGAACTTCAATACTGAAAATGTTGAGTCTGGTTTGAGTGAGGGGTTACTGAGAACTTGATAGACGATTAATGTGAGGAGTCGTGTAAAAGGGGCTTTATTACAATCCTTAGAGAGTCACTGAATTTCAAGATTGAAATGCTTGTTCTACCTTTGTTTATAAAAGATATCTCAAAAGAGCAGAATCTCTGACATTTAAGTCTGAAACTAAACAGCTGCTGAGGAATTTACAGATCAGAAACTCTTTTTTTTTTTTTTTTTCACACAGGCTCTAATCCCCCTGAAGTAAAAAGGGCATTTTTGTTTTGTTTATGGGTCAGGGTTAACCCACAAACCTCTGGATGATAAGAGTGTGAGTCTATCTAACCACTGAATGCAGCGTCTTTCACAAACAAAGCTCACATTTGTCAGAGTTCTTAAGTATCAGATTGATTCCAAATGAAATATCTCCAAATAAACTAGATGAAGTTTAAAAAAGCAATGAAAGGAGGGTAAAATAATAACAAAGTGCTGATTTAAGAGCTAAATAAGGTGATTTGAATAAGTGGGAGCAGTTAGGAAAGGCAGCAGGTTGAAAATCAACATAGAAGTTTCCTCTTAAACACCAGAGATAGAGACTCTGTTAAATTGACAAGAGCACAGTGACCTGTCATCCATATCATTCACTGACGCTGAGATTTCATATCATCAGTCACACCGTCTCTGATACACAAATCTGAATGTACAAACTGTGAAACCGTGCTGTTCAAGGACATTTTCATCTCGATCTGTTATCATTCAAATACATTTTCTCTACCAGAGTGTAAACCTCCAACACTTGCATGTTTTTGTCTCGGTGTTCCAGCACATTATCAGCTTCAGTCTGACGTACTTTCTTCTCTTTAAGGTACTACCAAAGCGTTGCTAATGGTTTCCAAACTGGTTCACTTTCCTCCAAATCTCATTTTTTCCACCCCATTTTCTTCTCCCTGCATGCTGCTCACAGTCTCTGAGTAAACGCTGCCCCCTGCTGTTCAGACTGGCAGCGGTGCAGTCTCACATCTGAGCTCCTGCTGCTCTTTGAGCTTATGGAAAACATGACAGAGCTGCTTTGGATGGCATAATCGCTGCAGCTTTAAATGTTTTGTGACTCCAGGACACAGCTGCACATGTTTGTGATTATGGCCATTGTTTATGATAATGATGCCTTCAATGTTTATTTGTCTTTGTGGGACATTTAAGTTCTGCCATGTCTGAATTCCTGGCTGCATGAAACACGTTTTAACATTAACTTACTAACACAGATGGAGGTTTGGTTTTCATTTTGGTGTTTTCATTATTAAATAATACATCGTCTTAAAATACATTTCTGAATTTTTTTCATTTATCGTTTTTCTCCGCAGATCCGGCGATGTCTTTCAAAGGGCTGGGTCGAGTTTTAGTCCCTGAGCTCGCTGTAGACCAGCAGCCAGCGACTGCTCCCTCCTCCTCCTCCTCCTCCTCTGCCTCCTCCACCTCTTCTCTGCCTCCTCCCAAAGACTTAGACCTGGACTCTGAGAGCACCGTCTTATAAGGAGACAGCAACAACACTGCACACCGCAATCAGACCCTGCCCCCCTGCACCGCCTCAGATCCCCTCATATCACACACACGCACAGAGCATGTTGTCTACTCAACTTCAAGCATTAAATGGCACCCACAATGGAGGTCCAGATCTCTTGTTGAACACTAGTCTGTGGTAAAAGATTGTGTTTGTGTGGCTGTTACACAAAGGCAAGGTCAACCTGATGCTTTGACACATCTGAGGGTTGAGTTTGCAGCATCTTAAAGAGACAGTTTGCTAACCTTGAGGTGGGGTTGGATGAGGACTTAACAATAGTGACTGCACTACTTGTACGTTTGTAGATAGCAGTTAAACTGGCTCCTTTTTGGAGAAATATGAAAGACCTTCTCCAAACAGGAGCCATGAAAGCTGTTATTCACTGTAGGTGCTGCACTCAACATTAAGTATTATCTCATACAACCTGACCTTAAATAATGCGAACTGTCCCTTTAAACATTAAACTGCCTTATATGCATTCTCGCTCAAGTTTGTGGGCCAAACTTTATAAACATTTATAACACTTGATTCAGTTGATTGAAGTTTGAGACAAGCAAAATTGGACAGTCTGTATTTTTGTTTAACAGCTTAAAACTCCTAAAGTTTAACTTTCACCAGATCCAGATCAGCGGATCACTTTGAACCTGCAGCCACCTTTCGCAGTCTTCCTCAGCAGTCACTTTCAGCCTCGCTGTTTGAAACAGCGTGTGTTGTGAAACCGTCGGAGTCTGAGTGACCTCCATGATGTCAGGGTCCAGGTGTGACACACAGTCTCTACACTGCATCATGCACCATCTGCCACCTCCATCCCTAACACTGCGCCCTCTCTAAAAAACCAAGCTCCAGACAATCAGCAGCAAACAGCAGAAGGCCGCGGAGGCAGGAGGCGGCGGGTCACGCAGAGATGGTGCAAAGCAATATAAAGCATGGTAGAATGAGTTATTATGAGGGAGGTTTAAAAGCCAAAACATAGATTTGACAGATGAGGCAGATGTGTGTGTGTGAGGTGTTTTTGATATAAAGGGTATTTTTACATCAAAGAGAAGAGGGGCAAAGGTCAGCAGGTAGAAACAGAAACCAAAACTGTCGCTTTGAGTGTAGCTGGTGACTGCAGGTTTCCAGTCGTCAAACACTTGATCTGTTTATCCTTTCAGTAACCCCATCCTCTTTCTTCCCCCTCACTCCTGTATTTATTGACTGATTTCAGAAACACACATTCCCTGTGGCTTGTCAGAATAAATGCAGTCTTTAAATGTAAATCATGCCTTATCGGTTCCTGCCAGGACCACGTAATAAGCATTATATATTTACTGTATGGAGGATATACTTGGCTCCTTGTATTACAGTATTTCCAAGAAGCTGTCTTGGCAACAAGTGTGTATCAGGGCAAAAGAAGGGGCATAGAATACTTGTATGGTTCAGAGGTTGTGTATTTAAATGTGTTTTTGGTTGATTTCTGTGGGTTTTATGAGCAGACGTAGCAAGGTTAGCCGCCCTCTCAGCCTGAACAGTCAGTATTTTGGCCTTTCTGTTTTTCTTTTTCCATCTTTCTTTGTGTTTTCTCTGTCCTTTCCAGGGATTGAATGCAAAAAAAATGGCTGCATTTGAGTGAATGTAGAGAAAAGACAATTCTTAGCGGCCTCTTAAGCCCAACAGAAAGACACAAAAACAGCTGATTTTGCACTTGAGCACAGGCCAACGAGCGGCTTCCCAGTGAACTGGTTTGTCAAGGATTTTTCAGTCTTTCCCTCTGAGCTGAGAGCACACAGAGCAGTGGAGCCTCAGTGGTGAAGTGGTGTCAGACTTTTGTCAGGTCAAACGATGATTTAAAAAAAAAATGCTTTTCCTGTGTAAGCTTTGCTTTTTTTAATGCCTCAGTTGTGATGCAGTTCGGTTCCCAGAGAACTGACCCAACATGGTACCAATGGAGAAAGTCTTGGATGCTGCAGTTGCCCTGAAAACAAGTTTAGTTTTGTTTTTCAGAGACAATCGAGCGTTATAATCCCCTCCTTTCTCTCTTTGCTCCTGTACCTTGCTGCCTTATCCTTGTGTATGAAGAGAGCTTGACTCTTTAAGACGAACAAATGCCATTAAACTAGAAATGATAATGCTGCATTTTTAAGCTCTATAGTTTTGTATGTATGCTGTCTGGTGAGCTGAAGACATGTTATATGAATGCTTGGTTATACCCCCTTTCCAAAGAAAATAAAGTATATGAAGAACTATTGAATTGGTCTCTTGGTTTACATTGATTTTTACAGACAATAACACTGCATACAGTATTTAGTAGTCAGGGCTTTTATTTTGAAGGCTGATCATAGGTGCATTAAGATTCAGCCAGCTCAGGATGATTGAAATTTTGTGAAACAAACATGGATGTGAACTGTATCCACACAGAAAACAGTTGATGGAATTATTACGAGCCCATGTAGTGACTTCCACTACAGAGTCATGTTTGCTTTCAATCCATTTCTCCTTGGAGCTCTAAGATGTTGGTCATCCAGTATTTTCTTAACCTAATCTCTAGTGTAAATTAATATCATGTGCTGTGGATGACAAAATCCTTTTTTTTTCAATTTTAATTTTTTTATTTGCATTTTTAAACTTTTCTAGTATGTTTTTACCTCTGATCACAGCTGTTTTTCTTTTCTTATTATTATAAAGTGTAGGGTTTCAGTATTTTACAGTGTTTTCTTTTGACAAAAATAATTACAGGAGGGAGATTAAAGTCAAAATTTTGAGATTAAAATTATGTCAAAGTCGAAATTTCAAGATAACAAAATGTTGTGAATAATGCCGAAATTACTAGATTAAAAAAAATAAAACTGTCAATAAAGTAGAAATTTTAAGATGAAAAATTGAAATTTTGAGATTAAAATCGAAATTTCGAGATTACAGAATGTCATGAACAATGCCGAAACTACTACATAAAAAAAAAATCATTTATGTAAATAAAGTTGAAATTTTGCGATTAAATAATTTAAATTTCAACTTAATTCTCGAAATTTTTACTTTAATCTCAAAATGGAGATTTAAAAAATCTCCCTCCTGTAATTATTTTTTTCTTATTTTTTTCTCTTCTATTTTCTTTTCTTGTAACCCTAATCCTCTTTAGAACTTTAAACCCTCTAAAGCCAAAACTGAATGATAATCCATCAAATTGAGATGAATCTGTTTCATTCAGATACAGTCAGAGGAAATTTGGGGTAATAAGATAAACAACCCTGTGAGCCATAAATCTCTGTGCAAATGTTAGACATGACCCAAAGAAGCAGAGATAAGTCAGAAGTTTTTACTTTCAAGCATGATATTTGTACAGATTAAAAACAAATCCTCCATTTAGAAGCATTGAACAAAACGAAAAATCACAAAACATGAGTTCTCAGAAACAAATATATAAAACAGTTATAAAAGGGGACCTTTAAGCAACCCATAAATAAACCTATGAGACTAACAGAAATGCATTAACTTTAAACTTAAATATCCAGAGGGGATAGGAATGCTACCAGCTGCACATTTTCATACATTAACTGCACCAACATGCAACTGATCCAGACAAGAAACACTGTTACTGCACTAGTAGCAGCTAGGGTTGCATTTTTACAAGATCAAAGTCGGCTGGTAAAAAGCTGTGCAAAAATAATAAATTAAAGTGTAACTTCCTGATGACGCTCTTGCATATGAAAATAAACCAGGACCTGGAGGATAGATGGGCATACAGCATGTGCATAGCAAAAACAGTCAATTTACAATATCAACAATAGTTCATCGACATAAATACAACACAGCTACAGATACACTGTACTGTAGGTGAGTCATCAGATCACCATGACGACCAGAAAAGCAGGAAATGGCCATATACGGTAGGATGTTGTTTTCTACATGCACTTGAGGTTCATTCATTCATTCATTCAGCAGCCGCCCACGTGTTTGAAAAAGGCTGCTTTCACGACGCTCATGAAATGCTCAACAACTCTTAGTCGTCTTCTCTGCCAGAAACAGCCTTTTTCACTTTTCAGCTGCTCTTTATCTCTCTGCACCAACAACAAGAAGAAGAAGACACTAATAATGAAGATCTGCTATTCCACCCACACTCACTTCCAAACAGATGATTTTAGAGCCAAATCTGTCCACGCGCTGATGTAGTCAGCGTTACCTCACTGGAAGAAGGTGCAATATTGTTTTCTGAAGGATGTTTTTGCAAATAAATGAGTGTTAGTGACTTTGTGGAGTCTTGACAGGCAGTGTGATAGCGATGCTGAAGCTGGATGTCAGAGAGGAGGAATCTGCTTGAGTCTGTTTTATACACATCTCAGTTAATGTGTGTAGATTGGTCTGATGGACAAGACTTCTGAAAGTGTTTCATAAGAGCAGGATCGAGTCCAGCGATGGTCAGAATTTCAAACTTTATCTACAAGACTTTTAAATGGTGAGCTTAGCCAAATTGTCTGTGATCATCCACTGATCTAGAAGCAGAAAGATGAACATTAAGATAAACTGTTTATTGGAAAGTCTACCTCAAAGAGACAGGTAATGCTAGAAAATACTGGAGCCAAGTAAGGCCAATAAACTCAAAAATTTCTCACCAGCTGAACACATTGAAGTATTTTTGTATTTTGGGTTTGTATCAATAGGAAGATTGGTTTTTAATTTCCCTTTTATAGGACTATTTTTTTTCCACATTTGATAATCTGTTTCTTTGTGAGGTTAAAAAAATGGCTGAAAATAGGGCTGGGCGATATGGCCTCAAATCAGTATCACGATATATTGAGCAGTTCATTTCAAAAACGATAAATGGACGATAACTACTCCATAAGCTGCTCACCCCCTCCCACATTAACCTCCATCTCCTCACCTGTCTTTCTCTCTTTGTTATGGACTGGATGGGGTGGAGTCACATCTCCGTCACAGGACAGCGTCTTAAAGGGACATGAGACCATACCCTACCTCCACACATCCAAAACCAACTTGAATTTATTTATCTATTTTTTGACACCGAATATATTGACATGGACAAAATGATGTTGGTTATCATCGTAAATTTCAGTATTGGTACATTTGCAGTTTATCGCCCAGCCCTAGTTGAAAACACAAAATCAGCCAAACCTTTAAATTCAGATCAGAATGTGGACTTTAGTGTCTTTTTTTACTTACAGGAGGTGGATTTAAAAGCTTGATCCTGATTGGTCAATGGCAATTATGACAGCCTGAACACACACTTCACATCAAATCAAATTAATCCACAGAAAGAACTCTGGTACATTTCACCTCTGCCTGTTGACGCTGTGGCAAAAAGTTAGTTTCTATACCTAAAGGGGGTCTTCAAGGTGGTAAAATAATGAGGGTTACTTTGCAGCACGCTTTCGAGATTCTTGTTTGCATAGCCACCTGTTCACTTCTCAAACTGTGCTGTATGAGAGGCAGTGAGTTTAACTCGGTAAAAACAGTCCAATCAAACCCTCTGAGCGGTCCAGCCTGACTCTACACTGAACTAAACTTGTTACTACACTTGTGCTTTCTGTCGTCAGTCTACATCTACGCTTAGTCTTTACAGTTTTTTAATAGGATCTGATAGAAAATATAAACTATATATAATCATTTATTAAACATAGCAGATACTCTGTAAGTATTCAGACCAGTTTAGAGCACTTACATCTCATTTTAGTGGCGTGATGAGAAAGAGTGGGACAATTGAATAAATATTTATGGTTTTACTGATGTGTCTTTAACTATTGGCTATATAATGACGGTTAATATAGTGCTAAAAGGAGATGTAAATACTGTCAAGACTGGTTTGAGGGGTCAGTGTGCGGTGAGATCCTGTTGACTGTTGGACACCTGAATGTTCCTGCTCCTCCAGCACCTGAAATAACAGCACACAAGACACTCGTGGAAACGTCAGTGATTCTCGACAGATAGACACCCTGTGATCTCTTCCTTTTTTTTCGCTGTCGATGACGTGGTCTCTGTCCCTGTTTGTTTGAGTGTCTCTAAGTGTGATCTTGGCACTTTGGTTGTGGAGAGCAGAGTGAAACTGGAGCTGAGAGGCCTGTCAGTTTGTCCTGACATACACCACACCACGTACTGTATCCTGCTTCTACCAGGCCAGAGGGGAAGACAGTCTGGGGCTTCTGGGGTTTTCTGGAGTCTGGGTTTCACTCAGAGCTCTCTGCAAGACAAAAACAACCATCTCCTCTCATTTTACAGGATAATGTTTCAGGTGTGCAGCACATTTGGTTATTCCGCAGACAGCAGCACTTAATCACTTCATAGCTGCAGGCTGCTGTCAGCAGAACACCTAATTGTTTTGGAGGTGGGAATCAGTCAAACACCTGCTGCATTTGACAGAAAAAAAAATCATCCCAGCTGCTTCACTCACCTCAAACTTGGAAACGAAGTCTGCAAAGATACCAAAGAAGACTTCCGTTTTCATGGATTTGCCATCCTCTCCAAAAAAGGAAGCCACCTTAGAGAACTCCTCCATGGTTCTGGTCTGCAGGGACTCCAGGGACTGGATTGAAGGGTGGCTGTTCTCCAAGAAGCTCTGAGGGTGCAAAAAGTCACAGGTCACATCAGAATGATCTCACTCAACATAAGGAGTACAAATCAGTGCGTAAAGATGAATGTTTAGAGTCTCCTGTGGCTGTATTTATATTCTTATTTTCTCATAACGACTACAAACACACACGCTCTCTGACAGGAACTACAAAGAGGAGTGTTAATGCAAGTAAAGAAGCACATATGTCTGTGTGTTTGAAAGCAAAATAGCACACATACACTCATGACAGAGGCAAAGTGGTCCTCAGAGGTGGGCGGGATTTTCAGACAGGCCGTCCTGATGTCCTGGATGGTGGCGTGAAGATCGCTCAACTCTGCTGTGATCAGCTTCTGGTTCACTGTGCGAGCAACACATAAAAATTAAGTAATGAGTCTCCTCAAATGCAGCGGCCATCGAGCAGGTCTGCATCGTGTTTAATGCAAAAACAGATCTCAGGAAGTTTCCAAGTCTGAGTAATGTTTAAAGAAATGTCAATCATTCTTCTCTGCCTATTACAAAGACAGACAGTTATATAAGAGTAATTAATATAAACACAGCATGAATATTCATTAAATTTAAGGGTACAGTAAAGCTCTCCGACCACAGAGGACTACATTTTACTTCTAAACGACTTTTCAGGAAGGAAATGAGCAATTCAGAGCCAACGTCTTTATACCCTTGGCAGCGAGCGGCACTGTCGTCAGGTCTCTGGGAAAGTTGAGCAGCTCAGGGAAATGTTGGCACAGAGACTTGGCAAGAATGTGGAGGAAAGTGGATTTCCCGTCCACTGTTTTGGTTGTGCTTAGCTGCAAAGTGGACAGGAAAGAAAGGATGACTAAATAACAGAACACAGATGATGAAGAGAAAGAGGCTTGAACAGGTGTAAATGCCGTACCTCAGTCAGAAAGTTGATCTTAAAGCTGGTTGTTCTGTTGCTCTTTGGCTGCCCGTTGTTTAGGTAATTCCCCATCGCCAGAACAAACTGCGGGCAGAAAAGCTTAATTGAACCACTTTTTCCATACAGACTTAAAGCCGTGCTTTCATTTCCCTGTTGTGAATGTTTACCTCCAGGATTTTAGCCAACTTTTTGCTGCTTCTCAGCTCCACTGATGCTTTATAGATGTAGTCAAATGCAACTTTCATCTCCTCTGTCCGCTCCTGCAGGGTCGCCTTAAAGTGGAGGCTTCGGAGACGGGTCTTATACTCAGGCACCATCAGCATCTGTGATCAACAAAAAGCTCATTAACTCCAATCTTTCAATTCTGCTTTGTTACTTTGGTGTTAATTTTGCAATCCTACCTGGAAAATGAACTGGTCGGGGTCGCTAAGTTTTGCCGGATCGTCGTCAAACTGCTCGTACTGCTTGACTTCATCTTCGTCGGGAGCGTAGAGCAGAAGCTGCTTGATGTGAGCTGGCTCCAGCCTGTCTGTTGTCATGTTCATCAAGACCTGACGAAGCTCTGAGGTGGAGAGCTTCAGGTGGGCGATGAGGATGGCTGCAGAATGGAAGAGGAGGACGGGAACAGGGGAGGACATGGAGGATTAAGTCTGTTTTCTTTCTTTAAAAAAATTCATGTTTAATTATTAGCAAACTCCCACACTGTGTGACTGAAAACTAGAAAAAATACTGGTTGATATGGATGTGCAAGGTAGTTTTCTATTGAGTCGCAAGACCTCAAAAATAAGGGTTATATTACAAGAATTAGGGCCTGTGTCCACTTGCAGAGTATTTTGTTCAGGTACCGCCCATCTACTCCATATCAGATTTCAAAGTACTTCTCAAACTTTTGCAATTATTGTTGCTAGATTACAAAATTTGTCTTTTGCATTTCTCTTAGGAGTGATTAAGTCATTTTTAAAGTGCGCTGTGTGCTTCACATTATTTTACTTTCATGGATTTTAACAACAAAACATTAAAAAAAATAATTTTAAATAATTTTACTATTTTTAACAGAGTAACAAAAAAAAAAAAAAAACTGGAAGTCTATCTATGTCTTGGATGTTGAGCAATGAAACTGAATGTAGTCACTGCTAGAACAAAAAAAACTGCAGTTAATGGACACAGGCCCTCGATTATTCTTATACTGTACAGTGAATCAGTGAAGAAATGACTGACTTGGCTAACAATCTTTTAAAATTTTGCTATATTAACATGTAGGCAAGTTCTTATAGTTTTTAACACATGGAACGATATACTAAAAATTAAAATGAATCCCATAAGTAAAAGTAAATGTGAATATTTTACAGCAAGATTACCAGAAACCTCAACAACTTGTGTTAAGATATTTTATATAACTCCATCTACTCTAACACTTTAACAAGAACTGAAAGTACCTATCTCCTTTAACAAGCGTCTTTTCTAATCACAGCATCATTACATTGTGTTTGTTGATCGCTTCACTTGAACCATTGTTGCATTTTATATTTAACAGTCGGTATTACATAATGCTGCCAAACAGTGACTCATTCTGGTCAAGCATAATCATAAAGTAGTGGATGTTTCCTTTAAATCTGCAGCAGATCTTGTGAGTCAGCCTTTCACTGTCACTGTTTAATCGTTGTGTTAGTCACCGCAATGTTTTCATCTAATTTAATGTAAAATGTATTTAAATGAATGAGTCTCCCAAAAGATGATTGCCCCTTTCTTAATAAACATGTTCTCTAATTCAGGCTTGAATAATTCAGTTCATTCTCTCTCAGCTGGTTTGGTCCTTTGTTAACAGTACAATGATTGACTTGTTGATTCTAGTGAGAAACAGAAGCTCTTATTAAAAGGAAGCTACATAATTCTGATTACACAGTAAATGGAGTTTTTAGTATTGCACTTATTGAAATGAGGCATCATGCATTTAACTGGAGTGAAAGTGACCCTTTTCTCTGCAAATAAGCTTACAGAAATGTCTAATTTACAAATGCCACCAGCCACTGACATGGAGGTCAAACTTTCACTTTCTGCTGAGTGGGTGGTAACTGCACTGCAGTATTTTTAAACATCCACCTCTGAATGATTATAATTTCAAATATCTATACAGAGTTTGGCTTGACTGTTATTGTTAAAACCAGGAGTGGAATCATTTTGCACATTTTTGAAGATCTCCTTGAAATCTAGATGACAAATCTCAAGAGGTTATTCCTGAAAAAGAATACAAAGATAAATATGGGAATTAATGCAAGCTGCTCCTGCTTGCTTGGCTCAGAGAAGAAACTTTACTTTAAACTCTGTAATATACCTAACATCAGTTTTGAACCCACTCAACAATTAACCACTAAGAAATTAGGTTTGCAGATTCACGCTCGTGTTTTGCATTCAGTTGAGATGAGCTGTCAGCATCTTCTTTCTGTGTGCTTTTATCTGGATGGAGCTCAAATCAATTGTGAAAATGAGCATAGAGAGAGGGAAGATGCTGATAGCTCATCTCAATACACACAAGCTGGAGTCTGCAAATCTAATGTATGTGACTAAATAGCATTAGCATCATTAGCTTGAGCCACCGCACATAGCGGGGGCAATAGATGCAAAACTATTGGTGCTATCAATTGCTGTGGTCCATTCTTTCTTCATCCTTTATGCACAAACCAAAGTCAACAAGCATTTAGGTCTATAACTTTCATGAACTATTGTTAATTCCTTTCTTTTTCTTATTTTGCAGTAGCCTGACACACTTCAACCAGATGTCTGACCTTCTGTATGTTTTCATGGTACTCACAGGCATTGTAGGCTTTCTTATGAGACAGAATCTCCAACACGTCTTTCTTTTTAAAGTTGTCTGGCAGGAAGGCTGGCTCTGGAGGGGACACTGATAATTTCAACAACAGTGTAAGGAAAGGTTCTCCAGGCACCAGGGGGTCAACACAATCACACGAAGACACACATTTACACGTAAATTAACACACACACATACGCACAAACATACTGTGGTAACAGGTGGCAGGTGTATGGGTTAATAACGCAGCTCTGTCACTTGAGTGTCTGGAGGCCAAAAGGTCTGAGAAATCTTCAATAAATAACAGAGAGTTGTGTTTTTCCTCCAGCAGAGCTGTGTTATTACTAAGATCTGTTATGAGAGGAGAGTATCGGGGGGAGTTTGGTGCCGTATGGAGAGTGGAAGTGATGAACAGGTGAAGTAAGCAGCTCCAAAAACAGGTTATGCAGAGCATCAAAACTGTGAAGGCACAAACAAAACAGGAAATGTGAGCAAATAAACACACTTTTCCAGCAAACTCTGATTTCTAGCTTGATGGAATACTATCCTAATTTCAAATCAAGCATGATGTAATGCAACACAATGTGAGGCAACATACAAAGTGGTTTCAAGTGTGACATTGATGACTTACTGGGTCTGCGTTGGGTCCCAAAGTGCAAATCAAGGTCCAGGTACTTCACCATATCAGTGAGTTTCTCATATTCTGAATCCTCTCCAAGCTAAACAAGTTCAAAGACAAGGACAAGGACTCAATAAAGTGCTCTCCACAGACATAGTCTGAGTTATAACTCAGGGGTAGCTGTTGAGAAGTTCCTTTTATATAGACAGTAAACAGACATGTCTGATAGGGCTGGAAACCAGAACCACAGAGTCCACATTGTGGTGTATTTGAACAGATGAGGAGCACCATATTCTGTTTACAAAGACTTTTGCTTTGACGCTGCCATGACTCATCAGAGACACAACAGAGTCGATGAGTCGCTCTTTCCAAATACGGAATGATAGATGTAGGAGGAGTGAGAAAACTCACAGCCAAAGCGTGAACATTCACAAGTTGTCCTTCACTGTATTTACTGTCTGGGAGATTCTTGGGATTTTAGACTGAGTCGTGCCTTCGACTTTTTAATATCACTTCTTATCATCAGAATATTATGTAATGCTGATCAGCGCTCACCTGACCCCAAATGGTCCCCTCTGAGTTCTCCACCTGCTCCCAGCGTAGCCTCTTCACGCTCATGTGGTTGGTGTCCGAAGCACTGACATCAGATTTGGGCAGTGGAGGTGGGTCACATGGTGGGGGCAGGGGTGGTGGTGGAGGTGGAGGTGCCTTGATGATGAAAAAAAAAATTCAAGGTTTCAGGCACATGTTACTGTAATGTGCGTAATGTACTGTTATTTAAGTGTCCTAACTGCAGATGATACCTGTGGTGACTGGTGATCCTGTCTTGTGGTTTCATAGGTCTTAGTGTGACCAGGGAGGGTGGAGCGAGAAACTGAAGACTGGGTGTGCAGTGGTCCTGTGGACCCTTTGCTCTGACACTTAGTTGGGCTGTGATCCTGCAGGGATGGAGGCAGAGGGCCCTGGTAGCTGTGCTGGTGGTGTAGCTGGTGGTGCCTCTGAAGGACCAGGTGACTCGGTCTCAGCGGCTGATTAGGGGTGGGTTCTGGGGACGGCTGGAGGATGGGTTGGGGCTGACTAAGCTGCCGGGGGAGGTAGCTGGAGCGGGACGGCTGTGAGGAGCGCAAGGTGGAGGAGCCCAGGATGGTATGGACAGTGGAGTGGCGGGTGGTGGTGGCTTGGAAGCGCTGGTGAGTGTTCTCCATTTCTTCTCTGGTGGGGAGGACTTTGTGAAGAGGAGAGCGACTGGTGAGGAGGGTCCTGGGAGGAGGTGGGGGAGGAGGGATGATCGGGTGGTGTGGGTGGAAGGGCATACGACTGCGGGGGACGTGCTCAGGGGAGAAACGAACAGGTGGTAGAGGATCGGTGAACTGGACTGGAGGTGGGATCAGAGCCTGGAACGGTGGGGGAGGAGGGGGACTTTGGGCAGGAGGTGGTGGGATGGGTTCAGATTCGGAGGAGTAGGTGGGGGAAGAGGCCTCGTCGCTGCTGCTGTGCTCCTCGCTGCTGCCACTGCTGAGCCGGCGGGGCATGAAGGCAAGGTCCTGGTCCTCCTGGAAACTCATCTGGATGGGGGAAAGTGGCGCCATTAGATGAAGCAATCACAACTGCCACCTTTATAAACTCTTAAATACAGCTGTTTATAAATGAAAGTTAAAAAATTTGTGTAGCTTCTATACGTTTTATAAATTTGCTTATCTATGTGCATTTGCAATCTTTACTTTTTGCCTTGTTTTGGCGCAAATATGCCAGAAAATCAACAAAATAAAAGAAAATAAAAGCCCGCTAATTGACTTGGATCAGACACACATGCACTTTATAGATAAAACTTCTCAAACCAAATCTATTTAAAGAGTTATAGCCATATAGGAATGTCTGCAAACCCTTTAAATAATGCACATCTATACCCCCCCTGAATTTCTAATGAAAATCACAGCAATGCTTGAAACTGTAAGAATATCCACAAACTTAGATTTCTACTCAGAAATAAGCAGACAAAAATAGACTCTACCATATAACTGAGTATCATGTTTTACTTACAAGCACCCCTCTTCTTCTGAAACCATGACAACCACCTTGATATATCTGTTCATGTGACACAAGTGTTCATTGTAGCGCACATTAGAGTTGCTCTAATGCCAACATGCAAAACTACAACGTCTCTACCACAGTATGAAAAGTAACCACGAGGCATTAGTATAATCACTGTGAACAAACAGTGATAAGACAGTGTTATGATTTGAGTTAGGCTTAAAAAATAAGAGGATTGCAGATTCAGCTACTGTCTTGTTTTTTTTCTTTGTCACTTATTTGTATTTTCATCTGTTTTTAAGTTTCATTCATGTGATCAAAATAAATATATCAATCAATCAATTAATCAATAACACTGTCCTAGCGTGTGCTTACATTAAGGTGAGGCTGTTTTTATCAGGATCAAACTATGCTGCAGACTAACTCAGAGAGGGATCATGTAAACTGAGTGGTTCATTATGATTTTAGGATATAAACTTGACTCTAAATATTAACCCAAGGATGATTTTGATGATGTGGGGAATAACAGCAGCACCTGTATAAAATTCGGTTCTCTGTAACTTTGCATGTTTTCTTCACTTTGGTTGATGTCCCTTTAATCAAGTTCCTTTCGTATTTTAATGTTGTTGCTTGTTTCTAGGATTTCCTTCTATGTGATTAGTTTGTATCTGTTGCCACTTTTGCTATTCAGAATGAATAACTGTTGTTGTGGGGTTTTGACCAATCAGAATCTAGTATTTGACACACCTGGGTGATTAGTAAGAAAGCCAGGTTTTATAAATGATAGTATTTCACCATGTATGACAGAAGACTAATGACCTGAACAGTATTAAGACTCCCATAGTTTGTATCTGTGAATGTAAAAATAGCCTTACTGGCACCGCATAGAGTCTGCCAATGGTTTAGTCACAATCTCAACAGTTCACAGTAATTATACTAAGGTGTCAAAATGTATTTAAAAACCCTGTATCTATATTCATAGATTACACATTGAATATGAAATAGGAAACTGTGAAATAACTGTTTTATTCCCAGCTCCATGAATTATTTACGGTTCGAGAGAACACTTATAAATTTCACTAAAGCCAACACAGTGAGAGCTGTCAGCGTGCTACAGTCTACCCTTCCCTTTTATTTTAGAGGAGTTTTTAATTGATCTCATTTCTTTTTGAGGTCCGTGTACTGCTACTTCTCACAGTTCAGAGAACAGACTGACAAGAGGTTGCACCACTTTATAAGGTATCATGGAGCGAGGAATAACAACATACTAGAATTTTAATGAACTGAGCTTTGATTTAAGTTCAACAGTGTAAAATAACTCATAAAGACCTGAATAAATAAAAACACATAATAAATGTAGATGTTTAAATGTAGCTAGGTTTAACTCACCTCCTCATAGTCGTTCTCTCCAGGTATAAAATCATCCACCAGGGTGACCCGGTGCCCCAGCTGCTCACTCAGAGCATCCAGGAACTTGTCTGTATCCCGACTGCGAGGCGGACGGGAGAAGGTGAACAACTTCTTGCGGCGGTTCAGTGTGTTGGGACCACCATCCGAGGGCTCAGGGGAAGCAGGGGGGCTTTCAAGGCTGACATAAGGATTGGAGTCCACACTGCTCTGGTGCTGGATCTCATAGACAGGAGTTGGAAGAGGCTCTTTCCAGGAGAGGGTGAGGCCTGATTTACGGTTTCCTATGAAGAAGGAAATCAAAGATGGCTGCCATTAGCATGTTGCACGTGTTCTGTATAACCTGCTCCATGTGATGTTTATGTCAAGTTCTTTTAATTGGTTGACTCATCTTCTATCTTTATGCTTCTTATTCCCATAAGAAATTATATGTGACTTCTTGGTCATGTTGCTGCTTTGAGGATCTTTCCTCTGAGAAGTTACTATAGCAACAAAAAAAGGTAAACTGCAGGCTCATAAATGCACACATAGTATAGACTATGAATGATTTCTTAAAGACATTTATTGATCAGCTGTTCTCATGCCATGTTCACATCACTGCTAAAACCAGCTATTTTAAAGCTCCTTTCAGTGGTTTTTACCTGGTTCTGAAACAGATTCATACTGATGCTTCCTCATGATCCACAAAAGCAAAAGACTCCATCAGTGAGGAGACTGATGAGTCTTCGGTGGTTGTTTTTTAACATGGTGCAGTATGGTGCACAAACAGACTTAGTTTACACTTCCACAGTAAAGATTCACTGTGTGTGTGAATGAGTAAAAGGGCAGTGGGATGACTTTCGTTCATAAATAAAAGACTGCTTTGTCCACAGAGGACACAAAATCAACACAAACAGTTACCAACAGGAGCTTTAGAATTTGGAACCAGCTTTAAAAAATGTAAACACTCATAAGTACAAAAATGCAGGTGAGAAGATAAGTATTTGGTTTAATAACCTTAAATTATGTCAATTTGAATGAAAATTCGAACAATGGCTGATCTTATGCTATTGTTGTCCCTTATAATGAGCCACATCTTCATAACAAATCACAAACACTTTTTCCTTTATTCAGTAGCTGGTATCGCACAAACATGAACATGGCATCAGTCATGTGCCATCAAGGCTTTAAGTGCTGCAGCTTTCCCTCCTGCCTGATTATAGTAATCTTGCTGTAAAAGCATGAAGCTTTAATGGCACATGGGTGGGAACCTTCAGTAGAAGCATGTGTCTGCAAGCGTGAGCACTGTGTGTTTGGATGTGTGTGTCAGCCCCGTATGTACCTGTGAGAGGGGGGAGTGTGAGGGGAGAGAGAGGGCGCCCATAGCCCTCAGTCTGTCCCGGGCCCTCGGGCTCTGCTGGGGAGCCACCCTGCGGTGGCGGCTTCCCTGTGTACATGGCCTCGAGCTCGGTGTACACACCTGTCATCTACGGGCGGAGGCATGATCAGCTGATTAGCACACAGTCACATTAGCTTTGAAGGTCTGGTGGTTTTAGGAATAATTCATAAACTGCAGGTCAACCGCAGCCACAAATCAGATTTTATAGCACATGTTGAGTTGCAGGAATTATGTGCAGACCTTCAAATGATGTGAGACTAGAGAGCACAGAAAACGTAACTAGCATTTATAATGCCAGTCACTGTGTAGCAAGGCGCTAAAAAGCTGCAGTTATACCTACATGATTGAGGTCAGGGGACTCGGGGAAGGAGGTTCCGTCTCCTGACTGCCTCTCCTCCGGGCTCCCAGATTCATCCACATGAATCCCTAAAGCACAATAAAGCATGAACAGTGACACACGGACGTCTGTGAGCCTCCCTCTTCCATCCACCCCCAAACAGTGAGGGAGAGGATGAAGAGGAGCAGGGCAGCATGGAGGAGCAAAAAGGTAAACAGCATAGCTCCTGGAGCAGAAGTTAGCAATGGAAATGGAAACCCATGAACACCTGTGACTCTGACAAACAGTGTGAGAGTTTAATATGTAATAATATATTACACTTATAGTTGCATACTGATGCTACAGGAGCCAGAGAGAACTACTTGCATGTATCAGGATTGATCTAAGCTCTTTTGAAAAAAGTTAAATCTTGTTCATTAAAATAAAACACTTCATTTAAAATAATGATTTGTAAAACATATTTAATAAAACAAGACAGGCTGTCGTTTTTAACCTTTTAACTAGTTGGGGTTTCATTAAAGTGTAATTTTTCAGAAGGAATAAAATATGACCACATGTGTAAAAACACCAAAAATGTCTCTGTTCTTTAATACCATGAAAATTAAAATCTGGATGAATGGATGGGAGGTCTGCGAACAGGCATACCTTACTTTTGCTTTTCAGTGGCACACTCATTCACACACACACACACACACACACACACACACACACACACACACACACACACACACACACACACACACACACACATTTTGAGACTGTCTTCTGTGAGCTTGCCATCTCCAGACATCATTCCCTGAGACACCATATTTCTCGGCAGTTTGACGGCTGTGTAATGTCTCTGCTGCGTTCAGGACCATTATCTTAAAATGGGCTTCATAACTCTGCCTCGGTTGTTGGTTAACTTGTCCTACTTTTGTGCTTCTTTGTCTCTCCATCTTTCATCCCCTTGGTGCTGCAGTCAAGACTGACAGCTGGCCTCAGTTATGAGAGGTAAACTTACTCTTCAAAGAAGTGTCCCCATTCTCTGATGTGAACAAACGCTGGCATTTTCTTGCTAAACGATGATGACTATCCTGTCTTTTTCCAGGAAACAAAGTCTTATATTTGGGTCACTCACACATTTATGGACATTTCTGCAGACTCCTGACATTGATATGTAAGAGTGGATACACATCTTGATCACAGTCTAGCAAGTGTTAGGTGTCAGACAAGACATGCTGAGCAGGGTAGCTCTCGAGAGAGCCACATTAACTAACTGAGAAAACAGACATAACAGTTCAGCCTGCTGTGGTCATGTGCAGCGTACCCATTCCTAGGTGAGTCCCAATGATACAGTCATCAGAGCTCCTCTCCCGCATGCTGCTGCGGTACGACGACCCTGTCACCCGCATGGAGCTGCTCCGACGGTGATGCTCTGGACCCACTTCAGGCTCTAACACTGCTGTAAAACACACACACACATACACACACCTTCAGTGCTGCATTTTTAATTTAAAAGCCATTTATGCACAGCTGCTACTTTGTGCCTGCAGTGGTTGTATAAAACACCAGGGAGTTACAGCTTGATGTTTAATATGATTCACCCTGTGTTTTTATTGATTAGGAAACCTCACAGCTGATACTGTATATATACATATATATATGCAGATCATATGCATGCTTGTGGTTTTGACTCACCGGTGCTCTTGAAGCCCAGGAAGCGTGACAGCTTGCCTTGGCAGCGCTCCTGCTCGTCGTACGTCAGAAGCTGGTAGATGAATTGCCAAATCAGCTGTTTGGCTGGAGTGTCCAACACCGGAAACACGTCTACTATGAGAGTGTCCACATTCCTGCAAACATCACACACACACATATAATAGGCACACATAGCGTTATTACATTTAAACACATACACATACCTCATACAAGAAAAAACCTTGTTTACAGCTTGGAATCGATTAAGCTCACATTTATAGTCTTTACAGCTATAATGACACGTGTAGCTGAGATACAGGATGAAATCCGATTAACCGAAGGTGGGAGGATAACAGGCCTATCAGTAACAGCAGGATTTAAGCCTATGGGTCTTCATACTGTATGCACATGCTGTAAAATTCAGTTGCTATTTTGCGTAAAATCCTGGGGCATCACATGTTTGCATCATCTACAAAGCTACAGCTCCCTCCATCTCTTTTCTCGACTTCATCCTTTTTTTAATGTCCCTGTTTAAAATATAGAGGATAAATAAGACACCGTATTATATCATATTCATATCCAGTTAATATTCCATAATGTGGTTTTTGCAACACTTTTAAATGCATCACTGTTATGTAATAGATGTGAAGGAACAGTGCAGACTGAACCCTATGAGGTTACATGAATGTTTATTAAAGTGTAAAACTCTCAACCACAAGATAGACCACTGGAGACCTGTGTTGAAGTTTATAATTGATGGAGAACAACTTAACAGAGCACATTAGGCCCTATTAGAACAAACACATTAACATTGGAGTTTCTCTGGAGGAATAGTTCCTCACAATTCACTCATGGGTGTTAAATATGAAATAACAAAGCTGGAGAAGCAGGAATTTGCTTGGATAACATTTTTTAAGGACGTCCATTGCGAAGAAACAGAGCTACTGTTGGAGACTATAAGGGGGACTTTGTAAGAGGTTACTCTAACCACTTCTAGTTATGTACCTGCTTGCAGCTTTTGCAGACTTATGTCCAAGTCCTTGAAAGATATACTACTATATCTTAAATCTACTTCTGAGCAACACATGCTTCTCCTCTCACCAACAATATGACCAAACTACAAACACCATGTCTAAATCCTAAGAAAAGGCAAATGCTTTTAAATCTATGGGAAATATGTTGAATCTTGGCTTTATAATTTATGCGATCACTTTAATGTTATGCTGATAAACCTTTGTTGTAATTTGTGATGCTCACCTGTCTGAACTGAAAGAAATGGAAAAACGAAAAGTAAATTTATTGATAAAAGCTAAGGAAATATCAAAGCTTAATAGTGGATGTAAGTTTTTAAAAAGTAAGTAGTTATTATGAGATGAAAAATCAAAACAATATAGTAAGTCATACATATAATAACTTTTGTAAACTGGCTGAAATGGGTTACCATAGTAACTTGTATTGTAAAATAGAGAAAAAAGCATATGGAGCTTAGTACACTTATTTCTTTACTTTTTTCTCAAAGTCCATCATTCATCTAATCCTCTATTTGCCTCCATGAAGAGCCTCCATGGCAACAGACTATAATAAGTATGTTAAAATACAGTTTCCCTGGCAACAGCTCATTTACATTAAAACTTATTTGTCAATGAAAGCTGACCCGTTAGTCACGTCTTAAAGAAAGTTTGACAGAAGGAGAAAACTGAAGTGGAATCAACATTATCACTCCTCTCACATCCTTCCATCGATTCTGACTACCTTCATTTAAAAACCTCCTCCATCCCTCCCTCCCACTGACCTGTGCTGGAAGAAAGTCTCCAGAGACTTGCAGACCGTGTATCTTTCCTGAATAGTCAGCAGGTGTTCCAGCTGCTGGCTGAAGGTCCGTCCGTGGACTTTGATGCTAGGTGGTAAAATCTCTGCCACCCACTGCAGAGAGCTCAGGGCAGGAGACCTGAACATCAACAGAGCAGGACACCAGTGAAACTTCTTTATGCAGACTTTGGGATTATGTCACAATTTCTTCTCCTTTGCATGAGCCACTTTTTTCAAAACATGCAGTGTCATGACAGAGGAGGCTAGTCAAATCAAAATGTCAGGTTTGTCGGCGTGCGCTGACCTGGAGCGGGGCATGGAGGTTGGAGGCATGCTGGGAGATTCCTCTGGGTCTGTTTGTTCTGAGGAGTAGTCAGACGGACCCTCCTCTACCACCAGAGTCGGCATCGCACCGCTGCCCTGTAACATGGACACCACCTTCTCATGGGAGCAGTTCCTGAAAGAGAGAAAAGTGAAAGGTGGATACTCAGCTGCAAATCAGATTAACTGGATAATAATATCAACAGTACGTCAGATCATAAAACTTTAATATAAGGCTGAATTTATCACATTCAGCACCCTGTGAATATGGTTGCAAAAGGTCCTAAAAAAAGATTAGCATTTCTCTACTGTTGTGTTCATCACAAAACCTCTTAAATATGTTATGAAAGTCTTTTTGAGGATACTGAAAACACTGACATTTTTGCACAAAAACACACCCTGCGACATTATTAAAATGCATCAATGAATTCAGCCGTAGATTGTGATATGCTAATCAAGTTTCACAGCTCACTTGATAACACTTTCATTCCAGATAAACCCCAAAATACTTGTGCCCTGATGGAAACAATACGCACTTAGTTAGACACGGAGAGTTCAAAGAAAATAGAAGGAAGCAAACAGAGAGAAGAGTCTGCAGCGAGATGTGGGAAAGAGGGGAAGAGGAGAAGAAGGCAGAGCCAGGTCAGGAAGTCTGATTGGGCTAGAGCTCACTCATGTGGGGTTGGGCTCTGACTCTTCCTACTCCCCCATATTTAATCAGGGAGAATGGAGAGAAGATCAGATGTGTACTGTACAAAACATTGTTTAATACATATTTATGTTTCATAGGATTTTCTGTGAGAACCTGTGCTGTCCTCGGCAGTACAAGATTCAGTGGATGACAGACTCATTTAAACATGTTTAGCATGTTATAAACAATGAGGACATGTTGTTCCTTAAACAAGAAATGACAAAGACTATGTGTCAAGGAGTAATTCTGAATTTTATGTAGTGGCATTGAAGTAAACAAGCAGACAAAAATGGTGGAGTTAGACAGAGCAGAGATGCATCTGAGATGACTGCAGGAACATGCTTAACTGATTTTTCAAGTATCTTTTTTTTTTCTTCTTTAAAGATGTCATATTCAATTTGCTTGTAAACAACACTTAAAAGCTCTTTCTTGTTCTTTTCTCTGTCTCGCTGCAAAGCAATTCTGTTTTGCTGTTCACCTCCTACTTCTTCACTGTGTTATCAGGAATAGCAGCAAAATTACACCGCACCAATCAAATCAGAGCATCAGGCAGCCATGGGAACAGCTCTGTAATTCTCTCACGTGGCAGTCAGGGTGGCAGAAAATGAATAGCGCTCTGTCTTCTCACTGCACTGGGTATATATCTGCTGATGTCTTCAGTATATCTACTGTATTTACTGTGTGAGCTCATATAGGTGCGAAACAGTTTCATCCATGAAGAATTTCTTATCTGGACGCCCACACTGACTTACTGAAGCTCCAGAAACAGAAGGTCAAGAAGTTGTTAAGTCCACAAAAGTACGATAACTACACCCACAAAAAAAACTCAGTTTACATAAAAGCTGAGTTCATGTGCTTTGCCCCAAACATACACACTGAACCTACACAGACACACAACTCAGTGTTTGAGAAGAGTGCTCAGGTAGAAAACAGTATTTTTGGGAAACATGCTAATTCACTGTTTCTTTCAAAGAGTTAAATGAGATTGCTGCTGCTAACGTCTGACTGCTAATTGTAGACAGCTAGCTAGCTTAGCTTATAGCAATAAAATGTTTCACCTTTAATTTTTACTGTAGAGTTTTTTTTAAGGAACAAACAAAGATAAAAAGTTTGTTTGTCCTTTTTGAAGTTAGACGTTATATTTTTAACTCTAAGAGACAGCCGGGCTTGCTCAGTGTTTGCCAAGATTTGAAGGTCTGTTTATTTGAAGCCCCAGCCGGCAGCTGGTTAGCTTAGTTAGCATCAAGACTATAAAAGTAAACAGCCAGCTAGATTTTGCCATGACAGAGCAACTTTCCAGATTCATTTAGACCAGTGGTTCTCAAGTCCAGTCCTCGAGGCCCACTGTCCTGCATGTTTTGGATGTTTCCCTGCTCTAACACACCTGATTCAAATGATCAGCTCGTTATCAAGCTCTGGTAATGGCTTAATAACGAGCTGATCATTTGAATCAGGTGTGCTGGAGCAGGGAAACATCCAAAACATGCAGGACAGTGGGCCTGGAGGACTGGACTTGAGAACCACTGATGTCGACTGATAGCGGTGAATTAACCCAAAAAGGCCTACAGTTGGTAAAACCACACCATGTGATTTTCACACAAAGGCTATGCTTATGTGCAAATCATAAGAAAATTGACAAAAAGTTGCCAGTTTTGAGTTTGGTATCTTTTTATGGCCTTTCAATCAAATAACATCACTTTTGAATTGAGTCCAACTGCTTGCTACACTGTGTTTTATGGTTTTGCAGCTGCCTATTATCAATCATATTAGTTTTTCTTAACTTTTCCCTTATTTTGCCATAACGTTTTTTTACATTTGCCTTATTTTTTCTTTAATAATGTCTCTTAGTGGTGCCCTCTCCATGCATAGACCTTCCTCAAACCTTAAAAGAGATTAGTGGACTGTTTTGTCACTGTGAAATTGCTAAGTTTCATACACACAACGCTGTTTTCCCCACATAGGCGATACTTGGACGGGTGATCCAGGTACTGACTGTTTTCGCATCTTTACCCTGGCACAGTCTACAGTCCCCATCTAAGACTGATAAACTAGTGTTACACCAGCACTTAGTTTGTACCCTACACAGTCGTTTCTAGATCCTGATCGGAGAGAGCGAGAGAAAGAAATCTCTGAGTTAAATATTGCAGTGCGACATCTCATACTAAAACGAACCTCCCAATGTCATTGTTTCATCATTTTGTGCAGTTTGCTGCCAGCAATGTCATTTTGCACCCTATCAGTTTTACTTCTTAGACATTAAATAACAAGCCTCAGGCTCCCTACACTTGGCTCACCAGTTGTTGGAACAAAATTGAGAGTTAAACTTTTCAGGTGATAGTTATTCTGAAAATAAAGGATGATTTTAGGGAACAAGGTAGGACACTGTGTTTTATTTCCATGCATGCTGTTCAAAGTGATCTCAGTCTGCAGTTCTTTTTCTTTCTGTCCCCTCATTATATCTATTCAGATTACAGAAGTTTATTACATTCTAGGTGAGGCTTAAACTTTTGATATTTACTGTCATTTTTATCAGGTGCATCCAAACAAAAGAAATTAAATGCAATAATGTGAAACTACTTGTAAACCACATAAAGCCCTGCCTGTGTTTAACCATAGCTTTAGAAAATCAGCAGGGATGGGATACTGCAGAAACATTAGAAGTACATGTTTGTAAATACATTCAAATAAATGAACACAGAGAGCAGAAGAACTCCTGATTACAATAAAATGACACAGAAAAAGGAACCAACTGTCCCCTTAAAGTGATCAGAGTGTGTTCTCAGATGCCAGCAACAACTCTAACCGTAAAACTTGCTAAAGTCATTCTGACAATTGAACTGCAGCCACTGATTATGATGCTTCTGACCACCAAGTTAAGGAAAGTTCGGGAGTTTGTTCTGGACAAATGTATAACATTTGGGCACAAAACAGCCAATTTTGTAAAAGTTTTAAATCATTCAAAATTATTCATTTAAAGCTGGAAGCATAAACTTTGATTTTTCACTTAAATCATGGGAGATACATGCATCAAGGAGTTACAAATTGGACAACTAGCCCCAATCTTTCATATATTCAAAATACAAGTTGGCTGATTCTCCTGTTTCAAGTACTGCATACCTCTGTATGTGCTTAAATTTTCAGTACATCCCCCAATCCATTTTCTTAAATATTTCTTGTGTATTTCAAATCTCTCCAAAGTCAGAATTTGAATGTGACAATTTTTGGTAAACTTCATATTTGTCCGGGCTGATTCATGGCTGAAAATTTTGTTTTTCTCCTCTGGGTTGTTGGCAGGACAGGGACACAGAAAAAAACAAGCTGAAAAAATGAACTCAGCCCAAAAAAGACTAAAACAATGAATAAACCATAACAAAACTAAATATGAGCTTCATGTTTTCAGCGGTGGAAAATCTGGCACTATGTAAAAGATGTTTTTATAGTGGTAGCAGATGGTTTCTCCTGGAAAAAACAAGCCCCTATTTTTATTTATATTCCACCTGAGTTCAAGAACTTGGACAGCAGGAACAGACGAAATACTACTACCACTACTGCTTCTAATAATAATATTATTTATTGAAGACAGACCTCATGTCCAGTCCATTGAGAAAGAGGATACGGTCTCCTGGTTTCAGTCCACACTCCTCAGCAGGGCTATCTGTGATGGAGAGAAAGATGGCAGAAATTGAACATCAATCAGACCTTGAAAAAGAAACAGATCCTGGCACAGCTTAACCTGCTAACAAGGTGCACTGAGCAGACTGGTGGAAGAGGAAGAAGACGATGATGACTAATGCCAGGCTGTCAATCTGCGTATGACATCCAACAAAGATCATCAACAAACGAGATGATCTCCGTAAATTGTATTACGTAAGGACACAAATGCTGTCAAAATAAACCTCAGTGGAATCTGCTCCGACTGCTCTGTACTGTCCACAGTCGCCTCCTCATGTGTCATCTCTGGTGAGTTTTTCCTCACATTGAATGTCAAGTTTTGTTTTGATATTTTGAACTCAAAGTTTTAGATGCAACAAACCCTTTTGTGTTACACAGGCACATTCATAGGCCACGAGGCAGACTCTCAATTTGTGTTTGTGGTTTTCTGGTTGTCAGCATTCAGATCACGATCAGAGACATGCTTTCCACCCCCTCCATCTCCATATCAACCTCCATAAGGCCCACTGAGTCAGTCGGCTCTGGCCGCTTCAGCACATGATGGTGGGAGATGATGGTGGGCGGGAACAGTGCCGTCATCTTCAAATACACACTCGCATACACACCTCCCTTCCTGCATATTCCCACCACAGCTACTTTGCAGGCTCTCTTGTCTGCTGTTTTTATTTGTGTAAGCAATAACAGTTAATTAAATAAGCTTTTACTGCTGCAAATTAAAAAAAATAAAAGTAATTAACGTGTTTGACAAAAGCTCTTAGTAGCAATTACCCCAACAAATATTACACAGTGTTTGACTTCAGTGCCAAACGCTGATTCAGCTGGGATAAAATACAACTACAAGCACTATAATTAAAAACCAGAACATTTAAGAAATCTGGATTTTCACTCTGATTGAACCCGTAAACTGGGCTGAGAAGCTGTGCCGTGTTTGGATGTAAACTTCATATTAAAAGACAATGCAAAAGAATTGATCTGCAGTGTGAAAAAAAGCCAATACTTGACATTTTAGAAAATACACATTCAATATATTGACTTAAGTCACTGGAAACAATTGTTGGCTCTTTTGTTTCTGTCATCAATAAAGTGTCAACCAACTGCTGATAATGGTAATATGCTGCCAGGCCTCTAAAAAGCCATAATGTTTATTTTATTGGTAATCAAAAACTAAAGCATAAGAGCATCATACTTCTTGTGGTTTTTATGGGGATTTATATTTAGTTTTAATCCTGTGCACTACCTGCTACAAAAGCCAGAAACAATCATATTTTTGATTTTCAATTTGTCTGAGGCTGCACTCTTATAGTCACCAAATAAAGAAGCAACAGGGATACAAATAATAACCTCACTAGCAGCTCTGAGTGTTTAATATGACAGACATAAACTTGATGTTTTTGTGGTAACATGTTAATCCTTTTAAATCTCAATTTAACCCTGTAAGACCCAGTGTTGCAGAATTAAAACAATTTTGGTTATCCCCACAAAACCTCTAATTTTTTTTTTTTTTTTAGTTCAACCACATTAACATGATCATTGGGTCCTATTGTTTGTTCTCACAATGCGATTTGATCCAACATTTGTGTATAAGGCCCGCCCTTAGGTGAAGAAGTCACACAACCTCCATTTTTTTGATTGAGCAATATCCCTTCGATTTACTTGACTGGATTAATCTGATTGTATTAAGTAAAATGCTTTGAATATATATTTTTTTGTGTTTATTACAATGTCTAGAACATGAACATATGTAGTTATTGTGGAAAATATGCCCTACATTTTATTTAGAGCTTGTTTTATAATTGTTGTAATATTACAACTTTTTGAACTTTTTGCTTGCCGATCTTATTTCATCACTTGAAAATGGAGCTGGTTGTCAAAAAGCCTCCCTCAACTGTTATTTTACAGTCAGACTTCTAAAACACTTCTAATATTTGCAGAGTCAAAATCCACAAATCCTCCAGTGTACCTACCCCCTCACAGCAGTTACAGGCATAAAAAGTAAGGTACAGAAAGTGTCAGCATTGTCGAAAATGGTCTCATTTGCTTTTTTACATCATAAAAATGTGACACTGCTCATTTCATAACTGTTTCATAATCAATCAAAAACTCCTCACAGTGGCTTTAACATTAGATTACCATAATTCCTATTGCCAGGGTTACAAAAGCCCAAAACAGACAGAAATGGACTTAACTTTCGTCATTAACATAGACAATGGCAGTACAGCTGAAAATGAACTTTTCATTGTAAGAAAAAAGCTTTTTCATCCTAAAGATACTGAGATACATGAACCCATTGTAATGCAATAACTAGCTCTGTTTAAGATATAAAATAAGTCATTATCAGAGGAAACATCTGAAATTATCCAACTAAAAAAGTGAATAATATTGTAGTGAAATCACACAACTCATAAATTGAAATCAAAAGAAAATAATCTGTCAAGCGTTGACAATGTTGGTATCTTTCTATAGAAACATCTGCCGTCAAATCTATGTTGCTGTTGTGAATCTCATAATGCAGATACACAATTAATGCTACTCTTTGTATGACTGTTATATAAGGCAATGACATGAACCAAGAGAGCTTTTCTGAGAAAGAACAAAAGTTTCTCAACACCGCTCTTTTAATGCAAAAATCATTTTAACTTTTAAATGAACTTTTAGCTTTGTTCTGTGTAGTTTGTGAGAGGTTTCAATGCAGCAGAAAGAAACTTCATCTCTAAAGAGTCTGTTTGAACTCCCTGAATGTAACAGTGAGGCACTGACTGACTGCTCTGAGTGCCGATTACTGCACAGCACAGCCTGTTCTGAGAGTTCTCCTCTTAACATTTCATTGGTGAGTCATGCAAAATCCACTTCCTGGTACACTCATAGTCACACACACAAACACCTCCTGATCACCTTCAACCTGCAGCGGCTGGCACCACAACAGACTCGCCCACGGAGAGCGCATCCACCCCTCTCAGCCAACACAGAACAATGTTTGTAACAAACCACCACACACATAAAAAGGAGGAGGAGGCTCTAAACAGGCTGTTCTGTTCTGATAGTTAAATGAGAAGATGTTACCTGGGATGACAGAGTCGATGGAGACAGGAGCATGACCTCGCAGAGTGAAGCCGAAGTTTTTCTTCCCCCTGTAGACACGGATAATCCTGAGGACAGACGGAAATGAGACAAATTCATTAAACTGCAGATTCACAGTTACTTTGAGCTCATAAAATCAAGCAGAACACACATGTGGGTGCAAACATTTTACTCTTCTGTCATAAATTTTGGCATTCCTGGCATAGATGGGCCTTTAAACTCCATTTTTGTATAACTGTCTTAAAGTTGGAGAACTTCATTAAATGATACAAAACTCACTATTTTCAATGTTTTCAACTCCATCCTCAATAATCCTGAGAGTAAGGCGATAAATAAGTTTTTTATTCTCATTATTAATTTATATTTTTAATTAATTCAGTTCGCTTGCTATTTTGTCCCTTTTGGCACACCATAGTTAAGCCACCGGGTTGTCTCCCTGCTTCCTGCTGCTGCTGCTGTGCTGAAGGATGATGACACAACTGCACTTCAAAATGGCACATTTCACTTCAAGTCAAAAGTAAGATGTAACAGAATTATAAAATCACCCATGTACTTTGAGTTAAAGCGACCACCTACATGCTAATGCTGCCAGTATAGCCAATCATACTGACGTCACTGGCAACAGCTGGCAGAGCACTACGTAAGAGCGCTGGAATAATCTCACACACGTGGATGAAACACTTTGAGTCCATCTTCCGATTCTGGGTCAAGGTTTCAGACCGCACTGATGTCGCAGTGCAGCATTTGTTTCTGTAATAAATCTGAAAGAGGTTCATTTCACTGCATTCATTTGATTCCTATTTCAAAAACCAAAAACCAGTAAGAATTTTTTCAATTGACAAAATTTTTAACCCAAGATTTGAATTCCTGGAAATCATGATTAATTTAAACTAACTGAAAATTCAGTAATTAATTAGCAATTGAAAAAAATAAAATAAAATAAATAAAACATTTTACAGCCCTAATTTCTAGACTAGATATAACAAGCCAGAACGTTGCACTTGGAAATCTCTGTTGTCTCCTGGCCAAGTTTTAGAAATTGATTCAAGTATATTATTGCATAGTTTTTTGTGCTTGGTTTTTATATGTCTATGATCATCATCATTTTTATTGTCTTTTAAGTCATACTTTTATTGTTTGGTGAATAAAATGTGTGAAAAGACTAATAAAAAAATCACAGATTACTTCTATGATTGTCAAATTACAACAAGTATGCAAAGCTATGAACCGAATTAAATAAAAAAAGGTCTTTTCTCCCACCGTTTGACTAAATTAAAGTAATTGCTCCTGCTTTGCCTTTGATAGATTTAAAGATGAGTCAGCTAATAGCTCTCACTTGTTTTGAAACCACTCACTGCTGAATTATCTCAGTTTAATTTGTGATATCATTTAATGACACTGATGATCCAACACTGATGGATTTTATTTTTTTTCTGTGAATGGACAGGGAGCCCAGCTGTCTCTTTTTGAGGCGCTAACTCTGCTCGGTTCAAAGCGTCTCTCTCGTTTTTGATCCGTCACTTCCTGTACGTGGGAGTCGGAACAAGTGGAGGAATGACGCTTGTCTTTATTGCTATCTCACAGTGTGATTTACGCCGATGACATAGCTCTTTTTAGTTTTTTTATGTAACAACCTGAACTAGTTCAGCCTCAGTTCACAGCACTCTACAGATCTTCCCGTTTGTTTGACTCTCAGGCTTCCCTCCAAAATGTAAATAAATCAGGAAAAACTCAACAGAGAGAAAAGCTTTGACATTTCGCTGATGGTGGTGCTCTGCTCTCATTCACCCCGGTGTGGAGGAACATGATAGAGGGGAACACAGTGGAACCTCCTGCTAAATCAAAGCAGAGACACTTGGGCTGTCTATCCAGGGTGCGTTGCCATGGATACGACTCAAGGCAACACTGCCTTGATATGTAAACAGTGGGGAGGACTAAAAAAAGATGGAGGGGGGTGAGACAACAGACAGATCTATTCTTTTATAGATGCTTTTACTGGCTGTTATGTAAGATGAGCTAAATGCAGATGGGCACACTGGGTCCTGCATGTATGTGAACGTGTTGGTGTTTGTGTGTGTGTGTGTGTGTGTGTGCGTGTGTGTGTGTGTCAGAGAGAGGAGGGTGTCAGATACGCCGCATCAGCCTTGAGCGCACTTGACAGTCTTTGACAGTCCTGGTGTTTCAAATCCTCAGGATGCTCGAGGCCTCTCTAGATTCTCATCAGTCAACAATGACAGCACGTTGCACTTTTTCACAACTTCACGTGAGTCATTGGTAACTTAATGACACCACTGTGATAATAATGCAGCCCTAATGCTGCAGCTTTAATGACAACAGAAATGCACAAAAGGCAATCTATAGCAATTGATTTTAAACATGTGTACGGTTAGACTCTTTTGTCTAAAGCTCACGGTTAAAACCAACCACATTTCTTTGCGAGCAGCTGTGACAGTATCATTGAAGAAAACCGCTTTGAAATTAACCAATTTACATGAAAACATAAATGCTGTCTGGCAAAATTACACAGTTCTTTGTCTGGCAATACAATATTGCTTAAGACCCCAGGTATCAGCCCTTTTAATGAATTAAATATTGCAATTGGCAAAAGGATCAGTTGACAAAACCCAACGTTTATTTCATTTGAAATGGTGAATCTAGTGCAAAGACAACATGTCAAATTTGTTTGATAAAAATACACACTAATTTCTAATTTGGTGTCAGCACCATGTTAAAAAGCAGTTGGGTAACATGACTGTGTATTAAAAAAAAGAAACTCTCGATGAGCAGAGACTTTAAAAAGAAAAGACTGGAGAGGTTCACCATCTTGTGACAGACTGTGTGAGCAACTAATTCAACATTTTTAAAACACTCTTTCACAGCGTGTAATAGCTAAAAAATTGAGATTCATAGCTCAAAGTATGAAATATCCCTAAAAGTTCAGAGAATGTGGGCGATCTCTGAAGAAAAGGCAACTACAAATACTGGCTCGCCATGACCTCTGGGCCACTGACATGACTCTGCAGTGGAAATCACTGCATAGATTAAAAATCACATCCAAAAACAAATGTCTGTGAGTACTGTCATTTGCTGCATCCATGATTGAAGGTCCAGAGGTTTACTTTAGAAAAACAGGTGACTTCTGTGAGCCCTTTTTAGGATAAAGTGAGGAGATAGCTTAACATATTCAAATTCAACACTCATTTTGGAAATCATGAATGATGTATCTCGTAGTAAAGGAGACAGGGACCATCAATCTGGCAATCACTCTACAGTTGGTGTTATGGATGTGCAAACTGTATGTAAGTGCTCACAGCATCAGGAGCTTACACACCTGGAAAGAGCTGAATAATAAATACCAGTTTGGAGCAAAACATGATGCCATCCTGACAACCCCTTTATCAGGGAAACCCTGGATATTTCACTGAGGCAATATCAAACCAGATTCTGCAAGAATTACAACAGCACGGCTCTGATAAGAGTTTCTGTGCTTAACTAGCCACCCTACAGTCCTGACTTGTTATCCATTGAAAACATCTGCTGCATCATGAACCAGAAAATATGATAAAGAAAAACCCCAAACTACTGGCCATGTAAAATCCTAGATCGGGCAAGAATGTGGGACAACATTTCACCTTCAAAACTCCCAAACCGGCCTCCTTGGCTCCCAAAAGTTTACATAGAGTGATGCAACACAACGGTAAACATGTCTTTGCCCCAGCTTTTTTGAAACATGTTGTTGATGTTGAATTTAAGTATTTAGATTTTTTTTTTAAAAAGTCTTAACATTAGAGATTTTGTCCTTACACTATTTCCAATCAAATACAGGATTTCTGTTTTTGTCAACTCTTAACACATGCCTCAACTTTTGTGGAATGGAGGTTTTATCCTTCAAAGCTAATCAATGATAATATATTGCAACATCTCTGGTAATATGATGAATAGATTACTAGCTAACCTTGTAAGTAGCCAGCTAACCAGCTCACTAGCAAGCTGGAAAACGATCAAATGTATTAATTCAGTCCATCCATCTATCTGTGTATCCCTGTTTGTACTTATGTATCTATCTATCTAGATACAGTAGAGACATAACAGTGTTACACAACACTCTTGAGGCTCAGGAGAGACGTCCGCCTGCAGCACAACTTATTATCGTGATCAGGCCACTTCAACCACGTGAATAAAACTCCCATACACTCACCTCCTACTGTTGTGTGACCTGCCATTGCGATTACACTTGACACCTTTGGCCTTACACTGACACTGCTGTGTGGATGAAGACAGGTCTTTATGTTCAGTTAGAAAGTTTGTGTGGGCGTGAGGGAGCGCGCTGCCTTCCCTCTAATCCTGAACTGACTCTGCTGTGCTGTTATTAATTGGACAGCGGTGTAATCAGCGTGTTTAGTGGGTGGAGGATGAGCGGCGAGGTTCAGTGGTCAGGGGCTCTACAATAACACGGGATTAAGATGTTTAATAGGTGAGGAGATACACAAAGACACTTTGAGTTTAAAGAGGTGTTATCGGGTTTAATGTAGCACGAGTGTGAGCACTTTCCAGCTTATGTAACAGGGAGTAATGGTGCGCCTTTTTCAGAGGACTTAGAGGAACGGCAAGAAAAATAATATGAGATACACGGTTTTTAAGGTACTTTTTAAAAAATCTTGCCAGTGAGTGAAATTAGTTTTTCACTGTTTTATTTTGTGTTGAAAAGTGCCGCATTACACGATGGTAGCCAACATTTTTACATTGAACACAACTTTAAACACAGTCAAGGTGCCCAAAAGGAATCAGATTATGAAAGGTTGAATACTGATACCAACACTGACATGGATACCAACTGCAATGTTGATACTAGTGGCAGTCTAAAATATCCTCAAGTGGTTTTGCTCATTATGACAGTTGATGCAAACATATGATACCAAATTTTATAATTAAAAAAATCTATGTTTTAGGTAAATAATCATGTGATGACAACAAAAACAGTGCTTAAGAGTGTAAATAATCAATGTATGCCTTCGGTTTAGATCAATAATATTACATTGCATTGATACAGGAGTGCCACTCGGTATTGGCTGATAATCACATATACGTATTGTAAAATAATATTGGTGAATCTTTTGAAACAACAATCTGTCAGTCATGTGCCTCTACATGTGCGCTTACCTCTGATTTGGTCCAATGGGAGGATGAGCGGGCATCCCAGAGACAGACTTCCTTGGACCCCTGTCTCTCTCCCCATCCCCTCTCCCTCCTGCTTCTCCATCTCTAGGCACCGAACTGGCCCGTTTGGACCTGTGGTGGCGATCTGAGTGATCTTCGCTCCTGCTGCGACGGATCCTGCCCTGTGGCTCACTGATGCTCTTGCTGCGACAGAGCCGATTGATCACATTCTGCTGGACGGAGTCGTCGAAGCGCTGCCGGTGCTTCTTGGGAATGAAGATCCTGGCAAACATGGTGGCATGTGAGGGGAAAAAGGGGGTGATATTAGTTCTTGTCAATCAGAGTTGTCTCAGAAAAAGAGCAGAAAAAAAGAGGGATCTACATCACAGATCCAACTTGATGAATTTCAAAAACCTAGATTTTGATGCCAAAAAAAGAGTGAAATAAGAAGTCAAGCATCCAAGTTTGAGGAGAGATTAAAAAGTAAGAATGAACTCCATCGCTGTGAAAAGAATCTGCAGAGTCCAAGTCCACTCTAATGATAATCAACAGGCTGCCTTTCTCAAGAGATTCAAAGAAAAGAGCTTTTGATAGACAGGTGAGATGTTACTCCACCTGGATGTGACCAATTCCCCCAAGAGAGAAGAAAAGGAAAGAATTTCAAAAGGAAGTCTGAGAGAAAGGATCTTTTTGAAAGAAGCCACAGAGTGAGGAAATCTCAGCGTCGCACTCTGCTCACTGAAGTCTCACTGCAGCAGCGTGAGGTACCAGAGCCAGAATACAGCAAGAGAAAAAAGGTGTGGGAGTGAGCAAGCATGGGATTTCTCCACTGCTCTCTCTCTCTCTCTCTCTCTCTCTCTCTCTCTCTCTGCTATGTACATTTTCTCACTCTCACTCCCCTTCACTTCCGTCCACGCCTCACCTCTGTGTAAACCCGTCAGTGTGAGCTCAGAGGAGGAAGCTGTCATCATGTAATTGACCTGGAAACCTTGCCATTTTACCATCGCTATGAAGAAAGTCAACCCACGGTAATAAGTTTATGAATTAAAACATAAGCCTCATTGACCTAATCAAATTCAGTAGGCGGACAGGTTTGAGCTCAATTAATCATTCTCATCAGAAACATTTTTAAACAGCTCATGTCTCTACAAAAAGGTCAGCTGATTAATTTTTCACCTAAAATAATGACATGGGGACAAAAGAGTTCAAAAATTAGAATAATATGTTACATGAGGCCCTGCCTGCTTTTCTTGCCAACAGTAAGGTAAGAAAATTAATGCATTGTTTATGTCATTGTGGTGAAAATAAAGCCAAAGTCTACAGATAGTTATTACAGATACGTTTTAGCTGGAATACAATGGAGCCAGGCTTAGCTAACAGTTGAAAAATACACTAACATGAGAGTATTATCAACCTATCTGTCAAACTGATAAACACAAATGTGAAAACATCTCCACACAAGCAAGAAACTGAAGCCAACACTTGAACAAAGGGTTTACAAATGACAGAAAAATAAAGGTTTGATACTTTCAGATAATTTTCTGACAGTCATTTAAGATCGAACACATAGGGCTCTATTTTCGTTCGCGCCGGTGAGGCGGCGGAGGGCGGCGAGCCCCGCGCAGTTGTATTTTCGTCTGGCGGAGCCCAGCGTAAGGCCAATTTGGTATTTTCGTGGCATGAGCCGCACGGAGGCGAGCCGAGATCCGCCAAGCTGGGCGTGGTGGTGTGGCAGGGGGAGGTGTCGACAGAATCAGCAGGCGCAGTGACATTTTTGTGCTCGCCACCGGCGTGTGAAGTGCGCTGAAAGCTCGCCGATTCAAACCTGGTCAGCTTTCAGCGCAAGGCGGAACGCAGCTGGTCTAGTAGTATTTTGGCAGACCGGCGGCGTATCGACATACGTCACTGATGCCTCACCGGCAGGTTTCCACAGTGTCAGGCACATTTCAGTGCAATAAATAATCATCATCAACTATTAATGTGAGTCAGCACATACATTTGGATCTATATAGATATATTCTGATCTATATCTGATCTGATGAGCGCGTTTGGCACGCGTTTGGACACACAACCTGACCGAATCAACACAGCTGAAACCGCATCAAATTAAATTAAATATCTAGTAAATATTCACACATGATGAAGTTAACTCGATATGTAATTCGTCTCCCTCCTTTTCTTTCTTCCTCTTCCTCTTATTTCTCGCACAGCTCGACCTGGACACGTCTCCGTGTCCTCTGTCCGTCTTGCTTGCTGCTGCGGCTGAACAGATGATTTGTTTCAGTGCTCAGATGCGTGATCTACTTTAAGCCGACATACGGATATTATAATATTCAGTTTTGTGAGCCAAATTTATTTTATATGCCAACATCTATGAAAGAAAGAGCCAGGCCACGGAGCGCGATGCGTCATTTACGCACAGATGGTTCCGATTTTTATGCCATTTTTGGAGTTTATGTTGTGATCTGTGCGCTCAACCGACCTTTGTCACGTGAGGTTTGAATATGAGCAACTTTATGTGAGTGTCTTTATTTGTGGAAAAGGGTGTTTGTCTTACCACTGGGTCCAACATTACGCACACTAAATCCATCTGTGCTCATATGAGAGAGTGTGGAGGACACTTGTTGAGGAGCTGCCCTCTGTCGCCATCTTGTGGCATTACTGTCTTAAGACATCTCTTGATCTCTTTGACTACTTCATGAAAATAGTAATACGCCTCGCCTGTGGCGGATTTAAAGGCAAGGAGAGGAGCCTATGTGATTGGTGAAAACAGGTCTCGGCTGTGTTAAACCCACTAACCGCCCTTTCTACGACTTATGGTGCTGGGAGGAGCTGAGTTAGGGAGGGGGGATACTTACCCCGGGCTGCGCGGCTCACCAAAATACCAAAATGTGCTTGGGAACGCCTTGTCAGCGCGGCGGATCTGATTGACGCTGCGCTTGCGGCAGATCTCCGGCGAGGCACCAAAATAGAGCCCATAAAATCATATAGGGTACCCTATAAAATACCAGTTTTGTCACACAAGCTATGACTTTTTCTGCAACTTTACATGGAAAAAAGACAGAAAACCACTTATTATATGATATAGAAGATAAATCTAGCATTTAGCTCACTTTAACTCACCAACCTCACAGTTATAAACACATCACTATGAATATTTAGTTTGTGTTGCGGACATACTCTCACACCAGAAAAGTAATGAAGTGGCTTCCAGGGCCCACTGAAGTGACAAAATGTACATTTTTTGGCACCACTAAAATATCAAAGATGGGGAATATGTGGGAAGTGTACATGCTGCTCTGCATTACATACTCGCTGTGTACCAGGCAGGAGCGCAGACTATGAGAACAAAACAAATGAGTCTTCCCCCACACACAAGGACAACAGAAACCACATTTCATTCAAGTGATCAGAGCTGCTGCCAGAGACAAAGCAAACACCCACACGACCATGCTCGAAGAGTTCTTATAACTGTGAGGATGTTCATGCTCTGCCCCTCCGACTGTACTTTCTGTTTGCTCTCAAGTATGTCCGAGCTTTAAGGATGAGTCCACCTGTTCTTACAGTGGGCACTTACACTGATGTAACCAGGCAGTGGATCATTTCTACAGCAGGCAGTGACTAAACAGGAAATACTGATACATACACAGAGGTGTGCAACAGAAACCTCAAGGTTTCTGTCATTCTGAACATGGAGATAAAACAAAATCAAGTCCCTTTTTCCTGTTCCAATTTATTCTGAAAGTCGAATTGTTTAGTTCTGTCTGTAAAATGCAGCCACAGCCTTGGATCAGGATAGCCTTGTACAGGCTACTCTGACTTTCTCTCAGTATAGGTTTGTTTTGAAAGTTCTACTGTTTAGTTTTGATGGGAAAATGCAGCAACAGTCTTTCAGAATAGCTTTGTACAGGCTGAAGAGATAAAAACAGACAGCTAACATCGAGTTGACTGCTATCCAGAGCTAAATACCAAGGCTAGAGTTTCTGCCTCTTCACACTAAAGCGAACAAAACTCTGACTTTCTCTCAGTACAAGTTTATTCAAAAAATTCAACCATTAAGTTTTGACAGTAAAATGCAACAACAGTCTATCAGGATAGCCCTGTACAGGCTAAGGAGATAAAAACAGACAGCTAACAGCAAGTCAATTGCTATCCAGAGCTAAATACCAAGGCTAGTGTTTCTGCCTCTCTATACTCAAGCGAACAAAACTCTTACTTTCTCTCAGTATAAGTTTAGTCTGAAAGTTCAACCATTTAGTTTTGATGGTAAAATGCAGCAACAGTCTATCAGGATAGCCTTGTAGCTACAGGCTGGAGAGATAAAAACAGACAGCTAACAGCAAGTTGACTGCTGTCCAGAGCTAGCTACTAAGGCTGGTGTTTCTGCCTCCTCATACTAAAGCGAACAAAATTCTGACTTTCTCTTAGTTTAGGTTTATTCTGAAAGTTCAACCATTTAGTTTTGATGGTAAAATGCAGCAACAGTCTATCAGGATAGCCTTGTACAGGCTGAAGAGATAAAAACAAACAGCTAACAGCAAGTTGACTGCTGTCCAGAGCTAGCTACCAAGGCTAGTGTTTCTGCCTCCTCATACTTAAGCGAACAAAACTCTGACTTTCCCTCGGTTTAAGTTTGACTGCTTAGTTAAATGAGATTCTGGGAGATAGTTTCACAAAACATCAACATTTATCCTTTGGCTCTTTAAAGAAGTGGCCAAAATCACTAAACTGTGGAGGACATATCAAAACACCAATTTAGCTGACCTATTACTTGCAGTCTATGTCTAGGAACATCAGGTAGGTACCTTGGGGCTGTTGGACTGCTACGCAGCTTAATAAAACCTGAAATTTGTTGATACTTTTGTGAAAAAGGGAAAACAAAGAATAACATAAGGAGAAAGAAGAACATAACCCTTCATCACCCTTTACACTTTACCCACAGCATGTTTTCTTCAAACAGACCTCTGTCATATTCGAGAAGAAAACATTGAGACTGTGCTTGTTAAATTGGACTGAAAAAACAAAATCTCAGCTGATACATCATTCCACATTCACAAGATAATTTTTTGTTTCTCAAATCACAGTGGGATTACAATCCAACAAACACAAACAACCTTTTTAAATTGCACCTCCAGCAGTCGGTGTGTTCTGACTAGCTCAATTTGCTGCTGATCTGCTGATCAGATGAATCAGCCACAAGTGTACTGAGTCTGTCAAAAACTGCACCAGTGGAGTAATTAGCAGCAAACTCGCTGATGGAGATAACAGCTACCACTGTACGTATCCACAGGACGCTAATTAAGCTGCATAAAAACAACTCTGACAGCTAAATAAAGCAATTAGGGCGCATTTATTGTGAAGAGACAGGAAGAGAGAGGGGCGCAGAATAACTTCACAGCAAAGGTCAGACCTGTTCATTTCATTACACAGGGTTCCTTCAGCTCTTTATCTAATGGTACTCAGGTAAATACAGAACACCTCCAGCCCTGTGCCGACTCCAGTGATGGAGTCTCATTTACATGTGGACCGTAAAGGTCTCAAATTCTGTAAATAGCACTGGTCTAATGTATGAAGAAATTTTTAATATAGAAGAAATGATACTCCAGGGGTTAGAGCTTTGGTATATGTACGGAAAGGCTTACACAGAGAGGAAATGCCAATAAAAGCCTGCTCAAGTCTGTTTTGTGAGTTTAATATCAACATCAATATTTGATGAGTTAAAAAATCCAGAATGAAATTATGGGCAATACTTTATTGGTATCACAAACACATTTAAAAAAATCATGTAAAAGAATTTTTCATATATCCATTAAAATGTTAAGGATAATAAAACCCTCACTTTTCAAATGATGTATGTTGCTACCTCACCTTAGCTGATACTACTTTCCTATTATATCACTTATTCTTCCTGATCAATGTCACATTGCAATTTAATTTTGAATGCAAGTTTACTATTTTGTCAACTTTTGTATGTTGATGCTTAAAGGACTGAAAAACGACAGTGGCTCATTTAATCTGAACCAACAGAAGCAGGTACAAACACCACATTTAAACTGAAACAACATACTCATCACAAAGAAAACACATCTTTCTGCTTGGATACTCTAATTCCTGAACACATAAATTAATAACATATTGGTTTATTTTTTTCTATTTAACTTTGTCAGCGCTCTGTGGCAGCTGAAGACACCCACTGACGCACCATGGTGCTCCTACCACAGTCACAGGAACTGTCCATTCAGCACCACAACAACACCAGCATACAGCAGCCAATTATTTCTGACACTTTCTCCTCATCTGCTGCTTGAAATACTTATTTCTCCAGACTTCTGATGGCTCACAGCAGGTGCGCTGTAGTGCAATGTGATTAAAGGAGCCAATTTAGTACTTAGATGAAGGAAACTCCATTGACTTTGCCCATTAGCCTTAGTGTAGTGCTCATCACAAGTTCTACTCCTCTTGTGAAAATGTCTCCTGAGGCTCTGGAGTGGGCTGGTGAGAAATTTGAGGAAACTACATGGATGATATAGGAATGATGTCATCTCCATTTTTTATTTCAGCTCAAGTGTCTTTTCTTTTTCTTCTTTGAAACTAGGACATCATGAAGTGAAGCATGAATTGCAAAGGACTTAAAAGGAAGTTCTATTCAAAGCTCAAATTGTGGTGCATTATGGGGGTTGTAGGACTCTGGATTTTTCATAGCTTTACACCAGGCTGAATGGTAGAGTATCCCACCTTTCCAGCTTTAAATCTAGTGCCCTGATCAGTAGCTCCTAAAATACCTAGAATGCATATGCATTATGAGTGTCAGAGATATGTGTGTATAAACAGACTTAGAGGTGTTACTTTCTCAAAAACATAGACATTTTTGGCAAGAAGTATTCTTAAGTTTAGAACAAACAAAGACTCTGACTCTGATTTTCCAAAACTCATCTATGCTTTCAGATAATGTGACTATTGAACATAAATTTCCACAGATACAGTCTCCCTCTAGTGGAAAAAATGTGCAGTTACACTCTCATATATTTCCTCTGTTTACTAATATTCAAAGTTTGGCAGAAAAGACAGCTGTTCTAGGTTTCAGATCCAAGATTTTTAACTTACTCATCATTATAACTCATCAGGAGAATACTGACATTACAGCTTTGGTCCACTCACTAGGCTTTTAAAAATCTGTATCATTTGTTTTAATAGTTGTCTAACTCTCCTTGGAAGGAGCCACCCCTCTAAAGATAAAGGTTAGTCCTCAAAGATAAAAGTCACATACTCTTAGGTTTCTGTCACTTTCTCTGCAGATTGTGATTGTGTTCAGAGTGCACATGTATCTGACTGCAGCCTGAGACATTGTTGCCTGAGCGCAGACTACTGGTTACACTCAAAAGACTCCTGGGATATAAATAAATGTTCTATAGTGATGTAGGTGTAGCATCCCACACTCTCCCTCATTGCTGGCTGTCCACGTTTCCTGCTATTTGTCATCTATTCATACCACGGAGCTAAAACGCCCCTGTCTCTCGTGTACATACAGTACAGGCCTGTGTCAGCAGTATATGTTGATAAATACAGATGTTTTTTCCCCCTGAGGATGCAAATCTGTTGAAACAGCCACCTCATCATTAAAAAGTTTTTCTGCGTCGACTCTGTGAAACTAAGTAAGTGCTCCGATTTGACCTCATTTATAAGGAACAGAGATCTATAATTATCTGACAGAGGGTTGCGGAGGAGGTAGCAAGCAGGGAGGAAGGGATGGATTTCTCAAAAGGGAGAAATGACAAGCAGAAAACTACAATGAGGAGACCTTGTTTCATTTCAAGTGTCCTGATGTGGCTTAATACTGGAAAGTGAGCTCCAAAATAAAGGGTGATGTGGCAGAGAGAGTCTTTCCCACATCATCTATCTAACTGTCTTCTAATCAACACTGCTGTGAAAGTGAAACGCAGTAGTTTGTATTCTGAATTAATGAGGTTCCGGTTAGATGGAATAAAAATGCACCCACAGTCCCAAAAATGATGCTGATTAAAAAAAGAAGTCATCTAAAAGAAGGTTATCTCAAGGAAAATTGAGCGCTTACTCTCAGATGATCAGTTATATAACAGAGCACTAGACTCAAGCATGACGGCAGAATGTAAAGTGGCAGCTCATTCGCCCATTATAAAATCATTTTAAAATACAGTATGCCTCTTCACACTTGATAAGCAGATCAAAGCTCGATGCTAATGGTGAGAGAGAGTCGACATGGTGCTGAATGTGAGTGCTTCGCTTTTGCAGAACTCTCCACACTTAAGTATTGAAAGCTTGCCTGATTAGAGTGAGTATAGATTTTCTGTTCCTGAAATACATCCAGAGAACCACAAAAACCACCAAAAAAACAACACCACTTGTCTACTTCAATCTAACACATAACACTGAAACACTTCCCTTATGTGTTAAAGAAATCAGAATCCACAGGTATGGAGTTCAATTAAGAAGCCATGATGTGATCTGAGCTGGTTTGTGGACTTAAGTTTTGACACTGTGAATTTGGCAGCTGCCATCATAGTTATTTGGACCAGAGGTGACCTCCAGATAAGACCTTTTCACATTCTGGTTGAGTTAATGATGTCCATGAAAATGTTGGTGATAATTATTTAAGTTTTTTTTTAACCTCTGTTCATGATACCCTGCCAAATGATGATGAGATGCTCTGCTCAAAAGGACAACCAAACACAAAACTGAATTTCCTTTTTAAGCGTTCTTTTATCAACAGGTGTGCACAGATCCCCACTACCTCCACGTGTCTTTTTTATTGTCACTGCATGATTTTCACTTAGTGCATGTTGGTAAGAAATCGTTAATGCGCTTTCTACGGCCAAAGAAAAAGGCAAAACTAACTAGCTATTGGCTATCTTATCAAAAGCCCTATAAATCTACTGCTGGTAACTTCAGGAATGACGACCTCGTTCGAACCAGCAGCCTGAACAGCGAGAAGACAGAAGAAACAATCTGAACACAAGACAGTTTGAATCCTACCAAATTAAGACGAAGATGGAGCATTCCCCAGTGTCGCTCAGGTGTATAATAATAATAGTATTATGATTCCATGACGTGAATTTACAGTGTGCTATCTCTCTGGAGTTAATGTTTCCAAAACTCTGATCTCCTTGTGGGATCAGGCCTCTGCTTGTAATTCAGCACTTTTCACCAAGGCTGGACAACTCAGCATTGCACCTTTAGCAATAAGCTCCCCATACTTCAAAAAGTGATCCATGAAACCAAGCCAAGCTACAATACTCATCTATGTATTTCTTCTAAAAATATGATTCATAATTTCTGACATCTAGTTTGCAGACTGCAAATCTATAGAAAAACCTTTGCAGAATTCACTTAAATGAAGCTCCATGTGGTAAGAGGAATTCTTTTGTTGTTGGAATAGGACTTTATACAACCCGTTTAAGGCATTCATTTCATTTTGAAATGAAAGGAAGACATCTAAATAAGAAATGCACTCTCAACAAAGATGACAAAACATAGTATGGTGCCTTTTTTTCTCTCCGCTGCAATTTTACAACATGGAGGATTATCTTTGAAGAAACCTTTCACTTCAAACCTCCATTCATTGATGTCATAGCTCGTGGGGCTGCCTCTACACACAGACTTGAATATAAAACAGTTTGCAAGCCGCTGATGTTTCTTGTCTAAAAGCAGCTCAGCACCCTGCAGCCGTTGACTCTTGCAGTTAAAATTTAACACCATCTTCATCAGCACTATTGAAAAGAAGACCTTGTGCACAGTATGAGCCAATGGAAGGTAGATTGTTTTGACAAACCTATCTTGCATCATTATATTTAACGAGAAAAAGTGCTCAGAGGTGTAAATGTTAGCTTGATTTCTACAGAGCTGTAAAGGTGGAGCTATTTGGACACAGTTGCATACAGACTGCTATGTTACCATGCAGGTTTGAGCAGAAATAGAAACCACAAAGCTTGTCTGTTATTTGTAAAAGAAAACCCACACTCCACATAACATGGGCAGATAAGATTTTAAAATTAATATTTATGTAATCCCAGGAAAAAAAAATCAACATTGAGCTCCTCAGCACATCTGCACCCAGACAAACCCGAACACACACCCTCATACACGTGGAGAGAGATTACATCCTGGAAGCAGAGCATCACTCATCCTAATGACTTCAGTCTCGTTAGAGACAACGGAACAATTGTGTGTCTTTGTGTTGCTAACTCTCTTACATTCAGCTGTGTCCATCAAAGTGCAGTTGCATCACACTTTTAAACTACAAAAACACGGTTGACAGTTTGTTTGAGTCCATGAATTATAGATTTAAAGCATGAAAAAAGCCTTGAAGAAAGCTTGCAGAACAACCAGGGAACAGAGGAATTAGAAGTAAAAATATCAGATGTTAAATATCAACAGCTGCAACCATCCTATGCAGCACTCATCAGCATTAAATATTCACCCACTTTGCATACTTAACAACACTGATGCCATTTAGTAAAACAGTGCAGCCCAAAAGCAGCTCATAAATTGCTTAAATTCCCTCGAAGTCAAACATTTAAGCTCAACAGAATAAAGGAAAGAAAAGATATACTCACCCCAGACAGTTCATCTTTTCAGCTGTCACCCATAGCTCAGAAATGAACCTAAGCACTAAGTTGCATCATGATGCCCCTGCTGCTTCACTGAGAGGGGATAAAAAATACAGGGAGGGGGGGACCTTGGTGCATGCAGGAGGCTGTCTTTGCAAAATGTCAAGGGAAAATGGTCACCCCACAGAAAGAGAGAGAGCAAGAGGGAGAGAGAGAGGGAAAGAGAGAGAGAGAGAGAGGGAGAGGGAGTGGGGAACAGCCCAAGCTCTGAGCGGAATAATGAGAAGAAAATCCATCAGAGCCAAACACAAACCCCCCCCTTCATAGGGAGAGAGATAGAGAGGTAAGAGAGTTGTGAAATGAGTGGGGGATGGAGAAACAATAGAGAAATGACATTAAGGTTGTTGTCTGTGCATGTGCAAATAAAGGTCTTTTATCTTAATCAAACCAGTGAGGACTTCTCAGGTGGTTGAATAATTCATGACCAATTTAAAGCAGTAAAATCCCCATGTTTCACGGTTATTTCCCCAAACTAACCCAACATGGACCTCATACAGCTGGAAAACCCTCTTACAGTGTATTAGTCACACTATAAAAAGTGGTGTATTCACGCAGGAAGCCAGGGAATGAAAAGGTTTGATTGGCTGTACTTGTGGAAGAAGTGCAATCTGTGGACAAACTGTCAGGGGATTTGGAGAAAGAAGGGGTGCCGGTCATTCTGGCACACACACAACCGCAGAACTCTGGCTACCTGAACGGCTTTGTCACTTTTTCACTTATCTGGCATTACTCCATTCCTGTAGCTCGAGTTTTTGTCTCTTTTTTTACTTGAAAAGGCCTGTGGTTGCAGAGCAGCATGACCACCATTATTAAATGATGTTTTCATGAAGCGAGCACTCAACTAAATCTATCTGTGGCTCATCATCACATACATCTCCATGCTGTGAATCCAGTCCACACTGCCAATCCTGATTTAACTCTCAAAACTCTAAGCTGGGGGCCCCTCAGTGTAGATTTAGCCTCCCAGTTTCATTAAGACTCCTGATACTTTAAGCAACTTTGGGGGTCAGTGGATTTACCCTGAGTGGCAGATGGGGTTCACCTACACCTGCTGTGCAGGAATCACTGGGGATGTGAGCGGGATACAACATCAAGAAGCATAAGGGCCTGTGTCCACTGACTGTTGTTTGCAATGGCATCTTCTTTTTACCATACAAATACGATGCAGCTCAGGGTTTTCAGCAATCACAAGGTAAAAAAAAATTAAGATGACTGTTTTGATTGATGCCCTCTCAGTTGAAGATCATTCCGATTTTTAGACACCACAGCATGGGTGTCCCTTTTCCATCAGCGACCAATCAGAATCAAGACAGATATTAACTCTGTTAACAACTAGTCAACATTAAGCTACTCCAACTTTTTGGAGTGATTTTAGTGCACACCTTGTTTATGGAGGCTATGCTCCTTGCTGCAGCAGTCCCCAGTTTGATGATTTGCTGCATGTCTTCCCCCTGAATTCCACCCCCATCATCTTTACCTTTTCCTTGTAAACACCAATAATGACTAAAAGATTAAATATACAGAGCATCTTTAAAAAACTTAACAGCAATACCAAGCAGCACAACTTTTTTAACCTATCATGGGTAAATGCACATAAGAACATAAGCACTCTGAAATTGAGGCACTGCCAGCCCACAAGTGCTATTAGTGAACACAGGCCCTAAATAAATAACATTGAAGGCTTGATGCGGCACAAATTGAAATCCTGGCAGGCTAAATTTTTATGTCCTTGGATCACAGCCTTTTGCAAGACAACATAACAGTATTTTTGTTGTAAGGGATGCTTTGGCTACATAAATCGTAACTCTGGCTGCTCAGTACTACACATTCATATTATGCTGATGCCTCTCTATGGCCTACACTGGCTATTTCTATGTAATGTATGTAATACATAAAGTTTTTTTTTTATTGTGTTATGTGAATTAGTTTTATCTTTGGTCTGAATAAAACATAAGCATGCTCTAAGTGATGTTACACATTGCTTTCTGGCTCACATATTGAATTGCTGATTCCAGCTAACTTCTGGCCAAGAGACAGAGTCAAGGCAATATCTTTGTAGGTCGACTTGCAAACAGCTTCAACACACCCACATATTAGTCAAACCAGCTGTAATCCTAATTGTTATCAACTGTATTTAATTCCTAACCTTAATATAACTAAAACAAATAAGTTGTAAAACAGTTAAGCTGTCATGAATAGAGAAATGGTAGCAATAGAAAGAAAATCTGGTTTTGTGTCAGACGGGCATTTCATTATGGGCTCTAACATGGATTTATTGGATTTTGCAGCATGCTATGAGTGGACACTCAAGAAAAAAAACACTGTCTTGTTCTTCTGCACTTACTTTATGTTTGAGCAGCAGAAGCTGACACTTCCTGTGGTCTCATTCAAGCAATAGTTACTCTGAACAGTGTTTCTAAAAGCCCCTCATAGGCCAGATTCAAGAGTTATGTTTCCACTGAATTTAAAACCATCTGTCCACCAGCAGCTTTTTCTGTGCTGTGTCTGGCAGTTCATTGTAACAAAGGTTTAAGCTCTGACTCTTACCTGATACTAGAGATGAGCTGTCGATGCTCATCAGTGGCGAGTATGTCTGGCAGGACTGAGGCCAGCCACTCAACTTTCTTCTCAGCAGCATATTGCTTCAACACAGCAAAGAGTTTCTCTTTCACCTCAGGTTCATCGCCCAGAATCTGGTCCACCTGAGAGGAAGACGAAAATAATATCAAACACTCAGAACAACTTTAGCTATACTGAGATCTTACAGTTTTTCTCACAGCAGCACTCAACATACCACTTCAATTAAAAAAAAGCCTTGTTTAAAAGTTGAAGTACATTTATGTAGGATTTACTTGCTGGCTGAATAAAGCAGGTGGAGGCTTTCTTGAGAGCCTTCAAACTCCAAATTCAACTGATCCAAGTACATAAATTCACCTGGATTCATCTGATCTGTTATGAGTGTTATGTCCTACCTTCCTGTTGAACTCCAGCGCTTTATGTTTACGGTCCAGCCTTGCCCCGTCTCCTCCCATCTGACTGTCCTCAATACTGATGCTATGCTTCTGCCTCTGGCCGATACACAGCACCCCCAGACGGAGCGTCCTCCCCTGAGAGGCCTTGATCAGCGCTGCTGCCGTCTCGTGCTGCCTTACGGGGATGCCGTTGACCTCCATGACGTAATCCCCGGCCCTCAAGCCTGCACGGCCAGCTGGCGAGCATGGTGAGCAGTCTTCTACCAGAAGGGGGCAGTCTCCCACAATGGTAAACCCAAAACGGCCATCCGGACCTGGTACGATGTCCATCTGTAATGCAAGGACAAATGAAAATGATAAATGGAAAAGCTTAGGAGCCAAATATCTTGGACTCCATTGGCTTGAAAAAACTGAATCAGGGGATAAGAGTCTTAACCCTAAATGACCTTCGCAATACAGAGTCAAGCAGATTTGTGGCTAGATTTGCAATCTAGAGCTGCACTTGCATGAAGAAAACTATCTATAGAGAAAAAAAAACATACCGCCTTCTTTATCTCTCCATACATACTATTTTTCCTGCATATACAAAACCCTGCTGACAAATGGTCACTACAACTACACTCAGCTAATAGAAACCAGAGCACCTCCCTGACTAAAATCCAGACCCAAATTTCATATTTCATTTAGAATCTGTAAATAAACATAACACAGGCATGCATAAACCAAATATGTAATTGGATTCAAATGCTGTGAGACCTGCTGAATTCGGGACACCACTCCGATACTTGGAGGGATGTTCTTCTGAGTCTGAGCGATGGCCATGACAGCTTGGGGACCCAGCGTTGACACATCATGACCCTCGATCTCAAGGACCTGGTCCCCAGCCTGTAACCCTGCAAGGTGGGCACTGCTGCCTTCCTCCACAGAGAGGATGTAGCTCGGTCCGTTCCCACCCAGCTGGAAGCCAAACTCCTCAGGCCAGCCCTGATTGGACGACGGCATGCTGAGGACTAAAGAGGACAAGAAGACATGGAAAAAAACTTGCATTTACAGTTGTGGCTTCACTGTGGACTAAAAGTCTCGAAGTAGCACAACAACATGTGTAAAAACGCAGATTTTATCCCTCATTGTCCCTCATTCTAGCTTTTCTGAAAATCATGAGGAAAAACGGCCAAGTTGTAAATCACAGATCACACATAGCGTTATTTCTCACTTACCCACTGAGGCCAATACATTCAAGTCAGTAGACATCGCAAAAAAGCACCCTTGGATCAAACTATCTTCTGCAAACTCCAATTCAAGACATTCAGATCAGTCTCTCTCTCAGCTTATCTGCTTTCTCCAGTGTCTCAAGTTGTACTATCGAGCACAGCTCTGTAACCCTCTACCCTGAACCATGTCACCCTGTCAGGTCCCTGACCTTGTTCACAGACTCCAAAGCAGCCAATCAAATTAAGGCATTGCAGAGATTGTGACCTTAATTAGTTTGAGAGGGGAGAGGTCCTCCAGCTATTTTTCTATTCAGTGCACATGTCGGCCTATCCTGTTGAATGAAAGTTATGTAATGAAGTAACAGAGCACACTCCACAGGTAAAAGTAGAGTCAAATAACCACGAGTTAGTGAGGGTTAACTTCCAAATAAAGAGGCACTTGTGGCAGTTGAAGGCCAAACTTAGAACTGAAACAGAGGATGATTTAATCCAAACGCTCTCAAAAACATCTTTTATGTCTAATACTGATTTACCAAAATTCATGATGGCTTTTTATGAATATAATCAGCTATAAACCCTCTGGTGCAGCAGGAAGCTAGAGATGTGCCACAGCAGGATTCACAGAGTGGATGAAGCCGATAAAGGACTTACAGAAATCTTTGGATGGATACCGAGAGCCCCGTTTGCTTTGCCGAAAAGAGTATCTGCCTTTTTTGTTTTGCAAAAACTTCTTCATCTTGAATGTCAAATAACAGGCGGCCTTGTCAGCAGCCTTGTATCCAATCTGTCTTCTGAAAGTGATGTTCAAAAAAAAAAACTTCCCCCCCTGATAGCCCCCCAAAGAAAAAGTCAAACAGAAAGGGTGTCAAGCTGAAAACACTGCCCCATTCTTCCTTCTTGAAAACCCGGCAGTGTCCTCATGAGCAAAGGGTGAGTGTGCATGAGAAGCGAGTGCAGTCTCTCAGCGAGTGTGTCAAGGAGTTAGTCCTGCGTCTCATCCCTGATTCATCCTGAGGCCAGCCTGCTTGCACAGTGTTAATCAGAAAACTGGGACGCGTGCACCCGCGCACCTCGGTTCCTTAATAATTCTCTCTCCAAAAAGGGTATTGTGAGGCCTCATTTTTCTATAAATACACCAATGTGTCTTTTTTCCTCCTCCTCCTCCTCTCTTGGCTAGGTGGCTCTCTGAGGGACCGCTGCTGGCCCAGAATCACTCTGCGTCGATTCAAGGAAGCCTGATGAGTACTAATTGGAGCGTCTGCTTGCCTGGGAATCTGTTTGTCCATGTGTCCGTGTGTGAGCACACAGCATTGTTCAGTCCATGGAGGGGGACAGGGGCAGGGGCAATTTAAGACTTCAGCCTGGGGGATTAGTAGGATTATCAGCTGAATCTTCAGCCAACCACTAGCCCTTCGTAAATAATACCGAAGGAACACATACTCCCCTCTCTGAATGAATATTCACTTTCCAGGATACCTTACAGTTACTTACAAAGCTATAAGACGGGAATTTTCACTCATAAAAGATCATTGTGAAATGATCTGGATCATCAATATAGTCTGTGTCACGGTATGAAGGCTTAGATATTCACAATGACAGTTGGTTCAAATGTGAATTTTAAGGGGACAGATCATTTAAAGCTCCTGTGAGAAACCTTTCTGGTGAGTTTGGCGCCCCCTGTGGACAGATCAGTTCCAGTTACATCTTTGCTGACTTGACTGAACATGTGTAAGATAAATTGGAACTTTTTTGAATCTCACAGTACTTTGTTTTAACCAACAAATGTAAAACGCCACTGTGAAGCACTGCACTCTCCCTGCCCAGCAACAGATTGCACAGTTATTTATTTTTTCAGAACCTTGTGAGGGAGTTAGCAGCTTTAGGGCCAGATATATTCCTCAGGAGTGGGTGGAGACCAAACCACTTATATCTGAGAATTTAAGCAAAATGAATAGTGAAATTACTGCATGGCTGTTTAATGAGGTGGTTCTGGCATTTCAAGATCAACAGGCCATGGAGCTCTGCCTAAACATCCTAAACATAAATGAAGTCTTTGTGACCCTTTTGTACATTTTAAGGTTTTGGGGTGCTGCAGATACATCCATTTTTTGACTACCCTCAGAGGCAGGTTTGTAAATAACAGTGACGTACACAGTGAAGAGAAATGACAGAGGAAAATTTGCAGGTTACTGTAGTCTAAACTGTCTTTAGTGGCAAAGGTCCCAACAAGACACAGGCAGTCCAGCACCAACTAAATAATTAAACACAAATGGCTGTATCTTTAAACAGACACTGTTCACTTCAATCAAACTCTCCTCTTACACAACAGTCAATCAGTCTATCGTGCATGACAAGATGTCAGACATAATATTACATTTCACACACAGCTGAGTCAGAGGAAAGTGTATGAGCCCTTTCATTTACTGGAAAAACTGTCATAAAGTCTTCCTCTGAGAGATCATTGTCTTTTTTATTAACTGCATACTTGAGATATCTGCAATTTTCCTAAAGCCCAAGAACTCGAAAGAATTTCTTTCTGACAAGCAAAATTTGCACCTCCTCAGTCATGAACGAGTAAGAAACTACAAAGAAAGCCTTTTCAACGGCAAACTGTCACTGTCATCATTCTCTATTATTCACTGAGCCTGACCACTGACTAAAAAACATGTAACATAATCATCACATGAAATGTTCAGCACAAATACACATCCCATACCTTTTTATACAGCATCCAAAGATGTGCATGCAGAGCTCCTGAGTAATGTTTCGCTCTCCAGGACTGTGAGCGGTAATATGAGTGTTTGGCCATGTTGGCAACCGGATCCAACAGGTGTCTTGTGATGCCCCTGCGTGTTGTTGACTGCAGTGACAGAGAGAAAACAATACTTTGTTACCCTGGGTCAGTAATTTGTGTGAGCTCTGGTGCCAAAATCTGGAAACAGTGCTGTCATCTTATGTGGTGTGAATGTGTTTCTATAAATCTGAGACTGATCCAGCTACATTTACTGGCCTACTAGACCCCAGTGAAAGACAAATTCCAAGCACACATGAAAACTTGTAATGGCTGGATTTTGTTTTGTTTGAAATGGAACGGGGTACGTTGAACAGTATCCCTACTACCCCTCCACTCTCCACCCCAGCCCTCCCTCGCCTTCTCTCTCCCTAAATAACAGTCACTTCTTCACATTCATGTGTATTTTTATCTATTATACGCTATTCAACTGGTACAATAACTATTTTTATTATTATTGCATATAACTGCTAAAAAGCTGTTTTGTAAAAAGCCATTTTAACATGGGAATGCCTTTAAGTGATTCAGAACATTCACAGCTGTATTTTTGAAAAGAAAAGTAACACATTTCAACAATCTGAACTGAAACTCTGATCTTCTCAACAGGACTTCTTTTCTTTCTCAGTTTAGCCACTGGCTCAACTTACCCTAGAACTACTATTATGACTTTATTAGTCCTCTAAGCTAAAATGGTGGACTTTTATGCTAAGTGTTTTACCTCATATTGTAGCTCATAGATACCACAATTGATGCATAAAACAAATTTAAAATATTTTTTTTGGTCTGAACACAATTCTGAAAAAACTTATGACAAACTAAATTTACTTTTAAGAGTGAAAAATGATTTTTTTTTTTTTTTTTTAATAAATGTCTAACCCCTTCACCCATGTGCTTCTAACCTTCACAGACTCCCATGAATTGATGTCCATCTCCCACATATTTGGTCACATGATCAATTTCTTTTACCATTTCCAAGCAACAGGGGGTGGCTCAACTTACCCTTTAGCTCAACTTACCCCACTCCTCTACTATTTTAATACAGTCGATGACAGACATGCAGTTTAATTTGTTTCTCTTTTTCTTTGATTATGCATTCATACTTTCTATTGTAAATGTAAAGTCGGGATGCAAGGAGAACGTTACAAATAAAGACTACATTTTGAATATAGGGAAGTTTTGGCCATTCATTTGATAATGACAAATCTTCCAGAGTCTGAGTCTGCTGGCACAACCCATCAGCTGTTAGCCTTTGGCTACGTCAATGCTAAGGAAGTGGCATTTTCGTGGACCAAACGTGGAGCTGGTAGCCATGGCACTAATAAATCCAGCCATGCTTACGTGAAACAAAACCCTTTTAGGGAGCTATGCGTCGGCTCTACTAGAAGGTAAGAAGGAATTAATGAGTAAACGGCTTATAACGCCAGGAATAGGTAAGCAATGTTTGGTAGCCTCGGTCACTCACTTAGGTTAGCATGCTAACGTGAACCTTTTCATCTGAGGGGTTGTATGAGACTTCTTTCACTAGAAATCTGTACTTTATTTTAAATAAACAACAGTCGCTAAAATCTATATCATATCTTGGAGCAGTTGAGTTTTCTACCTGCTTGTAGGTAATAAGCACCTGTTGTGTGTCTCTTAAGTTGCTCGGTGAGACATGGATTTCCTCACTCTGTTCGCCATCTATGTCGTGGTGGTGCTGACATGTATACTCCTGGTCTGCAAATACTCAGGACAACAGCAAACCCCCTTTAATACCCTCTTCAACACTATCGTAAAGGTAAGTTTTGCTTGGTGGTTGCACTGCCTTATTACAACACTATGTGGCGCTGTAGGATTTATGATCTCGATGCAAATACATGTCCTCTTCAATAACACATGTTCACCTGTTTGTGCACAGGTAGTTTCCCCATTTACGCCAACATGGCTCCAGAAGTTAACACGGTGGAGCCTGCACAGACTTTTCCATCAAAGGTGTGTGCTATAAGTGTTACAGACAAGGGAATAAACTTTTTGTCTAATATTGTTTCATGTTTTTACCTTTGATTTTGGTGTGAGTCGTTTTTAGTATAGTATTTTTAGTTTTTAGTATATTTCTGTAATTTTCATTTGCTGTTTTTGCAGGAACAACTTTTTCATCTATTTGCATATCCTGCTGGAGGGCGCCGTGTATGCAGAGTTCACCTATGAGGTGTTTGGCTTCTGCAGGGAGATGGACACCACTCTGACCAGTCTGTCTGTGCCTTACATCCTGCTTGCCTTCAAGACCTTCTTCTTCTACCTCTGTATCAAGAGAGATCCAGGTTAATTACACACTGATAGTGAACCAGCTTGTCTTTTGAGTTGTTTCACAGAAATTGCAGTATCAACCTTTTCTTTTCTATTTTGGCAGGCACAGTAACAAAAAAGAAACTCCCCGGCCAGCTGAACATCTATCCGTATGACAAGAGGATTTATCATCCAGGTGTCTTGTGTCCAACCTGCCAGCTTGTCAAACCAGCTCGCTCCAAACACTGCAGTGAGTAATTACACCCTATAAAACATTCAACCCATATCAACCTGTGTGAAATAAACTAATCTCTTCATGATCATCCACAAAAGAGTGTGTTATTTTTAATACAGAACTGTGAGAGAAAGATAACAGCATTCTACTTCATAGTCATTGTTAATTTATACTCTCTGTTTCAGGACTATGTGACAGATGTGTGCAGCGTTTTGACCACCACTGTGTCTGGGTGAACAACTGCATCGGTGCTCAGAACACACGCTACTTCTTGATTTATCTCTTCAGTGTGTGCGCCATGGCGGGCGACATCGCTCTGCTTACAGCGGACATGCTGCTACATGCCGTGCTGCGGTCAGGGCTTCTGGCGGCCAGTTACATCGATGAGTACGGCCAGCAGCAGCCAGCAGGATTTTTGTTTGTCATACAGGTCAGACTCAGAGCTGCTGACATACTTGAATTTAAATGCATCGAATACAGCCATGTTGATTCCAGTTTAACACATCATTGTTATTACTAAAATAGTTTTCTTTTTTTGTTCTAGCATTTGTTCCTGACCTTCCCTCGAATCGTCTTCATGCTGGGGTTTTTGGTCTTTGTCTTCTTCCTCCTGGCCGGTTATGCTCTGTTCCACTCTTACCTCGCTCTTGTAAACCAGACGGCAAATGAGTGGTACAAAAGTCGAGGGTTTGTTTGCCAGCACTGCCATCCATCTACAACAGCAGATGTTCTTTGTAACCCAGCCCCGGACCACTCTAAAAGATACTACTACAGCAGAGGGGTACTTCGAAACCTGGGAGAGATTTTATTCCCGCTAAAACCTGTTCAGAAAAAAGACAATTAGGGAAAAACTACTGCCTTCTGTGTTATAATGCTGCATTTAGAGTTGCACTGTACCATCCAAGGGTCATTCAAACTGCTGCGGACTGAAGAAATAAAGTTTAAGTTTACATTTCTTAAAGTTCTCTGGTGTCTGTTTACTTTAAGGTATAAAGATCAGAAAGGGTGCTGTCAATTTCAATTTAGGTAATCTCACGGTTCATTAAGGTTCATTAAATAAATATTGCAACTGGTGAAACAGAGAATGAAAGATTGAACATTTTTCTAGAGTGAGACAGATGTGATATATCTAGATAGCGATTTAAAGATGCAAATCATAACAGCTAAATGATACAAACATTTTACAACACAGTTTAAGTCACAGAAGATAATGACAGCCCAAGTGTTATTCAGTCTTGTAAATCTTTTTAAAAGTTACTCAATTTATTTTTCTCAATTTGTCTAAAAATAATTCTTAAGGGGAAGCTGTTCTTTCCACATTTTTTTTTTTCTGTGAGGGAGCAGAGATAACTGAATTGACACTATGTCACTCTAAATAAGTCAAATAAAAGCAGCTAGTCGAGTCAAGCAAAATTATAAGCATTTTTTCAGTTTTTATTTTTATTGTACTGAAAAAAGTGGTTCTGCAGTGTGCGTATGATGACAGGTGTTGGTGACACTTTTATAGTCAGAGAAACAGATCAGAGACCCCATAAAAGCATAGAAAGGGGTCGGCTTCATGTATGTATGTATGTATGCTAAATTTCTGAGATTTTTAAATATACTAATCTGAAATGCAGAAAGTTACCTATCTACGGTTTCTTCAAACAAACATATGATACCCCACAGTTTGCAGGTACTAAACATAACCCCCATTAACTTTTAGAACCTGATTTCAGACAGATGGGAATTGTAGTTTATCACTGTATGGTCAAATTAATTATTTTGTCTGGCTTAATGCATGCTGTGGTCTGGCCTGTCATTAAGATAACCCTATTGTTTTTTTTGTTTGTTTGTTTTGTTTTGTTTTGAACAACCAAAAAATTATCCAGTTTTCATTGGCAGCATTAATTTCTCGAGTTATGAAGTCAAATAGAAAAAAACAAAGAAAATGAGGTGGATGAAGGTGAAAATTAGGCCTGATTGGCACTTGTTAATGTGTTTTCTGATCATTTCATGTTAATATTTTCTTTTTGTTTCGTTTTTTCAACTGTTTTAATGAGTAAAACTACACATAAAACTGTAAACCCACAATTCATTTATGTTGAACAGACCTACCATCGACATTTGAGGACTGAGGGGACAAGACAGCTGTTGTTTAAGAGGCTTAACTAAGCTATTAAGATGTTCTGCTATAGCTGTGAAGCTTTCAGTACAAATGTGATTTTTTTTCCTTTAATAACTCCTGGAGACATTAATGCTGCTTGATGGCAGAAGAAGAGGAAAGTTTAATCAAAAGGGGCGGAGCTAATTCGTGTCTTATTTCCGGTGGTTACTGTCGCTTTAAGCCGGTGCGGAAGCGTCAGTAGAATTGATGCAACACTCAGTGAAAGGTCAGGGTTTACCTCCGGTACAGTTCAACGCCACACTTACTCAGCTAAACCGGTCTCTCAAACTGGTTAGTAAGCCATAGCTGGGCGTTAAATAACGTTAAGTCTTGTAGCTTTCAGATAGAGTTCGCTTCAGACTTTGACAGCTCGAGTTACGGCTGAGTTTCAAACTCTCTCCTCATGTCTGGGTCTAAGTGTACACGGCTTGGTGGACCTTTGGTGAAGCAGGTCCTGGAATCGGTGGACAGTGTCCTGTTTGACTGCGATGGGGTCATCTGGCGAGGGGATCAGGCCATCCCCGGAGCCGCTCAGGTCATAAACCTCCTTAAGGAAAACGGGAAGAAGGTCTTCTTCGTCACCAACAACAGCACCAAGACGAGAAAGATGTACGCCGACAAGATGAACACGCTGGGGTTTGATGCGACGGAAGAGGAGGTGTTTGGCACCGCGTACTGCTCCGCCATGTACCTGAAGACGGTGTGCAAGGTGGAGGGCAAGGTGTACCTGGTGGGGAGCAACGCAATGAAGCAGGAGCTGGAGGCGGTGGGGATCCAGCAGACCGGGGTGGGACCTGACCTCATCTCTGGGAAGCAGCTGGACTGGGCTAACGTGCCTCTGGATGCAGACGTGAAGGCTGTGGTGGTGGGCTTCGATGAACACTTCAGCTACATGAAGCTGAACAGGGCCCTGCAGTACCTGAGCCAACCGGGCTGTCTGTTTGTGGGAACCAACAGGGACACCAGGCTGCCTCTGGAGGGGGGCAAGGCTGTCCCAGGTAAGAAAACTCTAACATCAACTCTAACAACTGGGCGATATATCGATATAAGAAGTATACCGATATATTTTTAAATGAGATATGGAATTGGACCATATTGCATGTATTGATATACAGATATCAGATGCTGTTGTTGACAGGCTGGTGTTTCTCGCACAAAATCTTTAAACATAGAAGGACACACTTGTCTGTCCTCTAATGTCTACCACAAGACAACACTAACTGTTTATAAAAGTAAAAAAGAAATAAGAGGAAATGTTCACTGAGTTCTTAGTCTTGTGCAACTGGTTGAGACTGTTCAGAAGATGAGAAAGACAGATAGGTAATCTCAAAATGATGTTTAAAAACAATTTTCTTACACTGAGCACTTTATTTTGTTCTGACTTAATAGATGTAAATGCTTTATAGATGTAAATTCTTTTGTAGTGTTTGTTGTTTGCATATGTGGATTTGTTAGAGAGAAGAAAATCTGCAATTCAATTTTAATATGCCATTCATAGTTGTCAAAATGTTGATGCTTTTCTCATATAAATACATTTATTTCAGAAAAAGATTGGCCTATCATACTTTATGGGCACCTCTTGGAGCTCCAATTTAAAATAAAAAGAGGTACTCCTGTGGTTATACAGTATTTATGTTTACAATTTATTGCTCTTTGAACAGCTGAGCATTATTTCATCTGGCCAGTTTAAAAAGAACTACTTGTGACATGTCATATTTGGCTTTGACTGTGCCTACACATTTGATATATATCGTATATCGATACTCAGCCTAAATATATCAGGATATGACTTTTGGTCCATATGGCCCAGCCCTACATCAAACACAACAAGGGCTTAAAACTAATGTACACAGATGCTGGCAAGAGATTGCAAAACTTTTACACTTGCTTAGACCTTATCTAGATGTTTTCAGAGCATTAGATGAAGGTGCAAGATTTATTTCAAGCGTATTCTCTAAATTATTCCTTACTTTGTGCTCAGATATGTTAAACCAAGGTTAGAGAACCAAGCCTCACTCCAGTATAAGGATATTCATACTCTCAGATCTGCAACTTTCATTAAGTATTATGGTATCATACTCAAAATACCAGTCACTAGTCAATGCATTAAACTCATAAAATCGTATGTGCATAAAGGAAGTTTTGTTCGCATCATGGGTTATAGGAATATTCCAACCTAATACATAAATCATTCATCTATGTTTAAAATAATTCTTTTATCAAATTTCAGGAGGCCTAGACTGGAGTGAAAAAATGTGCTTTCTGCTTGATGTCCTCCATTTTTTTGTCCTAATCTAGTCACCTCTTGTGATATCAATTAGCTAATCTTTTCCTGTTTGTGCTCCATGCTACTTGAATAGGTTCTTAGTTGTGAAGAAATACTTCTTTTCCTCTTGCCCAAGCAGACAAGTGAAATAGTTTCCGTGAGCTAAAGAATTCTGGTGTTTATTACCTACTTTTTTCATAACAGAATGTGGTATTTTCACAAAGTGGAATGAAACAACTCAAAATCTGAAAAATAATTGCTTTTTAATCACTTTGAATGATGTTGATGCAGTGATCCAAACTGAAATGATCAACAATTGGTACAAAAGAAGTGACTGAATCTTTGCTCTGAAAAAAAAGCAAATTAAATCTCATAATTTAGAAAAAAAAATGGTTATGATTCAGACCCAAATAACTATTGTTGCCTCTTTATGACCTATAAAGGAAAAAAAAGACAATCAACTCAAAGACTCAATATTTCTAACATCTAAAACCACTGGTGATTTGCATTTTGTGTTTACTCAGGTGATCTTTGTGTGATATTCAAATTTGTTCGATGATCTGAAGCATCTAAGTGTGACAAAAAAGCAAAAACAGAGGAAACCTATGAGAAGGAAATACATTTTAACAGCACTGTTCATGGCAAATTCTCACAGTCGACCAAAATCAACACAAACAAAAGTTCCCAACATGAGCTTTAAACGGAAAGATGATGATTATGTTTTTTAATAAGTTAACCATGCCTCTCTTTTCACAGGCACAGGCTGCCTCCTGAAAGCTGTCGAGACTGCTGCCCAGCGCCAGGCTGAGACGGTGGGCAAGCCGAACCACTTCATGTTCGACTGCGTGGCCTCACAGTATGGCATTGACCCTAACCGCTGCCTGATGGTGGGCGACCGCCTTGACACAGACATCATGCTGGGCTCCAACTGTGGCCTAAAGACCCTCCTCACCCTCACTGGAGTGAGCACGGTGGCAGACGCGGAAGCCCATCAGAAGAGCGGCTGTGCAGAGAGGCAGGGGATGGTACCGGATTATTACGTGGACAGCATTGCAGATCTTCTGCCTGCTTTACAGGGATAAAACTGTCACATCTGCTCTATTTAAAAGGAATCGTTTGTCTTCAAGATCAAAATGATTAAAAAAATCAAAGTCACAACAAAGCAGCTTGCTGCTGTGTGTCAGAGGAGACAAAGACTCTTTTAAAACGCACTTAACCAAATTAAAATCTACTATTTTAAAATCTTATTAATGATCTATTACTAACGACAGATAAACACTGATGAACAAGCCAATATGCTAAGAGATAAAGTTACAACTTAAGATATAGAGTGTATGTTCCTTTTTTTGGAAAGTAGAGACGTCCTTCTCCTGTCTGTGATGCAACTTAATGGACGACACAAACTCAAGAAGGGAAATGAGCACACATCATGTCCAAACAGTTTTGCAACTTGTGCGCACTTTTAGGTTTACAGTTCTGTTCTGAAAACTCCAAACAACAGGCAGTTGACAGTTACTAATGCACTGAACTGCTCTGACTTGAGCTCTCTTTGTTTCATGTATTTTATACACTAGCACAGAAAGTGTTAACATTTGCAGTGACATTCATGGATGGTGCAATGGTATCAGTTTTGTCATGTCTGTTCACCAGTTAAAGGTGATAAACATAGTGGCATTCATGCTCTGAAGGTGCTCCAGTCTACCATAAACCGTCTGTTCCTCCTGTTTTGTCAAAACACAGAAAGAAATACTTGACTCCATAATAAACAACAAACTATCCTCACTCTATTTACTCTCTCTCTCTCTCTATAACTTTAAGTTCAAAGTGAAGACCACAAACTTCCTCCAAATCTTGTGCTTAAAGTCACCTTGGTCTGTCATCAGCTGGACGCTGCAACAGTCAGAATCCCTTATCACCTCTGCTCAGATGAGAGAGGCTTCCAAGTCATGCCTGCCTCTCCCCTTTGTCCATTGTCGGGTCTTGGGAGGATGGCTGTTTCCTCTTGTGTAACTGCACATTTGAGTGAGGGGGTAGTGAGGCAATGAAAAGATGGGTAATCTTGCAGAGGAGTACAATGTCATATTAGGCAGGGAAGGCTTAGAAGAGCAGGAAATTGCAGGCAGACGACTTGAAAATGAAGTTTGGCAAGATTTATGTGAAGTGGGAGCAGGGTCAGGTGGGAAATACTGAGTCCAAAGCAGGAGGAGGAGGTGGTGGAGGAGGAGGGGGAAGTTGGAGATGAAGTAGAGGTGGGGGTTAGGGGGGGATCTGCAGGGACAAAGAGAAGCTGGGCAGGTGTACAGAGTCTCATTCTCCTCGGTCATGACCGGAGCTCCATGCCGATATCTGTGAGCAGGGAGCAGACCGAGTGAGGTGCCGTCACGGGACACAGGATGGTGAAGTGTTGGAAATGTTCGGACAACTGCCTGGAGGACGCTCAGTGCACGGTAAGCAGGACAGCAAATCCTGACTGACTGAGGAAAGGATGTTTGGATTCTTGATCACACGCAAATGAATTAACTTGTGATAAGGCATGTGAGGTATAAGATACTGCTCAACATGCTTGTCAATGGTTCTCATGTGTTGTATACAGGATGGGGGCTCTGCTGTGTCCCCCCAGTCCCGCTTTCCACACAAGGCATTCTGGTTAAGCCTCTCTGCCTCTCTGCTCGTCATCATCATTGTCCTCAGTGTAACAGGGCACCTCAGGCTGCCAACACCTCACTCTCAGGTATATGACTGCTACTGTCCTTGATAATATTCACTCAGTCAGATTCTGAGTAAATATTTATCCGTGAGTCTGCTTTTCTAGTCTTCACAGATCATCCGGATCATGATGCCAGATCAGAGTGGAGCTCTGATAAACCAGTCAGCTGTCGTAGACCAGGAGAATGACCTGGTGACGTTTTCTGTGACTTCACATGCAAATCAGACTTCAACTGTGCTCTTCGATATCAAACACGTACGTCTGAGCTTTTGTTACTTTGAAAGAATCACAGAAATAAGGCAAAACTAGTTCAACAGATCGTAGAGGGAATAACATCTGATTGGTGCTATCGTTTCTCAGGGTTTAATATGTTACAAACCGATGGAACAGCAGAGCTGCTTCCTGCGAAAGATGGAGAAGTCTGACTATGACAACATGCACTCCCTTCTTCAGGAGTTCACACACAAGGTAAGAAGAGGCAGCAACCATTCAACAGGTACTCAGCAGTCATATTGTACAAAGTGACGCTTAAAGATTACAGAGAGATCAGAAAAAGTGTTATGACCTTTAAACAACCACAGGAAGACACAAAACCAGCCACAAAAGGACTTAAAAGAGATGTCGAAAATCCGCAAAGAGATGCAAAACAATTGCAAGAATCCAATAAGTTTAGAGTGAGTATAAAAAAACTACAAAGAGACACACGACTTCAGAGAGACTTAGCAAATATTAAAGACAGTCACAATAACCACAAAGATGTACAAAATAACCTCAGACAAATCAAAAGGTATTTGCAATGTAGCACAAAGGGGCACGGTCTTCAAAAATACAAATAACAACAAAGGACAAAAAGGTGCAAAATAAATTCAAAAGACAACACACAGAAACTATGAAGAAGCACAAAATACTCAAAACAGAGATTAAAAAAGAAAGGAAAAACAACAACCACAAAGAGACAAAGATGATTTCTAGAAGATTTAAAATCATGATAATCACAAACAACCTTAAGAGAACGATGGGAAGAGACAAAATTATCATAAAAAAACATACATGACTGAAATCCAACACAAAGAGACTACAGAAGAGCAACAACAAAAGATAAACTATGAAACACAATTGCAAAACTACTTAAATGATACAACACAAAATCAGAAATGACTTCAAACACATTAAAATGACCACAAAACATGAGGTATTACAACAGAGATTAATTAACCATCACAAGGAAGAACTTCAAAAAGACACTGAAAAAACATCGAGCTAGAAACCACAAAAGACAACAACAACAAAAAGACACCAGATGACCACTGAGTAAATGAAAAGCTAGATGTACATACAATTTAAAGTCATACGCAAACGATTTTAAAGACAAAAACAATCAGGGTCAAACTGCAGAGATAAAAACAAAACCAAAAAACAACTTATGAGAGGTGCAAAACAACTGAAGAGACATCGATGACAGAAAAATTAAAAAACAACTTTAATTTCACAACCTCAGTAAGATTTGATTTCAAAGAGACACAAAATGACCGTAATAATATGTTGAAAACCACAAAATAAAATTCACCAATAACAACACTTTGTGCAGTTTGAGGGGTGTCTTGATGAAGACAGGGAGACCTTTTCTTTCTCAAAATCCTTTGGTCTCTTTAATTGCATGAAGGATATTGGAGACCATCGAGCTACACATGAAAAGGGCAAATTAAGTAAAAGAGAGGAGCAGTTGCCCTTTTGCCTCTCCCTGGTGTTTTTAAAGCCCCACTAATGTGTGAACTGGCATTTCTGACTGTGACTCATACCTTTACCCCACTGAGCCAGCTCCTGCTGGGGTTCTTAGGTTTTGCATGACTTCCCTGCTGCTCTTACAAAGAGAGAGGTTAAGCGTACCAGTCCTTAAAGAGCAGTATAGTCGTCTTCTCTTGCCTCCACGGCTGAATTCCTCTACACATCTGATCCCTCCAGGCCCCCTCAGCGTGCCCAGTATCTCCTTACAGGAGGCTGCGACAGTGAGCCTTAACACCAGAGCGGGGCACAATGGCCACTCTGTATCGGAGCTTTTAAGCTTTTAAGACGCCTCTGTTGGATTAAAATACAGCCTGATGTGTTGGCTAGTCTGGGAAGGGCCTGCTTTGTGGTAAATTCTTGGATCTCTGATGCCAAAGTCCTTAATTAGACCTGAATTGAGCTCAGTTGCCGTAGGATATGATTTATGTACCACAATCTTAATACCTAATTATGACTGGGCAACAAGAACGGGTGAATGAATGCTGCTGTGGCTTTAATAGAGACTAAAGATGTGATCTGAGACCTTGCAGGGGGCTCTGTTTCCCCACCTTATCTTTTTGAGCACAATAGTCCATTTCCACGCATCAAAAGCTTCAGTTGAGTATTCGTGATCCTGTCTGGTGGTGCCCCACATCTCAACCAGCCCTACAGCATTCAAACTGAGCTGTTGATTGTGGTCATTTCATCAATAACAGAAGGGATAGGGATAGTCCCTCTTTTCTGCGGCACAATAGTCCCCTTGGTTAGAAAACGCGTTGCTACGTAACCTAGAGTTTTAAGCACCTTAAGTGGTTCACTATCAGAGCCAATCAGAGCTGTAAGTGGTGCAATTACACAGACTTTGTGACAAGCAAGAGTGCAAATGTCCGACTATGTTGATGTGATTGGTCAAGATATCAGGCTAACAGCTGCTGAAGTTCGGTCTTTCTTTGTTGGTTCAAAATGTGAATGTACTGTATAAGACTGCAGCTCATTTATTCCTGTGCTCTGTCTTCATAAGAGTCACTTCCAGCTGTCTGCAAATGAGACACAGAGACAGAAGGAGTTCCTGGGAGTGCTAGCAGACACTCAGGTGGACTTGTCCACACTGGAGGAGCCTCTTCAGGCTCTGTGCCACGACAGAACCATCCACTGGACCAGGAGGGTTGAAGGTGAGGACACGCACGGTATTAATTTAGTCCCTCTCACACTGTCCTGCTGCAGTGACAGATTTACTGAAGAACAAAACTTTGATTTTGCTGTTTTGTCCTCTTTGACTGTATTTTTGATTTCTGACACCCCGAAGCAGTATCCTCCACATCTTTGCTGAGCTCTCCTGTACATGTATCGGTAATTCCAGGTTTTGCTGTGAAAAATGTTGAGAGTAAAACTTCCGGCTGAGCAAAACACATCTATAAGACATCTAGTTTTTTCTTAGACCTAATTGCAACCATCTAGATTCTGTATATTTTTAGACAGAATTTATACGTTGCACTTTAACCCATTATTCGATAACTATTTATTTCAAAAAGCAACTGTGAGTTGCATAACTGATCACCAAGTACGTAAAAAAATAATTATGATAGCCGTTGAGCAATATACAGTGTAGTATATATATAGCCCAGACTTAGACTTAGTCTAAACTTGGTCTAAATTTAGATGTCTAAAAAAACCATTCATTTTTAGACCTGTGGTAGCCTGATTTTAGACCAGTCATCTAGGCTACATTTAGACGTCTATTAGACCTCTTTCAGACCAGGGTCTCAAGGATTGTTTGTCAGGGTTCAAAGCTCACACCTACCTCCTTATGTGGGTGACAGACATTAGCAATAATGATACAGAAATTGTCGGTTTTCTCCTCAATAGTCTTGGATGCTTTGTGGGTCATAAAAAGACATCAATGTTAATTTTAATGTTTCATACTCAATTAAACAAACAGTGTTTTCCTCATGTAGACTTAAAGGGTGAGGATTACTCCTATAGTACTATTATGCTCTACTAGCCAGATGTAAACAACCCAGATGGTGGATGGCATCTTGTTACACAGCATGGATTTGCAGTGTTTGGTTCAGTTTCTTTTAGGTAGTCTCTGCTTAAATTAGCATTCAACCACTGGACTGGTTTACCTTTTACCAGTACAGATATGTGGACATAAATCCACAAAGAGGAATTAAGTCCAGTTGGACTTAAACTTCAGTTGTCTGCTGGGGCATATTGCACAGTCAGTTTAGTTTGCATGACCAAAACAGACCCCCAAAATTTGTTAGGATTTTCTCTGATTTGTGAATATCATTTCCTGTAATTCTGTATCTTGCCTAAGATTTCGTCCCTCCTCCTGAGCCTCTGTTGTTTTTGTGTTTTTTTTTTTCAGGTCTAGGTAAACAGAGACTGGTCTATTTCTGCATCGACATCTGCTTTCCCAGTAACATCTGTGTCTCTGTGTGTTTCTACTACCTACCAGAGTGATTGAGCTACTCTCCTTTCCTCCTCCCAGCAAAAGATCAGGGAAACAAAGTTGTCTTTTTAGCCCCTCTAAAAAAAAAAAAAAGAAAAAGAACAAAAAGCAGCTTTGGCAGTTTTCTCTGAGCCATACAGCTGCCAGTAAACCAGTGAAGCAGCCAACACTCCCAGTCCATTTTCCATCCTTCCAAGAGAGAGAGAGAGGAGACGGAGACAGGCTGTCAGGGTTATCGCAAGAGCCCCTTCACCACTCCCTTCATGTGTAATACCCTCTCTGGTGGCACGCTTCAGAGATTATAGAAGAAAGATCCCCTTTTCTGTGTTTCCTGTGATCCACTGCTGCACTGTCATTATGTGTAACTGTTCCCTTTGCAACAAGAGTGTTTCATACTGTTCAATAAAGGGCTGTGGTGTATATTTTATATTCTGGCTGCTTATTCTTATAAGAATGAAGAAAGTAAAAAAAGGTAAAAAACTTGGACAAAGAACTCGAGCTTTGAGTATTTCACTTCTTTTATTTAACCAGGGTGTCCCTGTAGCTTAAAATATCTGTTTTAGGGAAACCAGACCAAGATAGTGGACAATTACAGAAATGAAAACTTTACAGAGGCAAATAACTTTCCCATTACACAAGAGATAATCCAAGTTAATGGGAATGATGTGGTCCTTTTAATACAATAAATACGGTGGCCTGTAAAACACTTTAAAGAAGTGATCTGTAATGCACAGAGTGATGAATTAGAAACATAAAGAGAAAGTTACAAAGATGATAGTTTAGTCTTTTGGTTGCTTACACTTTGTGTTAAAAGTTGTGTTCATCTTGCACTTTAAGTTTAGACATGTACTAACACATGGAGATTAAAGAGCCTCCTTGTTGTCCAGACGGCATCGAGACATGTCTGTTTCTTCTCTGTACGGACTGTCCTGTCTCTTCCTCTCTTTATCTCTTTCTTCCTCTTCAGCCCAGCACACTGTCATTAAAGGCCAAACACACCACAGCCTTTTGGTGGCCGCTGTACTCCCTCTTGATCTCTCCGGTCTCCACACACCACAGACGAGCCAGGTTGTCTGAAGAAGCTGTAGGAAACAACAAAGAGGCAGAGTGAGATTACAGATTGGAATGAAGCCACTCATACTTTTACCTCCTTCTCTCTTAAATACTTCCTTCATTTTTTGTCATTGTAGTACAGTTTTTGACAGACTGTCGGTAATACTCTATGGTTAGTACTTGTGCAGAATAAACCTGTTGAAAGAATAAACTCAGTTTTTGCGTATCAGAACAGAAACTTCATCCCTCTTTTGGACTCATCTCACTGAAATCATTCACAAAAGTTTGCAACTCCAGCTGAAGAGTGGGCAAAGTTGGTCATGTATGACATAGATCGTACATCATTCTGGTCCAAAAAAAAAAAAAATCTATTTTAATATTTTAAAAACAAAAAGCACACTTCTTTTAGCGTATGAACCTCAATTTTATCTCTTTTTTTCTTTTACTCTAAGTATACTGACATTACATTGTAGTGTAAACCCACATCCCCATAAATTTTGAGCTCATGTACTGACCTGTGACAATATACTGGGAGTCTCCAGAGAAAGCACAATCCCACATCCAGCCTCTGGACGTCTCTCCGGGATTGTTGCTCTTGATGCTCAGCTCTGTCATGAGTGAGAAATTGGACGTCCTCCAGATCTTACAGGTCTGATCTGCAGAGCAGGTGGCTAACAGGCTGGAGATGACAACAACAACAACACACAAAAACTCATCATCATCCGCAACACAAAAGCAAATACAACTCCAAATGTAACATTGCTGTCAGGATATGACATTGTGAAGACAGGTGTACTCAAACCTTTTCTCCTAAAGAGTGGAAAAGGAGAACACTCACGTGGAATCAGGGCTGAACTTGCAGCGGAGTGAGTAGCGTTTATGTGCAGGAATCTTCGTCTTGGGGATAAGCTGAGTCACCTCGTCTCCCATGCCTCCAGCGAGATTCCACACATAACAGTTTCCCTAATAAAAGAAGAATAAAGAGGAGAGGATAAAGGGAGATTTTCTTTAATCTAATCACTTATATACGTACACCTCAAAGTTTTAATGGACAGGCTTGTTTTCAGACACACAGGGTACTGACCGAGCTGTTGACAGCTGCCATGTAGCTGGCATCTGGGTCTATGTGGACTGAGTTCACTGAAACCTCTGGCTCAGGAATCAGCTGTTCATTATGGTCGGTCTTCAGATCCCAGATGTGAATTACGCCACTCTGATCTCCAACAATCAGCTCTGCCTGGAAAACACACCATACTCACTGTTAACTGAGAACGTGTATTCTGTCGCAGATTGAAACCCAAGACTTCTGCATCAATAAAAGTCTCACCTGGTTGGGATGAAGACACACACAGTTAATGGGGGCATTGACCTGGAATATCCTCTGGCATTGTAGACTTCTTGACCTAGAAGCAGCAGCAGCAGGGTTTAAAGTTGGGTTTGTTGGTGAGAGTGGTTTTGGTCAAACTAAGTGAGTTTCCTACACAATACCTGAGGTCCCATATGCGAGCCATGCAGTCTTCTCCTCCTGTGTACATCCAGCGTCCGTCTTCATGGAAGCCCACAGATGTGATGTTTTTGCTGACACCATCATAGTTAATGACAGGGTTGGGGTTGTTGGAGTTTAGGTCATACATGCGGATGTGCTGATAACCTGAAAAACACAGTGCACATTAATATGAAATAGAGTGGGATAGCGATAATAATATAAGAAAAAGAAAACTAGAGAAGAGGTTCTTGACCAACCTGCTGCTGCTATCATGCTCCTGTCAGGTGTGACTTCAAGTGAATTTACTTGCTGGAAGCAAATGTTAAGGAAGCAGCTTGTTTACATTGGCACCATTACACAGCTCAGTTATAAATTGTCAATTTAAATCCTGTTTAAGTCAGAAAGACCTTGAAAAAGTTATCCATGCTTTTATCACATCTTGTTAAGATTATTGTAATTCCCTGTATGTCGGCATTGGCAAGTCAGAGCTCAACCGCTTGCAGCTCATTCAGCATGCTGCAGCTTGTCTCCTAACTGGGACTAAGAAACGGGAGCACATAACTCTGGTGCTCTCCTCTCCTTACTGGCTCCCTGTTAGGTACAGGATTGATTTTACGATTCTTTTATTTGTTTTTAAGTCTCTGAATGGGCTGGCCCGGAATATCTGTCTGACCTTGTTCAACTGTGCCAGCCCTCCAGAGCCCTGAGGTCAGCTAACCAGGTGGTTTTAGATGTCCCTCGATCCTTTTTAAAATCTAGGGGAGATCGAGCATTTTCTGTCATGGCTCCCACTTTGTGGAACGCTTTACCCCTTACAGCGCACACTGCTAACAGCCTTTCCACTTTTAAAACACTTCTGAAGACGCACCTGTTCACTTAAGCTTTTGGGGAAGTATAGCTACTTTTATCGTGTATTTTATTTATTTGCTATGTTTACCTATGCTTTTAATGTTTTCATAGTTTTTTTATTGTCTCTGGCTATTTTACTGTAAAGCACTTTGGTAGGCTGTTTGGCTGGCTGTTTTTAAATGTGCTATACAAATAAAGCTGACATTGATACTGACAATTTCAATCAGCTTCTTACATTATTGATGCAGTGACAATGTCGTAAGCAGAAACGTAAAGCAGAGAAGGAAGCAAAAAACATCTGCTTTGTTTTTACACAGACATACAGATGTTTGCTCAGTCAGGACTGTTCAGAACAAAACAAACTTTAAAACTATTGTTTCTACCTCAAAGGTGCATATCTACCTTGCTCTCACTCTCTTCTTTTAAAGAGTATAATTCGGGGCATTTGGTTGTAAGGATACAGAGTCCTGGTGCTGGACTGTCCTGGTGCAGATCCCACTGTGAGCCTGCCAGAAGCGGACCGTGTGGTCGTATCCAGCCGTGGCCAGGATGACCGGGTCGCTGCCCACCGTCCCCTGGTTCACATTCATGCTTCACTGCTGGTTGTCACACCACTGCTGCACAGACATGTACGAAACTGCGGGGAAACACATGAGGGAGTCAGCTGCAGACACACACAGTGACTGTAACAATATTTCAATGTAGGGTAATATTTGTTTCTTTTAGACGTATTTACGCAAAGAGTATAACAAATTTTCATTACCTCTTGTTGCTGTTGTTGACGACAAATCAGTACGTCTCTTTAATATGTCCCCCAAAACACGTAGGACGATGTTTGAAAAGTTCCGCTTTGATAAATAGCGCTCTGTCGCCATCTAGTGGCATACTTTATATTAGCAAGACTGATACGCTGCAGTCTGTATGAGTGTATATTAAGGCACTTCAATTCACACATGCTGAGATGTAAAGGTGCTTATTTAGTTTTTACACCGACAAGCCATATCGACAAAAAATCCTTAACCATCACAAGGAGAGAAATTAAAAGTTATTGTTAAAATATTTAGATCTTAGGGTAACTTTGAGTTTAGTTGAAGCAGTTTGGAAGCAGTTGTTTTAAAACCCCAACTTATCTCAAATATTATAAAAGGTTGACCAATTGATTAAAAAAGTCACAGTGAAACGAAACTTATTTTTAGCCAAGAACTGTCTTTATTGAGTTTCATCCAGCAGTTAAGCAACCAGTACCTTTAATATGAACATTTATATTATATATTATATTCTGATAAATTAGCTTTAAGTAAATAAATAAACAAATAAATAATTATGCAGAGAAAACACAAAGCTTGCATGTATAAATGAACATTGAAACCAACTCCTCACAGATAAAGCAGCCAACAGCATCACTTGTTGTTTCCAGCTTTAGTGTGTGTTGTCAAATCACAGTGGTTGCAGCAGGGTGGTCATGTGCTGTTTGACCTCTCCTGGGTCAGCCAGTGAGCACGCCAAGATCATCCCCCTCATCCCAGTCTTCACTCTAGTCGAAGGGAGTATCTACAACATATACAATAATACATCTTGAACAATTTAAGGTCTTAAAGAGCTACACCAGAGCGTGGAGTTGAAATGTTTTTGTACCTTTACATGTATTTTGCATCTCTCCAATAGGAATTTCCACTTCATTGCAGTCCGCTGATCGTCAGTCAAACTGGTGAACTCCTCTGTCTGCAGCAGAAGAAGTGGAGATGCTGTTTGTCTAACATGAAGCATGCATGTTTTATGGGAAATCTTATTGAGGGGGTTCTGACCGTGCAGCCAAGCACTTTTTCTGCCACAGGGCTCCTTAGGGAGCAGATCTGCAGGGTGCCGGTGTGGTCAGTGAAGTCCACCAGGAGGTCAAAGCCTGTGGAGGCTGAAAAGACCTGATCCCTCCCTGGACACAGCTGGTTGGTGCAGCTCTGTGCATCCTCAGTCACTTGAAACTTGCACCTGGAGCTGGGACGATGAGAGGACACTGATCAGGGATTCTGTAGTTGCATAAATTCACTGTGAACAGCAGAACTGAAAATGAGTGTTTGATTTTTATCTTGAATTAATAAAGCATCTGATCTTGTGAAAACTCACCAGCGAGTCCTGATGACTTTTGAAACAGAGGAGTCCAGATCGAGCTTAGAGATGAAGCTGTAAGTGACGCCAAAGAAAGCCTCTTGAGTCTCCTGGGCTTTCTCCTTCAGCTGGCTCACTGTGTACACGTCAGTGATGGAGTCCACTGGAGAGACAAAAACAGCACTACATGTTCATGTCTGACGTCCTTTTTTTTCTGAAAAGGCACAGGACACGAGACACACTTGTAGAAAAGTAAAATAAAGTGATATGGCGGGATTTACTTGTTTACATGTCTTTTTTTTTGCTTTTTGATCTGAAGTGATCCACCTACAGAGAAAAAGAAGAACATGCATGCTGGCTCTGAAAGAAAAATACTCATAGATTCTCCCTCCTAGATGCCTTCTGCTGCAGCCTCATTTGCAGCACAACTACATGTGACTGACTCAATATCTTGCCTTAGCCACATTACACCACAATTCTTCTTCTCACAATAAGAAAAATGTATTGCACATTTCAGCACAAAATCCTGGATTAGTCCTGGTTTGAGAAATTCTGCATCTGGTGCCTGGACTATTCTAGTAGAAACCAGGATACTGCAGCATGTAATCACCTGATCAAGCACCCGCAACCACTGGACCATGAGAATTCAACTGCAAACTGATGACAAGCTTTCTCATGTGTCCTATAAATGTTGATTTAAAACAGGATACAGTTTAAACAATTATATTAATGAAGCGAACACTGATGAGTTTAGGGCAAACCAGGGGAAAGCCCCAAACAGAGAACAGGGCATATGAGGTCAAGGTATATACTGAACTTGTTATTAAGAGCATGTGGTGTCTAAAAAAAAACCCTCTGGCTGTTATATTCAATGAATTGCACATGCGGTTTTCAAAACCATGGTAATTTATCATAAGATATTATAATACATGCAAATGTTTTGTGTGTTAAATGAATAAGAATAAGAAAAACTTTATCTATCCCAGAAAGGAAATTCATATGCAGGCTTTAAGGATAAAAAACATGCAGTGGGTGTGAGTGTGTGTGTGTGGGGGTTTGACCGAGAAATGACTCGAGGATTATGTGCACAGTTAGCAGGAGGGGGTAAGGGGTTAAAACAAGATAAAGCAGGATTTATTTTGCTGACTCTGCATTTTCTTGGGGGGGCTACTGGTGAGAGCGGTGTCTCTTTCATAGAACATGAAAAAAACAAAAAAACAAAACTGTCTTATTTGGTTTATGCAGTGTGACGTGATTTGATCCTCCAGTCAAAGCGCCTATAGAGAGCACCAGTTACTTATTAAATAAAGATCTAAAATCCAATATAGGATGTTTTTCAGGCTGCTGTGGAGTTGACTGACTGTTTATTTAGATTTGTCTGCTGTCTTTAATTGCTTGAATAGAAAAAGCCTTTACTTCATCCATCTTAAACCTTCTCAGGAGTTGTTTCGTGTCCTTCTCTGACTCCAGTATTTTTTCCCACTCTCTGTAGTCTGGTATTTTGATTAGATTTTGATGATGAGAATCCGATAGGTCAATCTGACGGTTTGTTTTGGTTTTTTCCTGTGTTGTTAGACAGAGGGAAATAACAAATTTCCAAAGACCCTTTCAAAGTATTCACTGTAACATACCGGGCACATCCTCGGGTTTCTCCTCTTGATCCAGAGCACCGGACTCAGACACTTCTTTGGCGTAGCTGAAAAGCAGACTGGCCTCTCTGGTGTCTGAAAGCAAATTGAGATTGATTCAGACAAAAACAAAAACAGACATTATTCTATTTTTCTTCATGTTGTTTTTTTTTAACTTATCATCCTAGTTGGTCTGCTGATTTCCAAAAAGAGTTTTCAACAATGCTTTTTCACAGCAGAAAGTTGTAATCAGATCTTATGTGTTTACGAGGAGTGCTGTGATGTCTTACCAGGATTGACAGTAATAATGGTTTTCGAGTTAACTGTTGCTGTCATGCAGTTACGGAAGCTGTCAAAGCTAATCCTCGCATCTGCTATGAAGAGCACTTTGAAAGAAGAATAAAAGTAAAAACAACAGAAAGTAATCTCAAACATAAACACAGGGTTTCATCTCAGATATCCACCTCCATGTTCCTCCTCAGTACAGCGTGCTAATGCAACACGACAGGCTGAAATAACAGTTAAATAAAGATTCATTTTGTGGCTGAGAACGAGCCGCAGCTGTTAACCCACCCGTCTCTCTCGGTATCAGCGTCTGAACAAGCTGAATGGCTTCTCTGTCCCAACTGTGAGGGAAGCAGAGGTCAGAAAGAGAGAGAGTGTGGTGAAAATCAAGCGCACATGGAGTTCAGCAGGTTAATTTAAAGCTTCGTGTCACCAGAGAGAGAGAGATTTTGCGGTAACCTAAAGATACACAGCAGCGATCCAAGGGTCAACGAGTTGGAATCAGGCACAGAAGCAACAAAAATAATAAATCTTTATTCATTTTCCAAATTAGAAAGGCGTGTGACACACCAGACGAGAGGGAAGGAAGAGACCGAGTCATCAAAGAGCTTCCCTTCCAGCCTCTGCCCTTTGCGTCCGTCTGAAGTGGTGAACTGCTTCAGCTCTCCAATCTGAAAAACGTAAACATAATCATATAAAGTTCCAATCAAATTATCGGCCCTTCCTGAGAGAAATATGAGGACTTGAAGCGCACACTCTATCCTCTCTGTGAACTCTGAGTTTTAAGAAATGTTGGGTTTGTAGGAAGGCTCCATACCACCATGTGAACACACAAACCAAACAGACACATTGTGGTCAACACGCAAGGACTGATAACAATGAATAAGGAATTGACTGATATGACTGAATTTCTTGTGTAATGTTAAAAATGTTAAGTAATATTTTCTTAGTGTGCTTCTTTGTAACCCACACATGCAAACTAGGTCATCAGCAACAGGACAAACAATTTGTATAAATTTGTGTATATTTGTAACATTTAATCCCTGACCTCTGCTTCGAGAGCGTATAAATCAGACCAAACAGTTGACAGCATTATAAGGACAATTTGTGATACAAGAGTAAGATCAGAGAGGAGACAAGCTAAAAATCTTTGGCAACAAGAGGCACCAAAATTTACAAAAAGAAAGTTTGGATCGAAGCACTTTCTCCACTGGAAATACTCAGTGGAACAAGAAATAAAGGGACACTTAGCAAGTTATTTCTCTTACTCTTACTTCTGAAAATTAAAGCTCAGACTGTGTTTGTGCATTTAAGGGTGAATTCTGCACAAAGCCTGTGGCCTGAGGGAGCCTTACCGACTTCACGGCAGCCAGTATGTTTATAACTGTGCCGTCTAGCTTCTGCCCGTTGGCCACAATGTCTCCCAGAGAGTAGAAATCTCCGGACTCCTTTACGGGGAGGTGGATCAGAGGCAGTAGTGTGTTGATCATGTCCATGTCCGCACACAGACGCACCTGAGAGTGAACCTCTGATACCAGCAGCCTGTAGAGGCTAAGACAACAAGTACAGTAACCCATTGTTGTACATGACATACTGCCACATCGGTTTTTTTAAATTAAAAATCATTTCCCTCACTCTTCCGAAGGTTTCTTAACACACAGCAGGGTAAAATCTGAAAATCTCTGCTTTAGAAGTTTACCTTGGTGTTGTCGGACAGAATCGATCCCCTTTCTCTGGGTCTTTGTTGGAAACTAAAGGATTTTCAATGACAACTGAAGAAAGAGAAGCAACAACTTTGTGGATGTGGATTAACGTTGGCTTTTTGTGTCATATTAAAAGCATATAAATTTGGCAAAAATGTTACTTCATAGTTAATTTTCACTGAAGATTGCTTATGTAACTTTTTTAGATTTTTAAACTGAATTTAAGTCATCCATTACAAAATAGTGATTTGACTATGATAGAGAGCTGAAAAGAATTTGGACTTACCATCTGATGGTTCTGGAAGCTTTGTATATACTTTTTAGAAATCTAACCACGATTTCAGCCAGATCCAAAAAATCACCCCCAATTTCACTCACCACAGTCTCCAATGTTGAAGAGGTTGCAGAGCCCGATGATGTATGCATCGTGTCCCCAGGCTGTCACATTGATGAAAAAATCTGGCGAGTCCCTAACAGTGAAGCTAAACGTGTATCTGTCTTCACCAATATCTGAAATTCAGACACACAGGTAGAGTTACTTTGGCAGTTTTTTGGGAGGGAAATGCTCAGAGAAAAGATGTTTATGATTTTATTTTCTCCAGAAGAGGGGGCTGATGTTCAAGACATTAAGGTGCAACAAAGTTAGAAGAGTTTGTATCAACATAATAGGAGCATAAGTGCACTTGAGGATGTAATACTCACTTTTTCTGTCAGGAAAACTTTTGGTGTCACTTTTCCCAATGACAATGCCTGCCAGTTTCTGAACAACATCACAAGGGGAAATGACAAAATTGTGAGAACTTATTTATTTTAACAATTCAAAACATATACTTGAACTTTAACACACCAAAATACATCTAATACAACAATTTGGATTAAACACATCAGATAGATAGATAGATTGTTATGTTTAAATAAAGTAATTCAAACTTACTGGATGGGAGAAGTTGGGATGCAGCTCAGAGATAGAAATGTAGGTCTGAGCAGCCATTTTTTGAGTTTTTATGTCAATCGAGTCTTATATTTAATCGCCACTGAATAATAAGGGAAGACAAAACAACAGTTAATACTTTACAAAAAAACATAAGGATGAAAAACACAGAGCGTTATATCTGAGGGTATCAGCAAGCTCTAAAGTAAAATGAAAGTTAACCTTATTGGTATTAAACAGTAAGCTAGCTTTTATATCGACAAACACTGATATATTCAGCTCCTGCAACAAACAACATTTTCTTTGAAGAGATACGGAACGAAACGAGAAAACGAAAAGAAAAAGCTCCTTTACTCATAATTCAAGATTAACTGAGTGTTTTTCCACTTTTACCTTTTCTGTTTCCTTCGCCGTTAATTCAAATTTTCGCGGCTCAACTGTGGCACGCGACCAAAATCTCCGCACGCGATAGCTACTGGGGAACTCGGATGCTGCTTTCAAGAAAAGTCGGAAATATGAAACCCCATAGATTTAATTGAAGATGATCGACGAGTATGAAGAAGTGGCTGAGACCACAAAGCTAGTTCTACATATCCACAAAAATGTTTCATAATGTGAATACGGATGTGTTAAATATGGTCTTAATCTATGTAACCCCTATAAAAAATATATCATAATAGTGAAGCACCTGTTGGGGGAAAAAAACCTTACCCATTGTCTGATTTAGGTGATAGAATTAAGAAAATCTAGATGAGAGCTGACTTCAATAATAACCTTTAAACAAATTATTATTTTGGCATTTATTCTTCCATATAGGACCTATATACTAAATCTTGATTTAAAACATTGCTGAAAATTGTTGGACTCTAACAGGCATTTGTCATCTATAGGTGAAGATATAGATAGAAATATAAGAAAAAGAATACGAATAAGAATAAGTCTATTAATCCCCAAAGGGAAATTCAATTGTCTGTTGTCTCATATCCTCCACTGAGTCGAGCTTGAGTCCAACCACAGAGCCAACCTTTTTCACCAGTTTGTTCAGACGTCTTGCATCTTTGTGTTTGATACTTCCTCCCCAGCAGACTTCAGTGTAGAACAGAACACTTGCCACCACAGACTGATAAAACATCTGCAGTATCTTACTACAGGTGTCTTTATATTCACAAATATAAGCATAAAAGAAGCTAACATTTTATTTGGCCATATTTTTTTTTACTCAGCAACTGTTAAATAATAAAATAAATAAAATAAAAATAAAAAATACTCTGACAAATGTTTTAAATAATGCAGATCAATTTCACTGATCCCTCTTTTTTGTTAAAATTTCAACAATCTTGCACGTGCAGCCATGTAGGAGAAATTCAAATCTATAAAAATGACAGCCAAGCAGACACATAACTGTCAGTCATACACACTCACAATATTTGTACACTCCTCAATATCCCGTCTTTAACACCACCTTGATAATCCGTCCCAGTTGTCACTCACAGCAGGGATTTGCTTCTCAGACAGATTTGCTGGGATGCATCTGACAGTTTCCTGGTTTGTTTTGATCGCACAAAGCTGTCTCTGAAATATGATACTGCCTCATTCACCTGGGCAGGAATCAAAAGGTGTAACAGTAAACCCTCATTCAGCCTCGGCACAGTGACTAATCCTCAGAGTCAGGCTTTTGGATCTTATATCTCATCCCTTTGACTGATGTTGATATTCAGGTAATGTGTGTTTTGATGTTTTTCTATGCTTTGTGGCAGTGGCAGCTATCACACATCAACACAGAGTCGACATGTTGAGATTATTCCTCTGCAGACATCAGGGTGTGTAATGTTGCATCGACATATTGATGGACTTTGTATAATGCTGTATAATGTGAAACGGGACTGATTAAATGCATTTTCCTATACGCAGAAAGATCAATGTGCTATTTGCACCGGTGCCTGCTTATTCAAATGAAAGGAAATCTTAAATTCTAATTTCATTTGCAGTTTCTGACTACAGTTTGTGAGTCCATTAATCACAGCAGGAATGTAAAGCCTCATCAAATAACTCAAGTCTAAGTTATTTTTGCTTCAGTGATTTATCCATAATGAATTCATGGCTCTGTTAATACGTCATCAATCATACTTCGATCCAGTAAGCAGGTGCACTTTTTGAAGTGGTTTGAATAACATATTCAAAAATCTTTATGATAAACAGCCTTGAGGTCTGTCCAGTTGATCCTGATCTTATATCTGCAGCGCTGCAGACTGCAGGAAAGTGATGCAATTGAATGGCCTCACTACTGCAGGTCAGCTCCCACGAGGGCCTGCAATAGTCACTCCTCTTCTTCAATACATCATCTCTCTGAGTGTGTGTGTGTGTTTGTGTGTGTGTGTGTGTGTGTGTGTGTGTGTGTGTGTGTGTGTGTGTGTATAACAGTGCCATTTCATGTGCTGCTTTTCATAGATCTGCATGTCAGTGCATGCTGAAAGGTTGATGTTTTTAGCTGCCCTCCAGCCTTCACAGGTAAGGTTTTTGAGGTTGTGAAAAACAAGAAACCCTTAACGAGTACAATGTTTTAACTCCTGGTGTGCACACGCCATATTGGAGGTTCTCAGCACTTGGTTAAAGCTCCTGTGAGAAGTTTTTTGAGATTTGTGAAATGGACTGAAATTCATGTTAAAGCCTTTCATGATATCCAAAAGCAAACAAGACTGTCTGGGACAAGACTGACATGTACATTATGATTTATGATGGCTAAGACTGATGTGAGGGGGTATGTGTCAGCAGATCAGCTGAAGAAACAGCCATATTTTTTTTTACAATTTTCACTCAAAATATGGAAAGCAAAAGTCTGCTTTGTCCACAGAAGGTGCCAAAATGGACACAAATTTGAAATTCATCCCAGGAGCTTTGAATTTACTGAGAAATAGTTTCAAAAGTTAAATATCTTGATGCTGTTTACATAATATCAAGTAATAAACTTCTTTATCATCGGGGAACAAATATGATCTAACAAAACATTAGCTAACATTAATCTAGCAGGAGCCTTCAGTTTCAACCACCTGTGTTTTATACTGAAGTAAATTTTGCTGATCTTATGGTCTTGTACTTGAGGCTTTTTTATTTTTATTTTATGCAAGCAGTCATCCACTGGACCTCCACCATGGCACCAGACCGGAGGTTTGCGGTTCGGCTGCACACTCTGTGTAAAACATGAGAAGAGAGGAAGAAGTACAGACACTGGTGACTCCTCAAAGGCATGGCAACACAAAAACAACACAAAGCTAAGTTCTCCCAGAGCGTTGACGTGACGGTGACACATTTTTATTCATAGTGTTTTATGTGCTGTTTTCTTTGTGGAACAAAAGAGCTTTTTATTGTTTGATTTAAGGGAGAATTTGGGCGCTCTGAGGTTTTGCAGGATTGTCATTTGCAGTACATGGTGCATGCAGGCAAGTTGTGGTCGTCAGGTTGATGATCCAAAGATTTGTTTCACATGTAACCACACACGCACACACGCACGCACGCACACACACACACACACACACACACACACACACATGGCCAACAAAGACTCCTTTGTTAAGAATAAAATAAGTGTGTCACTCTGTAAGGATCTAATGGAACCAATCATCATTCCTTTATTGAATCCGATCATTAAAATATATACTTCGGTTCATGAGCAACATCTTGGCATCACCCGAACTTCTACATCCAAGTATAGGTTTAGCAGTCGTTGGCAGCAGCTTGAGCAGTCTTTATTGGCTTCCAAAAGTGGAAGACATCCAAACTAGGAGTATGTGTATGCTGTAATTTCCCTGCCACCTGTGTGACTGAGTGCGCTGTGTAGCTGCTGCAGAGCCAATGGATCCAGCTGGGCTCTGGTAGAACAATGCAGTCTGTCTCCTCATCCACATGTCCAGTAAAAAGGAGGGGTGTACAAACGACTGTGGAGGAAACCTTAAATGATGTTAATAACATACCGTTGAAAGGAAGAAATCAGAGGCATGCATGATGTCAAATCCCATCATTATGCCACCATACTGAGGTAATGGTAGGGAACACTAGAGTATTGGTCATGTTATTGCTATGAGTCTCTGTGCAACCTACGAGACAGGAAATGTTACGTTATATAAAATAAAAATTAAAACCTGATGATGGTAAAAATTCAAGAGACTTTTTGTAGTACATGTTCAGGACCCTGTTGTTGTCTGGCTGGCTTGTCTGGCATGCCTTGTTTCTGTTTATTGATGTGCATGGTGCCCGTAGATCTGTAAAAATACAACACTTGTCAGATAAATTTTTCCCAAACATACAATCATAGCTTCACCAATGCAATGTGTTAGTGCCCAGGGAGGTTGTATTTCCATGTTTCCACCTCACAATGGGAGGAGATGGAGGCATGGTGTCTGTACACAGCCAATGGTAAACAAAGAAACAAAGAAAGTTTGACACAAAGAAAAAAATGCATCCAGTAGAGGTTTTTGTATAGACTCAACTTACAACAAATGTTATCTCAAGACACTTGGCAAAAAGAGCAGGTCTAGACCATACTCTACTTACAAAGAGCCAACATCAGGATGGGACAAGACTGAGCCTCAACTTGTAGGATCAGACCATCTCTAATTTCATCTTAATCCACCAAAAGAGAAACACTTAGCAGCGTTTAGTAAGTTAAAGTGATGAGGAAAAACTTCCTTTCAACAGGCAGAAACCTTGAGCAGAACCCGCCTCATGTTAGACAGCCATCTGCCGCTGCTGTGTTGGAATTGGAAAAGGGATGGAGGGGGATGCAGAGAGCATAAGGGTGTTGTCTGTATTCTGGTGCTTCAAGGCCTTTCTTTTTAACTATAGAAGTTCCTTCAGTAACACTAAAGCTTAGACTGCCTCCCCATTCCATCACAAACGTCTTCACAAAATCGATTCAGGTAGTTTCTCTCTGATCAGCCCTGACAGAAGTATCTCACACCAGATTAGACGTCTAGAGTCCTATTCAAGCTAAAAAAGTATAAACCTTTGGGGTTTCTTTGTTACCTTTAATGAGAGGAAAACAGACTTCTTCAGATTTTACTGAGTGATATATAAAACAGAAGCTTTCACTGCTCTTTATGCATGTGTTCCACTGAACAATGAAATCTTTATACTCCGGAGCATTGCCTCTAAAAGTGGTACAAAGCAGGACACAGTTTCACGCTGTAACGGCATTTATGAGCTGATTGTTCAATGACTTAAGGGTTGCCTTATTTGGGTGATGATGTGAGATGCATGTTAAGGCTTCAGCTGTTTAGATTCAACATAAAGACTCCCTGCTTTTCCATTATTTATGGTGGAATATTGTATCTGGAGAGTGTAATTGGAGAGTGAAAGATGCGGTATTTTAACGTAACTGACATTTAGTCTGGTACAATGTTTATTCTAAGGAATATAAAACTTAAGTGGTAATATTGGTTCATTTTCTGACGTTTTCTTTCCAAAGTTTAAGGCATGAATCATTTGTATATTTTCAATTATGTGGACTCAGTGAATTTTTTGTTCTCTAATTTACTGCTGCTGTGGTTACAAATACCCAGTGGAGGTTCAAGAATCTAATAAAACATCATAAAACAACATGAAACAAAAAATGAATCATCTGATCTGTGTTTTATGTACATCCATAGTTTTATATTCATTGTTTGACTTCTCTCTCTTTTAGATCGCCCCTTTCACTTATCGCAGAAATGATTGTTTTACTGACAGATTTAATGTGCAGAATAACAGAGACAACCAGTTAATGTGATGTTTTAAGATCTCAGTGTTATTCTGCCTGTTACAGATAGTTCCCTGTTGTACAAGGAAGGATGTTTGAAACTGTCATGAATTAACTTTGTTGCTAAATCAAATGCATCATATCAGACAGTCATGAATCAGAAACATTACAGCATAGTAACACAGTTGAATCCACAGAGATAATGAAAGTCATCTATGCAGTTAGCATGCTAACTGACTGTGCAAATAGGCGATAGATAAATCAGTATCTTCACACACTACAAACTACACATGAAACCATATTTTTTTTGTACATTTATCCATTAATCATATAAGTTCATCCATCACACTTCTACTCTTAGCTGCTGTGACTGAGCTAGCGCATCCATCTGACCATTTTGAACAGAATTAAACACCATTATATTTACAGCAGTTTGACAAAGACATGGTTGTTTGAGTATATATATATTTTTTTATATAAAATGTGTTACTTATATTTTAGCTCAACTTTGCAAAATTTAGTAAAACACTGTTTCATTTGCTTGCAGTTTATCACTTGGTTTGGCACCTACCCTCCTGGCAGCATTTTCAAGCATTAAAAATGACAGTATAAATTTAAATTTTTTTATGCGTATGGTTTTATTGCCCTCTTATAATTTATGTAGGGCATCAGTATCAATTTTGGTCAGTTTTATGAGCAGCTAAAAACTTCTCACAGTAGCTTTAACATGCTGAAATTACTCTGACAATCCCTCAAAGGTGAAGTGCTATTTTAGCTACGGACAGCAGTTTCCTGTCTTTGTACAAAGATTCAACCTAACTAAGCCTTTCCTGCTTTTTGACCTCACATTTGGTGAAAACTTATCAGTTAATGTAACATTGATTTTTTCATCTTTGGAGAAGACCATGAAAACATGCTGTTTTTATTTTATTTATATATATATATATAAACTACCTTTTATTTTGACTCCAATTCAATTGGCCTGACATGTAAAATGATAGACAAAAGCTTTTTACCATGTGCTAGTGTTTGGTATTAAAACAATTATTGTCAGTAAATGATTACTTAGTAAACTGGTGAGGTTTTTTCCCCCAAAGTTAGATCTGTATCATGACTTGAAAGTAGACTCTGGCACTCATTTTTAAACAGAGAATCAAAGGCAGAGGTTTCACTTCTGTGTGAAGTTGATACCTAAATTACTCTGTCTGCAAAGTTTTTGGCGAAGCTAGAATACTACATTCAGAACAATTGTGACAGATACATGAAAGGAAGAAACCGTCAAAATGAGTTTCACATTCGATGCTGCTTTTAACTCATATCTTGTTGGATGTCACTTCGGCCTTCTTCAAACCAAACTCCACCATTACAGGAAAAAGACTCGCTCTCATCTGAGTCTTAGTTCTCTCTCCTTAGGATGGTACTAACCTCCCATATGGAAGACATCATGCTGTTAGAGAGCACTAATAACAGTGTGGCTATGGGTTTAATAAAAAGGAATGGAACGAATTATGGCCCCATCCCAGCCAGGACCATCATGTAACTGCAGCACATTAGCATGGCCCCGGCAGCCGGTCCAGACCAGCAGAGAGCGGGAGAGAAAGGAGAAGCATGTGACTGAGAAGAGCCCAGTAGACTCTGAGGGTTTGATGCTACAGTGAAGAGGGAGAACACACAGAGAGATATAAAAGAGAGAGCGTTAGCCTGTGGGTATTACAGAGACAGACTGCTCGCGGTAATGGCACGTCAACGGCAGTTTGACAAAGACTGTTGAGCTGAGATTTGATTAAAATAGAAGTAAGAGTATGTAATGCTCAGCTAAATAAGCAAATAATGGGAAAGTAAAATCTCTGGAGATTAAATAAGAGGAAAACAGGAAGATGTAGAGCTGCAGGAATGTAAAACTGGAGACAAGAGATATTATACAGAAGGCGGGTTATTAACTAGTGGAATAAGTGATTGATAAAGTCAGAGACTTGGTATAATCATCAAAAAGACTACAGGACTGCACTGCTGGTTGCTTTTATATAAAATCCTTTAAAGTCTTTTCAAGCAGCTGATCAGAGTTTAGGATTTGGATCTCCTGAAGAGGCAGGGAAATGGTCACACAACGAGGTCTCCAGAAGAACCAAAATACAAGGTCTGTGACTTTTTTTAATGACTTAGGGTAACAGATATCACGCTCTCTGTTCAATTAAACACTTCTTTGACACTTCTATCATCTAACTTTATTCCATTTGACAAAGCTGTCTCGACACTGGCAGGAGCCTCACCCTTACATTTGACCTCTTGTAAAGGTCTCAACCCTAAAACTCAGACCACCTTTGAGTGTCGCTCAAATGATCACCTCTTAATTGCCTGCTGTCTATTTATACTGAAGTTAAGAGTCAATTGAGCTCAATTAAGAGGACACAAGTGTAGACATTGTGGGTGAGAAGGGGTGCTGTTGGTGGCTCTGTGGGTGGGTGGGCCTGTCCCTAACCCTTGTTTCAGCATGCAGGGACATGTCAGGGGCAGGAGATGACAGGTTAATCCAGACCTACAGCAATGCAGGGAATCCTGGTGGCTCCATCAGGACAAGCGCACTGTCTAATATAAGGTATAATATCCTCTACAGCTGACCTTTATCTCCCCGTTTCTGCCTCTGTCTTGGAAGACAGCCAGTGTGTGACCGAGGTCTGCCTTGGAAATTTGACATTTCGTCTCCTTCACCCGTCTCGCTGCGACTTGATACAGACCTCCACACCAACTCACCGTCTCTGTCTGCCTCTAAAAGCGATCTGTTTCACTGAAGCTACGCAGATGTCTGTTATATTTGGATTAGCTCGCCTGATTGGCTCTCCCATCCTCTTTTTGGGACATTTATATTGACCTCTAAGTCGTTTTCCCCTCCACTGTCAGTGACGTTACTTTTCAGACCACCAGAGTTGGACTCCAGAGTTGAATTCTGCTCTGGCCTCAGGATTACATACCTTGAAGTAGGAATAGTTACATTTTGAAGGATTTTCAACATCTTGAAGGGCTTATTGCAACTCAGTCCTGTCTGATGAAATAGTTAACTTTTAAGACAAACTGGGTAACTGAGCTGGATGGATTAATCTGTCAGAACTATTAATAGCATTTTAAATAACGGGTATCACATTAGCACTGGCCGATGTCCCCATCATCTTACCTAACTGGTAATATGATTTCTTCCATCAAAAATAACCACATATTAAATCGTAACCTGTTACTGGCTAGTTTTTGACATAAATTCTAAATAGGGCTGTCAAAGTTTCTCCAAAATGACGTTCGAATATTCGTTCTAAAAATAACACATCGGTTTGAACATATTCGAATATCTAGCTTACACAACTTGTATATAACTTTATCTTGCTCAGCATTTTTTCGGTCTACCGTGTCTGCCCAAAATCCTTATAATTTCCAGATGGAGCTTCTAGAGTTCGTTGGTGTCCAGACCACTCTCTCTGAGTTTGGCTCCGAACATCCTGCCATCTCTCTCTGCATGTGCCACGGATGTTTTTTTTGTTGAGTCTCACTGCAGGTGCAGCTCCTGTGACTTGTCCTTGACTGATCGTTACAGTGCGCTCACTTGCAAAGCAACTGCTTTTTTTTTTTTTTCCCTCTCAGTCTTTTCCCGCTGTTTGTCTAATATTCGAATATTAATTTGCACATTTGAATCTCTCTTTTTTTTATATATTCTGAAATATATTGGAATTGAGAATTTTCGTTGACAGCCCTAATTCTGATATAGTGTGTAGAATAAAAAAGTAAAACAATCTTTCTGACATGAATATCATTCATGGTCTGAAAAATGCAAAACCTATTGTATTTGTCTTTTGGAGTATTGATTGAAAATCCACTCTTCACCTGCCACTAGCAAAGAGAACCAGGTATTTTTAATTTTTATTTGTATGTAAAAAATAGAGCCTAGTATGACTTTGCCATTTTTTTTACTCAATATTTACCTTACTTTTTTCCCCCTCTTTCTTTGGCACAAGACTTTGGTTGTGATTTTTACACAAATTTCCTTTTGCTCTACTTATTTATTTCTCAATAACAACCGATAAATGTGTAAATGGTTACTCAAACACAAATAAGAGCCATAGCAGTCCTGATATCAACAAACCAGTGGCTGTGTAATTGATTTCCATTACGCATCATGCTTATACAGTGTGCCGGACTGATCAGCCTCAGTGAGCTGCAGCCTGGAAAGTGTCAGTATCGAATGCAGTGGCATGTCAAGTTGGCCAAAGATACATTTGTGTTGTAAAAAGATATATTAACTCAGACACACATGCATGCACTGGGGGGCTGCAGACATAAAATCACATACATCTGCTCACCATCCTTGTAATTGCAGCTCCATCAATATCATATTACCTGTTCCTTTAGCTGCCTATTGATCACGCCTGCAGCCCTTGTTCATGTGCTGGTTACGATGTACTCTATTACCTGTGTGTTAGTGTCAGCCTCTCATGGTGGGGTGCTGGGATTGACTGTGCATCATGAGAAGGGTGGGGGATGGGGTGTATTATGGTTTGTCCCGGCTTCCATTGATCTCTGGGAATTTGAAGTGTCTCTGGTACAGATGGACGTCTCATAGCCTCATGGAGCATGTCATGGTGGCCTGCACTGGATGTATGGATTATGGATCTGCACAGGCTTCCGGCAGAAGGAGTAGGAGGGAGCAAATTGTTAAATTTTACTCCTACATTGTAATACTTTCAGACCTCATTGTCTGAAATATTCCTGAGTACCTTCACTACCCTTTTTTCTGTCTACCTCAAAGTAGAGAAATCTCACTCTGCTTTCTTTAAAAAGCATGATCCATCACACATTGCCAATCTTTTCTGTTGACGCACATGACACTTGACCCATTGCAGTGACTAGGTATCAAAAATGACTGATTTATCAACCCTGTTGTCGATGGTCTTGCTCACCTTTGTAGCTCTTAAAAGGGCATCAATATTAAGTTCATTCAGTTTCATAATGAGCTATCATAGGAGTAAAATAAGGGTCTAAAGCCATGCTAGTTGCTCTGTAACTTACTCAAGCTGTCCTTAAGAGGATAGTTTAGTTTCTTTAAGTGGGTTTGTATGAGGTTTTTGTTAATAGTACATGTATTACCCATAAGAGATCCCTGTCAGCTCTGCCCCTTTGTCACAAACCAGCTAGAAAGTTGGCTTTTGCCATATTTTGGTCCCAATTTCATCTTCCCAATTTCTCACCTTATCTGCTGTCCTATCTCTGGATAAAGACAAGAAAGTCTTCAAGGTGAGTGTAAAATTTGAAGTCCACAAACCAGTTGGGGTGTTAGTATATGTCCCCTTCTTTTAGACAGTCCCTTTCCTTGTTCAAGATTCTGGTTCAAATTCTGTTACATGCCAGCATTTGCAAATCTGCACTCTCAGTAACCTCAGTATTGATTTTTGTCACAAGTCAGAGCACCAGGGACTGACCAGAGAGTAAATCTGTGTCAGAATCAAACAGCATAGCAATCCAGGATCCAATAATAGTAGAGGATGCACTAACCTGCTGACTTGAAAACTTGCTGAAAAAGCACTTTTCTCCCCACATTGTTATCATAACACCAACTTTAACACAGTGGAGTGAGGAGGGACAGACTGCAATCAGAGTCTGGAACAAGATCTGAGCACATATCTCTTCCATCCACCTGATCCAGACTCTCCAGATGGAATTTTTGGGTTAAAGCTGTCACATCCTGACAGAATGGGGACTCCATCACTTTTTCACTCAGAAATCCAAAACCTTCTCATCAATCATATAAGAGAAAAATGTTTGTCTTGTATTTCAGACTCTCCTTGTATAACCTTTCTGTCGCTGCTTCCAAGAACTGAAGGTTCACCTCTCGACTTCAAAATGAACAATGTCTTTCAGCGTGAAAATGGCTGCTTTAGCACTTATAATCCTTCATGTTTACATTTTTCTTCCAAAAAGTTGCTTACTATCTTACTTAAATTTCCAGAATAAACCACGTGTCCTTAAGTTTCAACAGTTACAATGCATAATTTCATACGATTAAAAAATAATATCAGTCGTAGTGTTTGTCTTTCCAACCCATTCCCCTCGGCTGAATGCAACTGTGAGACACTTTGATTTATGACGAGTGGATATACAGTTTCTCTCTTTGTTAATTCCTGGATCATCTCATCCCTCAAACCAAAGGATATCCGCAGGATGATAGAAATGCTAAATCTACTTCCTCTAGTCTGAAACACAGTCATATTTTGCAGCCGATGAGTACTGCTGACTACATTGTCTTCACTTCATATTCTTGTGGTGATGATTTAAATTGTAAATGATGACTACATACGTTTCGGGTTAAAGTGGGTGATTTCTATCAGCATCTGTATTCACTACGCTGAAGGGAAAGGAAAGATGGAAAATGTGTGTGGCCGATGATTTCTGTTTTTCTTGGGAATGCTCGTCTCATTTCTCTTCTCGGCGTTGAAGGCCTGACCTGGACACTGGACTCTCTCCCTCTTTTCTCTACCCTTTACTAATCACTTCTTTCTTCTTTTTGCTCTCCATCTCTTTCCCAGTCATCCTTAACCGTCTCCGTCTACATCAATCTCTGTATCTCCTCGCCCTCTCTGCAGCCAAACCGTCTCTAAATCTTAAGCTAGCGTGTGTGTCCGTGTTCTTGTTTTCTCATGTGTGTGACAAGCTTCTTATTGAACATTGGTTGTAAATCTCTGACCCCCTTGCAGCCTCAGAGTAAAGCGCTCTGATATTAAATAATGAGACTTGGGGAGGTGATCTGGTCCCCTGTCAGGCCCCTCCAGGGATGAGATGTGATATTATTCCCATCTCTGGCTCCAAGTGGGAATTAACTGAAGTCTGGCTCACGGCAGTACACAGGAAGAGGATGCTGCATCCGATGTTCACGGATAATCAGCAAGGAAAAATAAGCGTGATGATCATTCTCGTGATGAAGGTCAGTATTTGCTTTGCCAGAACTACTGACAGTCTGTCCACAGGGAGTTAACATGTGACCACTTTAAAACAAACAAACAAACAAACATCAAAAAAACTTTAAGACATTTGGGAAAAATCTGATGGACAATTCGTGACTTATTTTCTGAGTGGTCTTGAAAAACTAATGTCCAAAAATTTTAGCAAGCGAAAAATGTGAGCTACTGTGACAGCAAATGCATCACAGCCAAAATAATTAAAATGATAAATCTTTAAAAAAGAAAACGTGTACAAATCAAGCCTACGCTAGATAATCGTCTTAAACAGCTAGTGCTAAACATTTTAGAGTATCTGGAGGTGTTTTTTTGGTTGAGCTAGCCCCACACTTTTCTCACATGCTTCAGTTATTAGATTCACATCTTGACACAAAAATGATCTTGAAGGTAGATAAAGAAAAAATAAGATAAATAAAAACAAGTCAAGTTTATTTAATTAAAAAAAGAGAAAGAGTATTTAGTCAGAGATTTGAAGTTTAAGGATTGTAGACTTTTAAACCCAAGGCTAAGTTTTGTGTTGCACTTAGTTTTGATAATTTATGTTAAATTATTTGGAGTAATGAAGTATTCCTATTACACACATCATTTTTCTTACATGCAGAAAGAAGTAAAACGGCAGAAACAGTGAGAGCGGACATGATAACAGTCATGAGCAGCCCTGAGAAAAACTTGGTTTTCCCACAGAAGCAGGACTTTTTCCTTAATACTTTAACTCTCTGCATCGTCTGCCAGGCTGCTGAAAGATGATCAGGTCCCT